GACACTGCACCCAGATCACTTCAATGAGCTGACGTGGTTGGGGAGTCTATAGTGTCCCTTTAATCAATAAAGATTTATTTTACTTTTGGTGTGCAGTGGGTATTTTGTTTGTTTAGTTGTACCTAGTTGTGACCACAAAAATTTATTTCAATATTTTGTGTCCTTTGAAATTATTTTGTAAAAAAAATAAATAAAAACAAACTCAATGTAAATACCTGTGTGAAATGATAGAATTCTGTAAATCTTCTATAAAGTGAATCTATTGTGGGTTAAAGTTCGAGAGATTTGCCCTGCAGTAATTTGCTGAGTTATACAAACTGCACCTGGTGTCAGTGATAACCAGGAGCTACAAATCCTGGATGACATCCAGTGCTATCACGCAGTGTCCACGGGACCACGCCGCTTGCCTACTGGCTCTCCCAGACTGTGTACAGGTAATTATTGAAATGGCTGTGTTTATGGGTGTGCAGGAACTCATGTCACTCTGGAATGCTGCAGAAGGCATTAGTGCAGTTATAAATGTATCTAGTCATTGTTACAGCGAGTGCCGAATTTTTATGGGATTTTTCCAGTAAAATTTGATTTGCTGTGAACTAACACTTTTTAAATATAACTTTACAAGTTAATTGTCAACTCACTGTGTAATGAATAAAACTATTTTAAACATGTTTCTCATAACACTTTGGTGTAAAAATGTCTTTACCAACATATTACGCAGCGCTGTACAATAAGTAAATGATGCATACAAATATTAAAAAGAGACTACAGTAAATAAATAACAATCACAGTTTAGTAGATATACCACCATGAAAACATACATGTATTTAAGTCTGCAGCCTTTGCAAGCCCTCCCCCTCTAACCCCGCCCAGACTTTCTGTGGTTGTCCAATCACAGATTACCCAATGCAGCTCAATGCCAGGGAGGTCTAACCAGGTTCACTTATAAAAGTGCCAATTTCTAATGGACATACAAAATAAAATCAACAGAAGTGGTGAGACGGCTCTGCTCGGTTACATTTACGTTGTATTATTCAGGGACTGCATTTCCTATTCATATGAATTTAGGGGGGTTTGAAGCCTAAAAAATGGGCTATAGATTTCCCACAGACTATTTAGGCAACCTGGCATCATGCTGTGAACGTTTGTAGATATAAGATGTTTTGAAAAACCAACGTGTTCTAAGTGGCGTTTATTTATTTATTTGTGATTAATAGGGAACCGTCTATATTGCTGATGGCAGATTAACTTTATTCTTATCAAAGTCTGGAGGCCACTAGAGGGCGCTGGTTAGTAGATTCCATACAGTTTCCTTGTGATCTGTGAGAGATTCCTTGAGTCCTGGCACTGACTGTAATATGCCGGCTGGTCTCACCATTCTCTGTGAGTGCTGTTTACTCCAAATTTTACGGCTGCCTGATCTATGGAGAAAGTGAAAAGGCCCCAATTAGCAAAAAAAAGAAGGTTAAGGGATAATTAACCCCTTGATTACACATGACGTGTGACATGTCATGATTCCCTTTTATTCCAGAAGTTCGGTCCTTAAGGGGTTAAAGGACACGCCAAAAAAAGGCCCGGGCTTTGACAGGGGCCTGGAGCTTCGGCTCTGGCACTGAGGGAGGCCCTCTTTGAGTTGGCAGAGAGGAAGATCAAAACGATGTCCTTGCTGGTCCCTGTGCCCCCATCACCTGCTTGAAGGAGCACTGTGGTTTATCAGATCCTGACAACTTATAGACGGTCCCTGTTACCCCGGAATTTCTCTATAATTTACAGTGCTGGATCACATTAATGTAGTGCCAGGACCACGAGGGAGTTCTTAAAGTGATCTGCACCTGATATGTGCAGACCACAACTGTCACTGACCGGACTATGAAGGAGACAGACAGATACACACACACACTCACTCTCTCAGACAATGAATTAAGTTTAATATGGATGACGTTGATATTGGTATAATATTTTTTCAACTTTCTGACCTGGGACATAAAGCCAACACCTCATCGACAAACCTGCGATTAGTCAAGGAAGGACATTCTTAATGGACCCCAAGATACCACTTACAATTAGTCTGATCTCATGAGCTCTTCTGGGACAAAATGTTAACTAACACAGCCATGTTACAATGCTGCTGCCCATGTGTTCCCTATTAACAGTTAATAAGTATGTAGGGGTTACGAAACATACCCCTATCTGTCTCATTGGAGATATTCTTACCTGAAGCTGAAGGAAGTAAGGTGAATAGTCAGTGTAGGACACACCTAGGAGGTTTGCCTTGACGTGGCAGGTGGGTTTACACCTAACGGCCATTGGAGTGATACTAAAAACCTCTGATTATTTAAATATGTATAGGGATTTGGAATAGTAACTTTTTTCTTTGGTTATATAAAGTGCTATCACCATGGAAACAATGAAAAAATCTTAGACTTTTCACCACAGTTTTCCTTGATCAATTACTCCCTTACTGTTTAAATGGTCACTTTGGGTAGTAGAGGTTTTCCAGAAACTCGTGTCAAGGTCAGATAATTGTAACAAAGAGCAGATGGCAATGAGAATACAAAAGAGACACAACACCCAGTGTTAGAAAAGAAAATCCTTCACTGGAGTTGGTAAGGTTGCAGGGTATTAGGGCATAACCCAAGGGATATAATATAAAAGAAAAAGAGACTGAAATGGGATTACAGAGAGGTCCTCCCATAAATCAGTCCCTATACCCTGAATGAGAGCTGTTCATTAATCTAAGGCAGCCAATTGCCAGTATAGAACATAAATGAAATATATGAAAAATAATACATTTTTATTAACCCCTCTTGAGGAGAGAAATAAATAAATAAACAAAAAGTAGTGATAAAAGTCTATATACAGTGAAAAAATAAATCAAAAAGATATATGTATATAGGAACCGTCTACTATTCTGCTAAATTTATAGTGTGTACAGCACACCAGTGAACGCTTTCATTGGCAACTGAGATATAAATATAACTTGTTGCTCGTAATGCTTATTGCAACAATGTCTCATTAGCCGAATGTAACTAATGGTGTGTATAAACGGAGAACAAAATTAATCCCCGGAATAAAGTGAACCCATTAAATTGAAATGAATATAAATGTCCCTATGGGGTATAGCACTTTGTATCCAGATTAATTAGTATGGGGTAAACTTGCAAAAGTCTTGCTGGGGGTTAGGAGTATTAGGGAAGTTTAACGGTAATGCTGTCTGATCTAGTAGTCAGAATATTAGCCGATAGAGTACTTCTATAGTCTTAATTATCATACTCAACAGAGTACCCCAATATTGCAGTAGCATAAAGATATATAAAGCATCATCTATATCCCTAACGATCAACCGATCTTAATGTGTAAACTAAGTCTATCAATAGTCTATAATTCAATAAAGCCATATAAGGATAAGATAGTCGTAATAAAGCCTAATATATCCATGCCGATACCCCCTACTAATTCTATACACTAAAGAGCAGATAGACGTCCTAAATTAAAACCTTATGGTCAAGGTAACACTCAACGCGCGTTTCGGCACCAGTATTGCGCCTTTGTCAAGAGCTTACCGGAAAGTGAGAGCGCGCCACATTTTAAACCCCATAATCTCCGCCCTTGGCTCCCATGACGTCATCGTCACTCACGGACGGCGTCAGTCAGTGGGCGGGGTTGGGGAGTTGAATGGCATTCGCATCCAGTCGGCATAAGGCAGTAACTGAGATTAACCCTTTCTTTGCCAAATATAAAACTGAACCCTAAATAGTCCTAAAACAGGGGACAATTTATAATATAAATAATACATTTCAACAATTTAAAGCTTGATCAGAAAGAAGTATAAGTGTACAAAAGATGAACAAAAAATATGAACAAAATTTATAACCCAAGAACTACTCTATTCTCATATAGGCAATGGGAATAGAGTAGTTCTTGGGTTATGCATAGCTAGCGGCCTCCGATCACACATGACAAATCATCAACCAGCTGTACCCCACCCCCTGCATCAGCCCAGCCCGGCCCCTGACTCCCAGTTATACTGAATAAACTGCAGGGGGTGGGTTGCAATATTGGTGCCTTGCTCGGTACATTTTAATTGCCTGTAAGCAAAGGGAGTTAAAGACTAAAAGGTGAATTATGTCCTATCAAAAACTGAATTTGCTAAGTCCCATGAATCTCTTGCTGCTGTTTGGAGAATAGAAGTAAACCCTACAGTCACCAGATATCTTCAAAGCAGCGTTCTTCAAAGTGCTCCCAAAGATATTGTGTATTAATACAAGTACAGAAACATACAACACTATGTATTAATTGTATGTATTCTCACCCGGCACCTGCTAACCTGCTCTGTAAACAGTAGACCCAGGGCCGTCTTTAATATGGATTGGACACTGGGCAAACATTTGCTTGGGCCCCCTGAACCCGGTCGTCCCCTCCCTGGCATGCAATCATGCCCCCCACCCGAACGCAGAGGCGGACGTAAAGTAGAGAGGGCTCTGATGCATGAATTATTTTGGGCAAGAGGGGGCAAAAGGTAGATCCCCATCTGTCATGCAACTCCAACAATGCTTTGACAGCTGGGGCGCTACCATTTTCCCATGCATGCAGGGTTATATTTAGCACTGAGCAGTATTTGTGTGTTTGAGTGTAAGCATGTTTTTGTATGGAGTATGTTTGTGTGAATGTAGGGGTGTGTTTGTATGTGGAGATGGCATTTAAATGCAAGTATGCATTTATGTGTAGTGTTGGTTTATGAATACACTGGTGTGTTTATATATAATTTTGTTGTTTAAAAAAAGAGGTGTGTTTATATGTAGTGTTGAAGTTTGAATGCAGGTGTGTATTTGCGTGTAGTGTTGAATGCTGAGATGTATGCACAAATACACATGCACTGTCACAAACACACACACACACACACACTGTGATACACATACACACACACACACACACACACACTGTGATACACATACACACACAGAAACACTTGCAGATACACAATCATACAGATGCAGCTATACAGACACATTTACACACACTGACACACACACATACAGACACACAACCTGGCACACATGCAGACACACAGATGCACGCACGCACACACACGCAGATACACTGACAACATACAGATACACAGACACACACAATGACAACATACATACACACAGATACATAACCTGACAAATGCAGATACAAACACTGACACACATGCAGATACACACATTGGCTACATACAGATACATGCACAGGTATACACACTGGCACACACACATAGATACATACATACTGACAACATACAGATACACACTGACACACACACACACACACACACACAGACACTGTGACAGACATACTGACACTGGGACAGACATACATACTGACACATACACAGACATACTGACTGGCACACCGACATAGATACAGACACACAAACTGACACACACAGACATACTGACATATACACAGACATACATACTGACACACACATAGACATACAAACTGACACACACACAGACATACAAACTGACACACAGACGTATACTGACTGACACATACATACTGACACACACAAAGACATACTGACACACACAAAGACATACATACTGACACACACACATACATACAAACTGACACACAGACAGACATACAAACTGACACACAGACAGACATACATACTGACGCACACACAGACAGACACTCTTCAGTTTCCTACCTTTGAAAGAGGCTTCCTTCCCTGGGGTCCAGTGTGCTGGCTGGGGTAGTTGGGAGTTGGGGGTCTGGCTCTCCTTGCTCCCCCTCCTCACTGGATCCTGGCTCAGCAGCCGCCCGGGCGGCCCGATGTCTTTGAGGTGGGAGGAAGTGATTCGCGGACGTCACTTCCTCCCATGCAGCCGTTAAGCAAGGACCCGGTCGCGCTGTTAAAGGGCCACAGCGCCGACCAGACCCCTGCTGGAACATGCTCACTGGGTGGCCCTAAAGGTATGGGCCACCCGGTGGGCCCCCTTAGTGTGCAGTCCCCGGTGCAGCCGCAATACTAGCACCGCGGGCCCATTAGGTAGGGAAATATTTAAAAAAAAAAATTTTTATTGCAGGCGACGGGGGCCCATGGGGCAGCTGCTTTGGGCCCCCCATGAGTAACTGGGCCCAGGGCAGCTGCCCCGTTTGCGCCTCCTTAAAGACGGCCCTGAGTAGACCATTATATTTGAACTCCCTCAGCCCTCCATACATGCTCCCTATTCACTTTATGCCCCACACCTGGGTCTTCTCTCAATGCAATGCCTGCCTACTGCAACCCATTTCATGACCCATCTCCTTGGTCAACCCATGAACCTCATCTGCAGACCCCAATTTTATGTCCCTCACAGCATCTCATATTAGTCCTTTCCAACCAAGTATTTGACTCTTTCTGCCAAACACCTCATACTTTTTCTACCTCCTACACAATCCATGCACTGCAACCATCAATCCCATGCCAAGGTCACTGCCTCCCCTCCTCTGCCATGCCTTTCCCATCTCCTGCAACTCGTTTTACATCGTTTTACATCTACACTGCCATCCATCTTATGTATTATCTCTTTCTCAGCTACACATGTTATGCCCACCTGCCAACCACATTATCCCCCCTGCCAAATAATGTAGTGCCCTCTGCCAACCAGGGGATTAACACAGGGGCTGATGGAGCTGCAGCTGCAGGCTCAGGCCAATGGAATAGGCCCATTGATTTAAAAACAAAACCAAAATACTGGGAGACATGGGGACAGTTTTTGGTGATTTTACAGAATCTTCTCTTATGTCACTCCTTGTGATTTACATCATGTGATGTCATGCATACATATTTAGTTATGCAAATTAGTAAGGCCTGTATTTTTTTCCAAGAAAGGTGGCAACCCTAATTACTCTTCACAATCTCTTGCTTAAGTATGGAAACTCAAGAGGGATATATGGAAACAAACCTTGTGTGGACTAGCTGAATTGAAATTAGTTAAGGTAATGCTGACTTTAGTCTCTCTAACAATGTGGCATGTTCTTTCTTCTACACTCACTACATCCACCTTTTCTCTGTCTCAGACTATATACCAGGAGCTTCTGCCTGCTAGTAAGAAGGTAAGGAGACAAGTGGACACGTGAGTGCTAGGGGACAGTCCTTCAAAAGCATGGAGCGATCATATCATTAGACGCATTTATGCCAAGTTCAGAATGCTGTTGGTGAGCAGGCATGATTGGCAGGCAGCCTGACATGCATTCATGCCAGGCTAGCCTTCCAATTCTTTGAGCAGACACACCTCCTTTTTGGGCATGTTCCTCCCTTCTGGTTACATGATCCACGTCAGTGGCCCACCCTTTTACACCGCCCATTGACTTTCTGCTTCACTGGACACTGCTGTTAGGGGGTATGGATTTACTTGATAGATGAAAGCATGAAATAGAGAGAGATTGGCATATTTTAAGAGAATCTGAGGTTTTTTATAGCTGCATCCTACGAGTTTTCCTCCGGCAACATCTCAACCAGAAACATAACACTTGAGAGGTATGACTGTTTTAGTGTTTTTGGTTGATAAGATGAACTTAGGCCCCTCATAATTGTCAACACCAGGGCCGGCCATAGGGGTGTGGGAGCTGTGCGGCCGCACAGGGCGCCATGGGAGCAGGGGGCACCATGCAGACAACACAGCTCACACAAGGCCGGCCGGGCTTATATAAGAAAACACAAAACAATATTGCAAAGGGGGTGGGGCTTACCGTTCGGTGGAGCGGAGCTAAACTGATGGTGGGGCAGAGCTAAAAGTGCCAGGTAACTGCTGCAGGGGAAGCAGGAAGGAGTCCCTGCTTCCCCAACAACCAGCCTCCAGGAGCTGCACTGCCTCCACTCCTCCATAATGAACAAAGGTAACTATGTGTGATTGTCTGCCTGTGTGTGTGGCTGTCTGCCTGTATTTTTCTATGTGACTGTGTGTGTTTGTGTGTGACTGTCTGCCTGTGTGTGTCTGTGTGTATGACTGTCTGCCTGTGTGTGTCTATGTGACTGTGTGTGTTTGACTGTCTGCCTGTGTGTGTGTGATGGTGTGTGTGTGACTGTCTGTCTGTGTGTATGACTGTCTGCCTGTGTGTGTGACTGTCTGCCTGTGTGTATGACTGTCTGCCTGTGTGTGTGACTGTCTGCCTGTGTGTGTGACTGCCTGTGTGTGTGTGTGACTGTCTGCCTGTGTGTGTGACTGTCTGCCTGTGTGTGTTTGTGTGGCTGTCTGCCTGTGTCTGTGTGTGTGACTGTCTGCCTCTGTGTGTGTGTATGTCTTCCTGTGTGTTTAGCTGTCTGCATCTGTGTGTGTGTGCGTGTCTGTGTGTATGTGTGTGGTTGTCTGTGTGTGTGTGTTTATGTGGCTGTCTGCCTGTGTGTGACTGTCTGCCTGTGTGTGACTGTCTGCCTGTGTGTGTGTGACTGTCTGTGTGTGACTGACTGCCTGTGTGTGTTTGTGTGGCTGTCTGCCTGTGTGTGTGTGTGCCTGTCTTCCTCTGTGTGTGTGTGCCTGTCTTCCTCTGTGTGTGGATGTCTACCTGTGTTTGTATCGCTGTCTGCGTGTGTGTGTGTGTCTGTCTGTGTGTATGTGGGTTTACACTCCTATACACACACACTACACATGGATGACGCGGGGGGAATGTGAAGATTTTTTTGAACAGGGCGCCTAAAGGCCTAAGGCCGACCCTGGAACTGCAGCTCCATCAGGCCCTATGTTAATCCGGCCCTGACTGTGGGACACTGCATCAAATTCATTTTTCATGGTAGTGTGTATGATCAGCATGGGAGTGAGAGTCCTGGCAGTATGCATGCTCTGTCAGTGCCTCTGGGTGCTGAGCGCCAATAGAGAGAGTGGGGGTATGGTGTTATGTCTCTGACCCTTCCACACAGAACCTAACTTCAAACCGGAAAACAAGGTGGATGTCCAGTCACAGTACAGTCACTGAATTTACCGGCTCCATTCAGACTGCAGTTTTCATCCTGTCACCCCTGCAGTATTTCTGAAGAGAACTCAAGAAAGGCTCAGAAATGAGCTGAATGAAATCTTTATTCTAGGTGCCGGGGCGTCCGATTTCCCTGGATAGCGACTGAAAGTAGGAGAATTCACAAAACACGGAGAATAAACCTAATTGCAACATTTAGGCAAAAATAGCTGATTTGGAAAAATCCTCCAACTTCGCCATAGAAACAGCTTGGCCAGATTTACAATGTGATTTTGCAATTCACTACAATTTAGTGTTTAGTGAATAATAAACCCCACAATCTCTATGATGTCTCCATAACTAGCGTTGTATCGATTTACCTCGATCTAGATAACCCATGCAACAATGTGCATGAAACAGGCCCAGTAAGTCATTTCATTATTCAACATTGTCTTATAAACAGTCCATGTAGAAAGAAAGAAACATGTTTTTATTACATGCACCAATCAAACTTTAAATTTTCTGTAAAAGATTATCATCCTTTTCCTCTTAACATGTCGAGACCCAAGCCTTCTTAGTATCAGCCCCCAAAAGGGTCAATAAGGTCAAACAACCTATAGGCCATTCTCAGTTTCAATTTATCTCATTTTGTGTATGTCACAAAACAAGTTTTTCTTACAGACTCTGTCCCAAACAACGTCTTTTTTTTTGTGTGGATCATATACAAAAACAATGTTCAGCCGTCCGTGGTATGTGTCCTTATATCTCCAAATAAGCTTCTCCATTGCAGCCTTCCCATCGAAGCGCCAATGTGGCCAGTTACAACGTGGGACTCTCCATGCCAGACACTAACACTCTGTGCAGGGAAACACCGTTATTGGGAAGACATCCCGTTGGATAGTTCCACCTCTAAGTTAGGCCTTCCTGAAAATTCTCCCAGGCTTCCGATACTCTCTCGAGCGATCTCTTCTGATAGTGTTGACAGTGAGCTGAGAAAGTCCGACTCTCGAGGAGGACCTCGTGTAACTGCAGAAATGAAAAACAATAAATTATGGGGCAAATTACAATGTGAACAAGATAATGCAAAGCAATTCTGAGTAAATTTATCTTGTGAGCTGGAGTTAGTAGGCCAACCTAGGATAAGGTCTCCTGTTACCCTGAGTATCAGTCCATAGATTCTATAAGCAGCAAATTAGTGTTTCAATATAACATATTTTCTATAACATTAGTTCTCATGCTCATTTCTTAATTTCCAGTAGAACCATCTATAGCAGAGAGACAAGTGTGTTCAAGCTTGTGTTTCCATTGCCCGCTAAATGTCCTGAGATTAAATGCATTGAATGGTTTATATATTTGAAGAAACTATGTGGTTGATTGATGGCTCCAAATTAACTTTATTTGTTTTAGCTCCAAAAATTAAACATGCGCCCAGGTGGGTATTGTAAGGCCAGTTGTGTTGATATGCGGGAATATGACTGGCAGATTCAGTCAAGGGGGCTCATTCCCCAGGCTATGTGTTAACAACTGACATTAGCTGCTCCCTTAAGGATCACTATAGGGTCAGGAACACAAACATGTATTCCTGACCCTATAGTGTTGTTAAAACCACCATCTAGCCCTCCTGGGCCCCTCATGCCTCCATAAATATAGCAAAATATTACTGAATTCAAGCCAGAAGCTGTAACTCTGCATGCTGTTTGCCTCAGAAAAAACAAGCAGTCCGCTGACATCATCAGAAGTGGTAGCCTGATCCAATCACAGTGCTTCCCCATAGGATTGGCGGAGACTGACAAGTAGGCAGATCAGGGGCAGAGCCAGTACAATTCAAACACAGCCCTGGCCAATCAGCATCTCCTCATAGAGATGAATTGAATCAATGAATCTATATGAGGAAAGTTCAGTGTCTGCATGCAGAGGGAGGAGACACTGAATGTTTGGATGCATTTTAGGCAGCCATGACCCAGGAAGGATCTCTAACGTCCATCTGAGGAGTGGTCAGTAAAGTTATCACTAGGCTGTAATGTAAACACTGCATTTTCTCTTAAAAGACAGTGTTTACAGCAAAAAGCCTGAAGGTAATGATTCTACTCACCAGACCAAATGCAATAAGCTGTAGTTGTTCTGGTGACTATAGTGTCCCTTTAAAGCTGATACTGAATGCAGAGAAGCAGTTATGTAGAATGCAGGAGGAGGTATGCAGAGGGGCTGGGGGACGGTATGTGGAGGGGCAGGCCAGCAATCATGGTTGCTGGGAACTGCAGAATAGACGTGTAAAAATGTGTTGTAATTTTGTCCATATTTGTGTCCATCGATTTCAAATGGCCCGAGTTAAAATTATTTTTCAAGTTCGGATTATAAGGATTTTAATTCAGACGATTTGGTTGTGTTTTTGAACAAACCTAGTTTTTAAGATTACCAGGCATGTTATTCAGACCAATCACTTAAAACTATTTTTTGCTCATGTCTAGTGCGGAACAAGTGAAATGAGTTAACCAGCAGCTAGACACCTTGTTGTCTCACATAATGGGGAAACTGCGGGCTCAGTGACACCAGCGGAGGCTTCTTTCATACCAAGAGTCTGACTACGGTGATATAACCATCATCAGAAGTCAACACTGTCACATAGAGTTTCCTACAGGCTAGCAGAGAGTGCCTACACATGACCCCACATGGGACTCCAGCCTCAGTAGGTCCATAATCAAATGTCTGAGCATCTAACACACTATGTTGCTCAGCACAAAGAAAAAAAACGATTTAGTTATTAAAACATAATTCTATTTCACCTTTAGTCGAATTTAAGGCACTGCAAGGTCTCACAGTGTTCAGCTATTTCTGTTGTCGATAACACAATAACCCAGTGTTTGGTGACTTCTTTGTTTTTGGACGTATAATCCCAGATTAAAACCACAAAGTGTAATCTGCCTGAGAAAGGCTTTGGTTAAATGTGTGGAGTGAAACAAACTGTACTCATCTGGTAATGCGATCAGCCTGGTTCATAGTACAAATGTAAAAAAAACAACTGTATGTACACCAGACTGAACTGAAGAGATTTCAAAGACCGTTTCTTTAAATAACTGTTACTATTGGTTTTTACATAGTTTATAACATTCCTTTATGCATATTAGACTAATCTGTTTTAGGCAACTGGTAAAAATACAAACTGTATCATAAATGCTGTAAAATAAAAAAAGCTTAGAAATAATTTTCCCAGCATAAAAGTGATACAAAGTATTTGAAAACCACAATTTTTCAAAGTGGAATCTGACTGTTAGAAACTATGGCTACTGTGTCACGCAATTCATTAAAGGACCACTCTAGGCACCCAGACCACTTCAGCTTAATGAAGTGGTCTGGGTGCCTGGTCCAGCTAGGATTAACCCTTTCTTCTATAAACATAGCAGTTTCAGAGAAACTGCTATGTTTTTAAATGGGTTAATCCAGCCTCTAGTGGCTCTCTCATTGACAGCCGCTAGAGGCATCTGCGTGCTTCTTACTGTTAAAATCACAGTGAGAAGACTCCAGCGTCTATAGGAAAGCATTGTAAATGCTTTCCTATGAGACTGGCTGAATGCGCGAGCAGCTCCTGCCGCGCATGCGCATTCAGCCGAAGAGGAGGAGAGCTCCCCGCCCGGCGCTGGAAAAAAGGTAAGTTTTAACCCTTTCCTCGTCATCCAGCACTGGCGGGAAGAGGACCCTGAGGGTGGGGGCACCCTCAGGGCACTATAGTGCCAGGAAAATGAGTATGTTTTCCTGGCACTATAGTGGTCCTTTAAGATGTCTGGCAAAAAAACAAACAAAACAAAAAACACTCTGAATTTTATATGAAAGAGCAGTCCCGTCATTGACAGTTTAAGGCCATGGTTATTTAAATGTGAATACTAATAAGTACACAACTCCCCGCCCCATATTTTGTAATGTTACAACATGGAATTAAAACTGATTTTGTTTCCCACATCTCGATCCTGAAAATGTTCCCATTCTTCTATTGAAATTACTCAATTACGAGAGCTGTCCAAGGGAAGGAAGTGAAAACTAAATTAGTTTTATGAGCTAATTTCTGACAAATCACCTGTAAAAATTACAAATATTAACAATGATCTTTATATAACTATGACAGAAATGAGAATGGGTAAGGCAGACATGACAGTAGGATTAACAGAAGCTGTCACTCCTTCTGCCGACTCTCGTACTGACTTTAAACCCAAGATGTGCAGCTTTGCGGTCCAATTACACAGAACACACAGACAGACTACCAGACATTCACATGGGCTGCCACCTGGCTCTGCCTGAAATATCAACTATTGGAATAAAAATATACATTTAATAAATTGTGATAATAAAAGAAATGACACCATGGCAGTACAAGCCACGATTCATTAGGATGCGTGCAAAGGAAGTTTTATAATAAAGGGTGAATTCAAACACCATAATCGATATAGCCTGTTCATGATGGCAGGTGCGCCCAGTTCCCTGAGATGAGGCAAAATTGCTTAGCAACAGTTTGCCCCCTTACCTGGGTCCCTGCTGGGCTCCGATGCTCCTTAGAGGCCCAGTGACGCACTTCTGGTTCTCGGATAACCATCTAAGAGAAACCACGACAGAGCAAAGAGCTACAGAATAAGTGAGTTTAAATAACCCTCTTGCATATCCAATTGGCTGTACCTAGCCCTTGCCCCCAAAATGTGCGTGTGTGTCTTTTGCACCGACATGTCGCACAAGCCAGGCATCATGGCAGAAGACCACCGAGCGGCACTACCCTCGATCTTCAGAAGGTAATTATCTCAGTTTTTGTCACATGGAGATGAAGAATACGCGACACAGACATTCAGAAAATGAACTTTGCACAGAATTGACATTAGCCAGCTCAAAACTCTGGCTCTGCTGGAGGTGAGAGCAGCATTTTAAAATGAAACGTGCGCATACAGACTTCAAGAACCATATTTAATATGTCTTATATCATGCTCTTATTTAATTTCCTTTACTGGCATTAACATGTTGCTGGTTTCTGAGAACAAAATGCAATGAAAAATGGTGAGCTGTCTCTTTCACCTGTGGCTGTCTCTTTGATCTCACTCCTTATCTCTCTTAATATCTTTCTAGATTATCCCGCCCCCATTTAAAAGCCCTATCACCACAAATACCATGTTTCTAATTATATTTACTCATTCCCTCTTCATCTCCTACAATGGCATTCACTTAAGTGGGAATTCACGCAATCTCAAATGTGTTTTAAATTTCAGGTCAAAAAAAATTCTGTCAGGTCGGCTACTCTGGCCTTAAATTTTAAATTCACTTTGAATTCTCACTTTAGTGAATAAACCCGCTAGATTGTCATGAAAGTTGCTTATTGAAGCTTCGTTTCAGATTGAACTGCCATATACCTATTCAATATATAATAAATAAATATAGAGTTTTTGTTTTTTTCCCTATATCTCCTGCTAGTTTTTCTCAGTAGATATGAACCACATGATGAGAACATGCTCCTATCAGTGTCAGTTCTTGTACGAAGCAATGCGTCACACCGTACATCACTCAAATGTTTTTAATAATATTACTCTTAAGTGACTTTAGAAGCATTAAATGGAGTACATTTTCACATTGCTGAATGGATTAACTCTTTGTCTCATGCAGATACAATGCATGGCACTCAATGGGCACATCTCGCAGAGAAGGAACAAAGCCAGAACAGCCTGAGATTTTAGAGAATTTTTCTAACAAGCTTCTTAGCTGAGATGAACATTTTCAGATGGCATTGTCCTGCGCCAGTGGTTGCCAGGTGGATCCGAGAGTCGCTAAACTGCTGTTAGAGTGCTTTTGGCATGATGGACTCAGAAGGCAAGACATGCAGCCCGTGCCAGCCTTTCATACATGGTCATTCCTTACAGACAATAATAAAATGAACACAAGTAGCAAGACCCGACTGACACTCTAATCCTTAGGGATTTTCTATAAAGCCACGGATTACAGGAGACTGCTCCTAATATCCCAATACACATTGCCCCACTTCCCTACCGGCTAGCCAAGGACAGACACTTAGACTAAAAATCTTAACCCTTTCCTTCCCAGCTCCCAGAATTATCCTTCTCCAAACCTTTTTATCTGTAAATGGGATGCTAAGAACAGATACACCTTAATATTTACCAGTTATTGGACTACTGTACATATTAAGGACAGCGATTCGGGGGTTCAGTCCAATGTCCATGTATGAACTATTTCCAGGGTCCTCAGGGGACACAAAGTATTATCAGGCACATTCCCATTAATTTATTGGATTCAATCTAATTAAAATGTTGATAGTCTTTCAGAGGTGATGGATACTCTGTTGTGGGAGAATTCGGGGAAGGTGAGAGGTTATCGAAGCATCTAATGATATAGATATGTCTTTATCAAACGATGATACCAGGTCCCTGGTGTGGGATTTAACAAGACGTGTCTATATCTACGCAGGGCTGATACTCACAATCTCAAGCACTCACCTAGACGACCAGACAGGTCCGGGTTGTTTTTTGGGTTTGCACGCCAGTTTCTTGTATTCCATCCATCCAGACACTAGCTCCTGCAGAATCACCATGTAAAGAAGGAAAATAAGGATTCTGGGGTCGATCTGCGGAAGCTCCGAATCCAATTCTCCTGCCATTTCACACACCAGACAGTTGCTTAGCTCCCAATGACCCAGCCTGGTCCTCTGCCTTTGGAGATGAGGGAGGTAGATGTGGCTGCTGAGGATGCAGCTCGCTGCTTTACATGAGAGAAGCTCTCAGGGTTCATGAATGATGCAAAGCCCCCAGGAGACCTGATAGGGTGGGGTGGGGGGAGCTATGATGTGCTATGCTGAGCAGCAATGTGTATAGACACAAACTGCAGCTGCCCCTGCATTAATAAATAATTGACTGGCACACACCCAATACATTTCCCTGCAAATACATTCCCTGTGATATTCCTAATCAGAAGCTGCGTTTATAGCCCTTTAAATGCGAAAGAGCTGAGTTGTACATTTTTATCATCAGTTTATCGCAGTGCTAACATATACTTTATATTTATTCTTTTTATTTATGATGTCGGTCACAGCTGGCTCCTTAGACAGGAATAAAAAAAAACCTGAAAAAATGGAGGTGACGATTGGAGTTTTCGAAATTGTAATAGGTGCTAATGACAAGCGTTTGTGCTGCACCTGAATACACGCTAGGTTCCGAGGGTGATGAAAAATAGAATCAAAAGAAACCATCATTAGAAAATAGATTAGCTTCCTGGCTAATGCAGTACTTTGCAGTCAATATTCTTATTGTGACATATCAGGTGCATCAACAATTCAAGGATTCTGTAATTAAAATAATGGTTGAGCGCTTCATTAAAAAGGGGACACAAAGGTTCTACGGGCTGCGTCAGGTTGTGTTCTAGCATAATGATCAAGTTAAACAGGTCCTGCACTCCGGCAACTGAAACAGAAAAAGGTTTATTAGTGTGAAATGGGATATTTTCAACCAACATCATTTCAACACGTTGAAGGTCAAAAGTTTGTCATTAAACTATAACTACCCTATAGAAAAAAAAGTATGAAAAATAATATCTATTTAATATTCTGTGTTTCTGAATCCTGGATTAAATGGGAAATGTCACTTCCTTGGAAATGACACCACGGAATTAAACATTGAAAAATCACCTATAACTTGTGTTAACATTTTTTTTTTTTCACGAGAAGATCCATTTTCTTTAAATGTATATTTCGAGTAAGATTTAGCAATTCAAGTTACAATCCAGTTAAATGCTGGCACATTGGAGAAGTAGAAACACAAACATTGGTTTTAGCTGAGAGTAACCATATTGCTTTCCTAGTGACCAGGGATGCACTGTGAGGTCTTCCTTAAAACCAATATGTCTGTAACCTCATTGTAAGCTTTAGTATTGCTAGAATGTGTCAGAAGACTGAAAGTGTGCAATCTAGGAACACTTAAATTGTAGGAGGAAATAGAACATGTAATACAGAGTTTAAGGTTATAGTATTCTCTAAAAGCCTACTTAATACCCATTAATTTAGTCACTAATTGTACATCATGGTTAACAATGACTATAAATGATAAGACATGTGACTTAGGAATTGTTTTGATCACCCAGAATAGATTAAAAAAAATAAAAACTTCACAATTTTGTTTTTATTATTATTTTGAAATTGGACAGAAATCCGTCCCCAGTCCCCTCTGCACGAGTTATTGGCAGGGAATGGACGGAGCGGCTGTTGTCTTGGAAGGATATCATCTGGCACGGGGATGGTTAGTGCACAGAAAACACAGACTGCAGCTGGAGAGGAGGAGGAGAGGCTGGCAGATGCTCGGAGAGATTTCACATGCAATGGATGAGTGATGGCGAGATCCAGTTTCCATGGTAACAGCAGTTGCCATGATAAAGATGGGCTCACCTCAAGCCGCCAGCATAGCTCAGCTGGAGTCAGGAATGGCCTGTGGTAGAAACAGGACTGTCTGACAATCCCACACCAGCAGATCTACGTCCTAGCTCTGACATTAAATAAATGACATTTAAATGACAAAGTTTTAAGAAGAATCACACTTGTTTTTGCAATTAATTTAAAGGAATTGTGTTTGTCTTTGTGTCTATTTTTCTATGTCTGCTTATTTATTTACCCATCAGTCTTTCTGCGTGTTTACTGATCAGCCACAACATTAAAACCACCTGCCCAAAACAGCTCTAATGCATTGGGGCATGGACTCCTCTAAACATGTCCTGTGGTAAATGGCACCAAGACATTAGCAGCAAGTCCTTTAAGTCCTGCAAGTTGCGAGATGGCACCTCACTGGATCAGATTTGTGGTTCCATCATATCTCACAGACGTTTCCTAGCAGAACTTTGTCCAGAGCATTACATTGCCTCCACCGGCATGCATTCTTTCCATAGTGCATCCTGCTGCCACGTCTTACCCAGATACACATGCACACTCACTCGTCTATCCACCAGATTTAAAAGAAAACATGATTTATCAGACCAGGCAACCTTCTTCAACTGCTTAATGGTCCAGTTCTGATGCTCACTTCCCCACTGAAGGTGCATTCGGTGGTGGACAGGGGTCATCATGGGTACTTTGACTGTTCTACATCTATGCAACCACATACGTGGCAAACTGTGATCTATTACGTGTGTTCTGACACCTTTCTATCATGGACAGCATGAAGTTTTTTTTTTTTAGCAATTTGAGTTACAGTAGGTCTTCTGTGTAATCAGATCAGACAGGCTAGCCTTCGCTCCCCACGTGCATCAATGAGCCTTGGGCGCCCATGACCCGGATGCCAATTCACTGTATGTCCTTTTTGCTGGTCATTTTACCTGTTTCTTTCAAGAGCCGACTTAAATAAAGATTAAAATTCAAGAAATGACTGTTCACTTGCTGCCTAATAAAATAAAATATAGCTACTTGCAGAAAGCGTTTATTAGAGGACAAGGAAAAAAATGAAAAACTTTTTAATACTTTACCTTTAAGAGCACTGCTATGTTATTTGAAATATGAACGTATACTGCTTAGTGCAGCTTACCCATTTGTCTTCAACACACCATGCACAAAAATACAGACAAACTTATAGTAACAGTAAAGGTGGAGTGTTAGTTTTAGATATGTGTTTAAGGAATAAAAAACCCCTCTGAAATACTTAAAGGGACACTCCACTGTCCAAATATAAAAAAAAAAAAAATACAAATTACAGTTTAGTAGATATACCCCAAATTAAAACTTGCATGGATCCAATTATGCATGTTTTCATTGCTGGCATATATAAAAACAACTTGCAAAACCGGCAGATCTCGTCTGCTGCCTTTGCAAACCCTCCCCTTCTAACCCCGCCCAGACTTTCTGTGACTGACCAATCACAGACTTCCCAATGCAGCTTAATGAGAAGTCTTTACAAGGCAGGTGATCTGGGCAATTGCAGCCTTTTGAGTTCAGCTGCACTGCGCTAACGAAACCAGGAAGTAACAGGATTGGTTGTCTTATTGAAAACCAATGGGATGTTACCAGATTAATTATTCAAATGTCAAATTTCTACTGAAATCTGCACTTTTTGCAAAATGAAAAAAAAAGGACACACTTTTCACACATACACACGACAAGATAAAGTGCCTTAGGGGTCTGGAGTATCCCTTTACTGTCTTGTGGTTTCTTCTGACGTAATCTCCACATTCCACAATATACAAATGTAAAAAATGAATTAAAAGGACCAATAGTGCAGATGGTTTTAAATAAATAAAGAATATACTCACAGGTTTAATTAGTTAAATTGGCGATGTTCATATAGTGACAAAGTGCATATACATGTTATATATTATATGCTGCCCAATATATCCCACCCCTTATATATAGTATGTATATAATCAGTGGTGTTCACTTCACCTGTCAGTGGTTTTAACATTGTGGTTGATCATTGTATGTCTGTCTGCCTATCAGACTTTCATCTGTTTTTCAGATGTAATAAAATATAGTGTTTAAAGGAACACTATAGTCACCTAAATTACTTTAGCTAAATAAAGCAGTTTTAGTGTATAGATCATTCCCCTGCAATTTCACTGTTCAATTCACTGTCATTTAGGAGTTAAATCACTTTGTTTCTGTTTATGCAGCCCTAGCCACACCTCCCCTGGCTATGATTGACAGAGCCTGCATGGAAAAAAAAACTGGTTTCACTTTCAAACAGATGTAATTTACCTTAAATAATTGTATCTCAATCTCTAAATTGAACTGTAATCACATACAGGAGGCTCTTGCAGGGTCTAGCAAGCTATTAACATAGCAGGGGATAAGAAAATCTTAATTAAACAGAACTTGCAATAAAGAAAGCCTAAATAGGGCTCTCTTTACAGGAAGTGTTTATGGAAGGCTGTGCAAGTCACATGCAGGGAGGTGTGACTAGGGTTCATAAACAAAGGGATTTAACTCCTAAATGGCAGAGGATTGAGCAGTGAGGCTGCAGGGGCATGTTCTATACACCAAAACTGCTTCATTAAGCTAAAGTTGTTCAGGTAACTATAGTGTCCCTTTAATGTCTTTTCATGAATATATTCATACCCTGTTTTGCATCTTGATCTTCTTGTGGAATCTAGCAGATTAAGACACTCTTTCTGTATAAATAATACAGTAAAGTCAGTCCCTTTTATAGAACAGCTTACTGTATTCTTACTTAATAATTAATCTCATTTGAATTCCAAGCCTCACGGGTGCTGAACGCAGATCTTTAATTTGGGTTCTTCAGTAGAGATGTTACAGGTATAAATAGGATTATTACAGACCCACACATCCGTCTTCCTCCTTAGTCCTTACACATCCCATCTCTATCCCACCCCACCCCACTAAATCCCACCCCATCCCATCCCATTTCCATTCCACCACATCTAATCTCCATCCCACCCCATCTCATCTCCACCCTACCCTATTCTAATCCCACTCCATCAAATCCCACACCATCTCCATCCAATCCTCATTCCACCCCATCCCACCCCATCTCATCTCCATTCCACCCCATTACCATCTCATCTCCATGCCCATCCCATCTCCATCCAACCCCATCTCCGCCCCATCCCATCCCACCCCCATCTCCATCCCATCTCACCCCATTTCCGCCCTTATCCCATCTCCATCAAATCCCATCTCCATTCCCATGTCCATCCCACCACATCTCATCTCCATCCCATCCCACCCCATCTCATCTCCATACCCCCATCTTCAGGGCTGCCATCAGAATATTTAGGGACAGTGACACAGCTCATGATCTGGGCCCCCGGGGCCAGCCCTTGAGTCCGCCCACAAGGATGAAGTGTGTGTGTGTGTGTGTGTATAGTGGATGTAGAATGTGTGTTATGGATGCAGTGTGTATAGTGGATGTAGAATGTGTGTAGTGGATGCGGTATGTGTGTCATGGATGCAGTGTGTATAGTGGATGCAGTGTGTGTGTCATGGATTCAGTGTGTATAGTGGATGCAGTATGTGTGTCATGGATGCAGTGTGTATAGTGGATGCAGATTGTACGTTTTGTGTAATGTATTTAATGTTTGTATGCATGCATTAGATGCAGAGTGTGTGTGTAGGGAATGTAGGTGTGTATAGTGAATGCAGTGTGTGTGTTTTTGTAGTGGATGTAGTGTGTATAGTGAATGTAGTGTGTATAGAGCATGTAGTGTGTTTGTAGTGAGTGCAAAGTGTGTTTAGTGAATGCAGTGTGTGTGTGTGTGTAGTGCAAAGTGTGTTTAGTGAATGTAGTGTGTGTGTGTGTAGTGCAGAGTGTGTTTAGTAAATGTAGTGTGTAATGAGTGCAACGTGTGTATAGTGAATGTAGTGTGTGTGTGTGTAGTGCAAAGTGTGTTTAGTGAATGTAGTGTGCATGTGTAGTGCAGAGTGTGTTTAGTGAATGTAGTGTTTGTAGTGAGTTCAGAGTGTGTTTAGTGAATGCAATGTGCGTGTGTAGTGCAGAGTGTGTTTAGTGAATGTAGTGTTTGTAGTGAGTGCAGAGTGTGTTTAGTGAATGTAGTGTGCGTGTGTAGTGCAGAGTGTGTTTAGTGAATGTAGTGTGCGTGTGTAGTGCAGAGTGTGTTTAGTGAATGTAGTGTGTGTGTGTAGTGCAGAGTGTGTTTAGTGAATGTAGTGTGTGTAGTGCAGAGTGTGTTTAGTGAATGTAGTGTGAGTGTGTAGTGCAGAGTGTGTGTTTGTAAGGATGCAGTGTGTGTGTAAAATAGGGGGGAGGGGAGTATTTTTTTAAAATATATTTATGTATATTTCAATTTTATTCCCCCCTCCCTGGTTTTTACCGTGACAGGGAGGGGGGAGATTGCATTCCCTGGTGGTCCGGTGGCATGGTGGAGGGAGACAGCCGTGGTACATTGAAGAGGGGGCCCAGCAGCACACTGTCTTCCTTTCCAGCTCCTCTCTGACTAACTCTTGCGAGACCGACCTGCGTGCTGTGCAGAGCGTTGCCATGGTAACCCGTGGCAACGCTCTGGCGGCCGCAGGGCGCAGGAAAGTTAGACAGAGAGGAGCTGGAAGGAGGACAGAGTGTGCTGCTGGGCCCCCTCTTCAATGTACAGGTAGCATGGGGCCCTCTGTGCACATATATATTTAGCAAAAATCACTATATATGTGCAGGAATGTGGGGCTCGGAATGCCAGAGTAGTTCGGCCCCCCCAGGACCGCCGGGCCCATGACAACCGTTATGGTTGTCATGCCCTGATGGCGGCCCTGCCCATCTTCATCCCACCCCCATCCCACCTCCATCCCACCCCATCTCACCTCCATCCCACCCCCATCCCACCTCCATCCCACCCCATCTCACCTCCATCCCACCCCATCTCACCCCATCCATCCCACCCCATCCCCCACCCCACCCCCCATCCCACCATCCCCCCCCATCCCACCTCCATCCCACCCCCCATCCCACCCCAATCCCCATCCATCTCACCCCATCCATCCCACCCCCATCCCATCCCACCCCATCCCCACCCCCCCCCCATCCCACCTCCATCCCACCCCCCCATCTACATCCTAGCCCCATCTCAAATCCCCCCTACTCCCCCACTCTCACTCCATTCCTATCCAATCCCCCAATGATTATTTTATTCCCTGCCCTATCTATCCCTCCCCCCCCCTTTGCTGCTCACAGTTGGAGGAGCTGTTCCTCTTTCTGGTGCTGAAGCTGATCGATGCGCTCGGCGCTCGGCGTGCTGGCCGCTCAGATGGATTGGTGATGCCTGGTTGCCGTGGTAACCAAGCACGCAGTATGGGGGCCGCCATGGAAGCCGGAAACCCGGGGAGAGAGATCACCGAGAGCGGACTGGGGGCCCTGGACAGGCGGGTGAGGGGCCCTGGGGGGCATGGGGGGCCCTGTGGGGGGCATTATAGCATGTATATGGTGAGGTTCCCACATGTTCCATGGGGGCATGGGGCACCGTTGGGGGCATTATAACATTTATGGTGAGAGTTCTCACATGTTCCATGGGGGGCATGGGGGCACCGTGGGGGGGCATTATAACATTTATGGTGAGAGTTCTCACATGTGCCATGGGGGCATGGGGCACCGTTGGGGGGCATTATAGCATTTATGGTGAGGTTCTCATGTTCCATGGGGCATGGGGGCACGTTGGGGGGCATTATAACATTTATGGTGAGAGTTCTCACATGTTCCATGGGGCATGGGGCACTGAGGCATTATAACATTTATGGTGAGAGTTCTCACATGTGCCATGGGGGGGGGCATTATAACATTCTTGGATAGTCTCATTGCGGTCAGCAGCTTTTACTTCTCAATACTCCGCTCATTAAAGAACATTGTATCCCTTATTCTCTCTCTGCTTCGGCTAGGAATGGGTTTACCATATGAACCTGCAATGCCGGGGGTTACATTCCCCCTTAGGGGTCTGGACCCAAATATCAGACCATTCAGAATACAATGACCCCTAATCACCCCTCTATTACATGAAGAAAAATCATCTATAGTATATGTACCAGAAACCTGTATATCTAATAATATATCTCATAGCTTTATATAGAGAGTAATAATAATAATAATAATAATAATATATCTCATAGCTTTATATAGAGAGTAATAATAATAATAATAATAATAATAATATCTCATAGCTTTATATAGAGAGAGTAATAATAATAATAATAATAATAATATATCTCATAGCTTTATATAGAGAGTAATAATAATAATAATAATAATAATATCTCATAGCTTTATATAGAGAGAGTAATAATAATAATAATATATCTCATAGCTTTATATAGAGAGTAATAATAATAATAATAATAATAATAATAATATATCTCATAGCTTTATATAGAGAGAGTAATAATAATAATAATAATAATATATCTCATAGCTTTATATAGAGAGAGTAATAATATATCTCATAGCTTTATATAGAGAGTAATAATAATAATAATAATATATCTCATAGCTTTATATAGAGAGTAGTAATAATAATAATATATCTCATAGCTTTATATATAGAGAGTAATAATAATAATAATAATAATAATATATCTCATAGCTTTATATAGAGAGTAATAATAATAATAATATATCTCATAGCTTTATATAGATTGTAATAATAATAATAATAATATACCTCATAGCTTTATATAGAGAGTAATAATAATAATATATCTCATAGCTTTATATAGAGAGTAATAATAATAATATATCTCATAGCTTTATATAGAGAGAGTAATAATATATCTCATAGCTTTATATAGATTGTAATAATAATAATAATAATATATCTCATAGCTTTATATAGAGTAATAATAATAACATATCCTCATAGCCTTTATACAGATTGTACACACACACACAATATACCCCATAGCTATATAGAGAGCACACACAATATATCCTATAGCTTTATATAGAGAGTAATAATATAATAATAATAATATATCTCATAGCTTTATATAGAGAGAGTAATAATATATCTCATAGCTTTATATAGAGAGTAATAATAATAATAATAATATATCTCATAGCTTTATATAGAGAGTAGTAATAATAATAATATATCTCATAGCTTTATATATAGAGAGTAATAATAATAATAATATATCTCATAGCTTTATATAGAGAGTAATAATAATAATAATAATATATCTCATAGCTTTATATAGATTGTAATAATAATAATAATAATATACCTCATAGCTTTATATAGAGAGTAATAATAATAATATATCTCATAGCTTTATATAGAGAGTAATAATAATAATAATATATCTCATAGCTTTATATAGAGAGTAATAATAATAATATATCTCATAGCTTTATATAGAGAGTAATAATAATAATAATAATATATCTCATAGCTTTATATAGAGAGTAATAATAATAATATATCTCATAGCTTTATATAGAGAGTAATAATAATAATAATAATATATCTCATAGCTTTATATAGAGAGTAATAATAATATATCTCATAGCTTTATATAGAGAGTAATAATAATAATAATAATAAATCTCATAGCTTTATATAGAGAGTAATAATAATTATATATCTCATAGCTTTATATAGAGAGTGTGTAATAATATATCTCATAGCTTTATATAGAGAGAGTGTGTAATAATAATATATCTTATAGCTTTATATAGAGAGTGTGTAATAATAATATATCTTATAGCTTTATAGAGAGAGTGTGTAATAATAATATATCTTATAGCTTTATAGAGAGAGTGTGTAATAATAATATATCTCATAGCTTTATATAGAGAGTGTGTAATAATAATAATATATCTCATAGCTTTATATAGAGAGTGTGTAATAATAATATATCTTATAGCTTTATATAGAGAGTAATAATAATAATATATCTCATAGCTTTATATAGAGAGTAATAATAGTTATATATCTCATAGCTTTATATATAGAGTAATAATAATAATATATCTCATAGCTTTATATAGAGAGTAATAATAATAATAATAATATATCTCATAGCTTTATATAGAGAGTAATAATAATAATAATATATCTTATAGCTTTATATAGAGAGTGTGTAATAATATATCTTATAGCTTTATAGAGAGAGAGTGTGTAATAATATATCTTATAGCTTTATAGAGAGAGTGTGTAATAATAATATATCTCATAGCTTTATATAGAGAGTAATAATAATAATATATCTCATAGCTTTATATAGAGAGTGTGTAATAATAATATATCTCATAGCTTTATATAGAGAGTGTGTAATAATAATATATCTTATAGCTTTATATAGAGAGTAATAATAATAATATATCTCATAGCTTTATATAGAGAGTAATAATAGTTATATATCTCATAGCTTTATATAGAGAGTAATAATAATAATATATCTCATAGCTTTATATAGAGAGTAATAATAATAATATATCTCATAGCTTTATATAGAGAGTAATAATAATAATAATAATATATCTCATAGCTTTATATAGAGAGTAATAATAATAATAATATATCTCATAGCTTTATATATAGAGTAATAATAATATATCTCATAGCTTTATATAGAGAGTAATAATAATATATCTCATAGCTTTATATAGAAAGAGTGTGTAATAATAATATATTTCATAGCTTTTTATATATATAGAGAGAGTGTAATAATAATAATATATCTCATAGCTTTATATAGAAAGTGTGTAATAAAAACATCTCATAGCTTTATATTGAGAGAGTAATAACAATGTATCTCATAGCTTTATAGAGAGAGAGTGAAATAATATATGTCATAGCTTTATATAGAGATAGTGTGTAATAATAATAAATCTTATAGCTTTATATAGAGAGAGTGTGTAATAATAATATATCTCATAGCTTTATAGAGAGAGTGTGTGTATTAGTAGACAAGGGGTGAACGTCACCTAATATTCCCCTTTATAGTCACATATTTACCTCTTTCGACATACAGCAGTCATATAAATCAATCTATCTATTAATTATTATTGCTACTATTAAATCTCTATATTATCTATTAGTATAGGTATATATCTATCAGTAACATAATAAATGGGGGTTCATAATAAATATTACGGGATCAGAAGACGAGGAGGGCGCTGTCCAAGCAAGCTGACGATTTATCTGCTGGTCTGTGTGTTTCTGTTCGTCTCTCAATAAGAGATCATAAAATGACATAATCAGAACTAGAAATTAATTTTACAGTCTGCAATTCCAACATCCAAAATGAAGACGGGTTCGTTAGCTGATGAACCCCCAAATCACAAGTCGCACCATACACAGGAGAGGCCCGATCACAAGTCCCAATCTGATGGTGTGGCCGGAGGCCCTTTCAGAGCAAGGTAACCATGAAAGTACTATGTGCTTTATTCCAACGCCAAATAAATAACAAAGTCATATTTACCGATACAGCCAACTCTGATTATAGATCATTTGTGGAAACAATTCCCCCTTCTACCCGCCATCTGTTATTTCAATACCAGTAAGGTTTATTTGCTAATCTGGATTTGTGAAGAATTGCAGATTTGAAACTAAAATTGCTGAGCTAAAAAAAAAGCTGAACACTGAGATTTTCCAATTTTGGCTCTTTTTGAATAAAATTTACCGTTTTCCCCAATTCACAGTTTAGTGAATAAACATCTTAGTTTACAATTTGTGTTTTTTTTTTTTTTAAACTTTCTATTATTTTCGATTTCATTAGGTTTTAATGGTGTAATACGTTTTAGATCCTCTCCCGCCCCCCTTGATGAAATCACTGCAAAACACTTAAGTGGGACAATGTTTTCACTTTTTTTTAATTTATTTTTTAAAATGTTTAGTGAAGAAAGTGCTTATTTGTGTGTGCGATAGTTAACTTTTATTGCCCTATTAGTGTAAGCAATTCTTGGTTGGCTTACGTATCTGGACAAATTCCTGATCTCTGAACCGGCTTTAAGTTTGCTGGAGTTGGGCCCTTTCCACTCTCACTCGATCCCAGCTCAGTACCTTTAATTGGGAATTGTCACAGCATTGATTTACCTCTGAAATTACCCCACGCTGGGCTTTAAAGTGCTTTCAGTTTCCACCTTACAATTATCTTGTCTCTGGTTCACTCAGAGCAGTTACTTCAACAATGAAAATTCCTTTCTCCACTTTTCAAGTTTAACCACTGACCTCTCAGTGTCTTAAATTTATTCCTCAGAAAAACAAAAACTGTGAGCACTCAAACTACTAATAAGGTCACACATGCCAGCGCCTCAGCATTTACAGCACGTCCGACAGCTACCCAGGGAGACAAACTGGCATTATCTTATCTACCATCTACGACAAAGGTTGGTGTCCTGATTTTCATCTTGATTTCTTATTACCTTTTATATCACCTTAAATTGACTGGTTGCTTAATAATGTCTAGATATGATAACCTTAAAGATTTGCACACTCATCTATTAATTAGCAGTTCTTCTGCCAAGCGTTATGAAGACTTTAAATGCAGTGGGCTAGAGGTTACTTTTGGTCACATGTCTGAGCCAGGCTAAGACTTCATTATCCATCAAAAACCCAATGCTGTAAGCTTTTATCCAAGAGATTGATTGAATTGCACAATGCTATGGTAACCTTCTTGCACACGCATCTAGCCTTTGTTATGTATGCTAATGAGGAATAAGGGAATTTTTTTATGCATCATAATTAATGTATAGATACACCGAGTGGGGTCAAAATTTGGGCAAAAAGTGCTGATTTACTAAAACAAATTACAACTCAGTTTGTCTATTTCCACCTGCATTTAAGTTTTCAATATACTACTTTATTGCATGACAGATATAGTGACTACATCTGTAGCAAAGCATCGTGGGAGATGTAGTCTACAACATCTGGAGCGCCAAAGGTTTCCTAGGCCTGCCCTATTGCATGTCATCTATAGGGTTAAATAGCAAATTCAATAGAATTTCCTGTGTTGCGTCAAAATATAATTTAAAAAGTTGGAAAAATGATTGAATTTGACCATTTTAACCAAATTGTGCAGATGAGTTGTTTTTCGCCACGTTTAGCTATTGAGAGGATAGCTATAATTTACAGACAGGTGTTTTTCCCCTTGCTGTTGATTGCCATCACTTTGCCAGTTCTTATGTTGGTATCTGTTTCCAGCAGAGATCTGGAGTAAGCACCGTGCCTGGGATTAGTGCCGCAGAATGCCAAGCTTCGCCAATACGCCAGAAGTTTCAGCACCAAGGGCAGACGGCACACGCTCTGATTCCAGTGAGGATTAAAAAGACAAGGTAGGCACAGAGATAATATTTGTGTTTGTTAAACGCAAAGCCTTCCAAAGTACACTTTTTGTTTATACACTGCAATTAATCCAAGTGATCTAAACCCTTAGGCTTAAAGATGAAAGGTTGAGTGATGTGAAACACTATTCTCCCGTTACCTACGAGTTCTCAGATTTACACTAAAACTATTTAACAGTGAAACATATCCGGCCAAAGTATAGCAAGGCGAGGATTTTATAAATTCATTCCTATGGCTACCATTTCAAACAGACTGAAATCTACCTTACTTCATTTCTTTCTATGTCCTTTGCTCAAAAAATACTTTGAATAATAGATTTAAAAGAACATTTCTTTTTAGTACTTCCTAAAATCAGATTTATTTACTAAACATTGAACTGCAGTATTTTTTTTTTTTTCTTCAATGTATAATTTTTTTGGAAAGATTTTACTTGGATATATGACAATTGTAGATTAGGCTAGCTTTAGTGTACCTATAATCTTAATTTTATTAATGACAGGAGGTGAGTATTTGCTTAAGTCTCTCTTTACTAGAACTCCACAGCAGCACATTAACACAGAGAAAAACCAACCAATCAGAAAAAAAGTTAGGTACAGTAAAACTCCCCTCCCCACACATAGCTTCCTCTTTCAAGCTGCGACAAAACAGAACAAAAGGCAGAAAAAACTATGTAGAGAAAAATTAGGATAGCCCTAGGATATAATCAATGCAGCAACGTCATCCATCGAGAAGAAATGTCAAACATGGCAACAAGGACGGACTGTCCACTGAAACGAGAGAAACAGAATCGAAAGGGCTGGTTAGACAATAAAATGTACTCTGAAGAAGCAGGCAGGCACCCAGTGTAACAACCAGAATTACCGTAATATACATAAATCCCAACCCTTATAAAGGAGGTGAAACATGAACAAGTGACATGTAGCAGAAACAACAAGCAGAGTTTTATACATACCTGATTATCCCATACATCTGACAACTAACCCAACAGGGAAGGGATGAAATAAGGAGGGATATATTTGCCTCCTGTCATTAATAAAATTAAGATTATAGGTACACTAAAGCTAGCATAATCTACAATTTTATAACATGACAGGAGGCTTCATATTTGCAGTTTTAGCGCTCAGCCAACAAATCAAACGATGCTTGTGTCGCTGGCAATTAAAGAAATAAGTCCAGAATGGACCCTTCAACCGCGAGATGTGACGGAAGCTTGATCGAAGAAGATGCCGGTCCTTGATGATCCTCCAAGTGCCGACAAAACGCCATTAGATATGCTGTACTTGGGAATCTGTGATCTGGTTCCGTCAGGGAGGTTGATATACTGTAATGCCAACATGTTGACCATTCTCAGCCCGACACAATGTGTTGAAAGGCACTGGCTGGCTTGGGCTTGCTTGACCTTGATGAGGATGGCGGCCTCTCCGATTGTCCAAGGGTCTCCCGTCGATGTGGGCGCGCAAGAAGTTCTCTAATCCCCAAGATGCGCGTCGTCTGAGTCCGCTTTAATGATTGGGGCAGGGCAAAATTGAACCTATCTGTTCCCCCCTTGATCCACGCAGCGAGTGGTCTCAACAGAGAAAAATTCCACCACTCGGGCCAGTGTGCGGAGGGGCCCCTGGCTGCACCCTAGATGTCTTCGGTACTCAAAGTTGATTGAGGAAAACTGTGACTGTGGTAGTCAAAGAACTCTTAAAGGGGCTCTATAGTGCCAGGAAAACAAACTTGTTTTCCTGGCTCTATAGTGTTAATAGGTCCCTCCCATCCTCAGGGTCCCACTCTCACTGGGCTGAAGGGGACTGAAGGGGTTAAAACACCTTTCTCCAGCGCCGGGCTCCTTCCCTCGGAACTCTCCTCCTTCTGCTGACATCAGCGCCAAATGCGCATGCGCGGCAGGAGCCACGTGCGCATTCAAACCACCCATAGGAAAGCATTATTTAATGCTTTCCTATGGAAGTCAGCATCTTCTCACTGTGATTTTCACACTGAGAATCGCGGAAGCACCTCTAGCGGCTGTCAGTGATACAGCCACTAGAGGCTTGATTAACCCTCAGTGAAACATATGTTTTCTGTTGCAGGGTTTAAACTAGTGGGACCTGGCACCCAGACCACTTCATTGAGCTGAAGTGGTCTGGGTGCCTGTAGTGGTCCTTTAACCCCTTAAGGACCAAACTTCTAGACTAAAAGGGAATTATGACATGTCACACATGTCATGTGTCCTTAAGGGGTTAAGGGCGTGTTTATCCAGAATCCCAAGAACCCCACCCTTGGGGCGAGGTGAGGCTGGATTTCCATGGTAGGCTGTGAAGCCTTGAGATACGAACAAGGGGAGTGTAAACAGAGGTTGAAATCCTAGTCCGAAGGCTTCGTCATGGAACTAGTGTACAAACAGAATAGCCAGGGCCATAGCCACAGTCTGAGCAGGCCAATAATGGGGCACAGTCAGAGTAGGTCAATCCTGGGGCACAGTCAAAGTCAGGCCAATCCTGGGAGCTGCAACAGGACAGCAAATCTGAACGCCAACACACGGGGGGCTATGCTCATATAGATTAGTGACCCCCCAGGTGCAAATCTATATAACCCCCAGCGGATATTTCCGAGTGATGAGAGGGGTGTGGGGTGGGGGAGGGGGGTGGAGGCTGGAGGCTGCAGCTCCCATGTGGCACCCCTGCTCTCCCCCATTCGCCCCAGGCACACGCAGGCCGTGGTAAACTCCGGCTGCGGCTTGCGACGGGTAGAAAGGGTGCGGTAAGAGGAGAGAGGCTCCAATAGGCGTGAGGACAATAGGCAGCGGGAGCAAAAAGGTGGGGCCGCCGGAGACGGCGCTCGGGATTGGGGAGGCTGTTAGAAAGTAGTCTCCCGCAATTCCCGAGCAGAATAAAGAACCGTAAAACTAGGTAGCCAGCAGGCAGAAGGAGAAACGCATAGAAAAACAGTGGGTGGTCAGGGAAAAAAACAGAAAAGGAGGGGAAAATAGCTAAACGCAAAACGGAATCTCCCTGAAGAAAGAAAAGCAATAGTCTCCAGAATATAGAGTTATAGATAACAGGGCACAATAATGTGAATTAAATATAGGCACTAACAAAACAAGTTAAAACAATGAAAGCAGCAATATATATATATATACACAATCCCACAGCCACCCACTGAGAGCAGGAGGCAGTGGTACTCTGACCTGTACTGACGTGGAGCAGGAAAGAAAGATGAAGTTATGTGTGGGGAGGGGAGTTTTATTGTACCTAACTTTTTTCTGATTGGCTGATTTTTCTCTGTGTTAATGTGCTGCTGTGGCGTTCTAGTAAAGAGAGACTCAAGCAAATACTCACCTCCTGTCATGTTCTAAAATTCACAGTTCAGTGGCATGGATCGTGCTGTATAACATGTCATTTAACAGTAGTGGCAATGGTAATAATTGTAGCAGGTAGTACACGTACTGGTATCAGGTTAATGACTGGATTCTATCCTGTACAGAATGCGATGTAGGCAGATCACAGGTATCAACTGAATCTGGGTACAGCTATAGAAATCTCCACGTAGCCACCCATGTGAACCATTAATTGCTATGTCTGTATCCTTGTGAGGGGAAGAAGAAGGGGAGATAGGTGAGAGGAGCCAAGCATAGCTCGGGGAGAGGAAGGGAAATTATACTACGAGGACAAAAGAAAATGATATTAGTTTGGAAGGGTAAAGGTTATCTAGGAGTATTGTCTTCCATTTTATGAGTCTCGATCCAGGAATTGGGTTTCAGTAATTGTTGTTCAGATCTGGGCAGAGCCTGCCTGTACCCACCTCACTGTCACCCAATGCACAGCTACTATCATCCAACACCTGTTTGTTGACCTATGCGTTCAATTGTGTTTTCCTGACATCTTTCCAACTGCTCCAGAGTTTTGTGTGTTTGCTCTCGGTGGCTGTCAGTTTGCTAGCCATTTTTTCATATTGATATGTAAGTTCGTTTATTTAAAACCTTACTCTTAGAGGGAACTCGTACTCTCTTCCAGTGAGATGCTATGTAGGATTTGGATATTGTGATATTGTGGATATTGTGTTTCATAGTACCAACTTCAAGTCTCAGAGATAGCAGTGTTGTACATACAGGAAAGTTTGTGTGGTACCAAGTAGCATCTCATCAGTACCTTAGTGTTCTCTTCCCAATGTGACACACTTTTAGATGATTGTTTTGTTTGTGTCATTACCGTCTGCCACACCTCCCTGGTAAACATTTTTTCCAACTCTCTTTCGCATGTTAGCATGTAGGAGAGTTTATTACTATCTTCGTGTCCCGTAGTAGAATTATAGCATAAGGACAATGGTCTCACCTGGCCTGAGGGTTTTATGCAGTACCTGACAAACAAAGGAAGTGAAGCTTGTTCTATGTGTGTTTTGCGTTTAGACTGAATTATATGTTTAGTCCTTGAATCCATTGTAGTTCCGTAGGGGATTCTGGTAAATCGTTCTCTTTAAAAAAAAATTTTTTTTTTTTTTTAGGTACTCAGGGTTTTCAGTCTCCACTTGCCTCTGCCCCTAGTTGGGTATGGAGTTTGAAGTGTAACTATTATAGGTGCATGGTTGGACCAGGTCCTCTGTCCTATGGAAATATCAGAGAGATGTGTTATGGTGTGCTTGTCCGTCAGGCACATGTCAATTCGTGTGTAAGTCATAAGTACAGGGGAAAAGAACGAGTAGTCCCTGGCCGAGGGGTACAGGCTCCGCCAAGTATCATAAGTTGTGTTTATGCAGTAATTGTGCCACATGCTGGCTAAGAGAGAGAGATGCAGTAGTGGGATTTTTGTTTCTTAACCTTTTTGTATCTAAGGTGGGGTCAAGCGTGCAATTAAAGTCACCGCAGATGAAAGTATGACCTTCCCTAAGTTGCGTGGTCTTTTTAAATGCTTTGGACAGAAAGGACAGTTGGGAGTCGTTAGGGGCATACAGAGAGGCCACTGTGATTTGCAGACCATTTAGAGGCCCTGAGGGTCATGGTATTCAGTGTCTGGTTGGAACACACAGTCTCTGTGGAAGAGTATGGAAGCGCCTTTAGTTTTATTGGGAGAAAGAGCGTGGAATACTTGGGGATATACTTTAGAAGAGAAGTTTGGTGGGTTGTATTTACAGAGGGTTGTTTCTTGGAGACATATTATGGCAGCTGTTGATTTATGTATGTCTTGCAGGGTTAACATTCGTTTATTAGGGCTGTTCAAACTCTTAACATTAACATTCCCATAGCGTGCTGCGGAGCTTATCATGAGTTAACTTAGGGGGTCTCTTTAACTGGAAGGAGACCCCATTCCTGGCAGATAGGGGCTGAGTATGTAGGAAGGTTTGTTTAAGCAAAAAAAATACTTTAACCATATTTAACAATGGGGAGAGAAGGGATAAACAAAAGTATATACATATCATTCTTAGAGAAAATGGTAACCTTTGTGGCTGAACATGGAGCCGGCGCAAAGTATGTCCACTCCCAAACATTCAGCTCAAGGGGTACGTACCAATCCGATTCCCTGACCTTATCAGACATAATTTAATATATCAAGAGTTGAGGAACTTGTTACAGCTAACACAATTATTATTATTATTTTTTTCGTCATAACTTGTTGTGGCATAGGATGGTTCCTATATGACTCAGTCAAACTATATGTGGGTCAGTTATCTAACCGTCCCCCGCCAAATCTCCACGTCACGTTATCGTGAGGGCCTGGATGGGGACGGTTTCCTAGTAGGGGATTACCTGTACAGCCAATACCACCATATTAAACTTCTGTTAAAACATATTGTGTGAGAATAATACGCTATTTGAATTAACACAGAGTTGGTATATGCAATTATGTTAACTAATATCATGCACCTTCTATTATAACCAGTTATATATATGCATTATATAGTGCATTGACAGGCAGAAATATACAGGGGCCTGGCGGCCGGCTACCAGTCCTGTGTGCGGTATGGGTTGCAATGAAAAAGTTCCCCTTAATTACTTGTTCTTGAGTTTGCCATCTGCCATTCCCCTTGCATATGCTTCGGTGAGGATTTCTGTTGATCGCCGCAGCTCTCAGTAAGCCCCAATCTGTCAGCAGCTTGGCTCCATCCTCTGGTTCTAAGATGACATGGGAACTGCTGTTTTTCCATATCAGGATCTTTGTGGTATATCCCCACCTGTATTGTATGGTGTGATTCCTGAGAGTCTTTGTGACGTTGACAAACTCTTTCCTCCTGGCCATTGTCGCAGCAGACAGATCTGCGAAGATGGAGATGTGCTGGTACGGTTCCGGTAGTGATGGGAGTTTCCGTGCAGCCTGAATAAGCAAGTCTTTGGGCTTGAAATATTAAAAGCGGACAATAGTGTCCTTTGGGGTATCGGCTGAGAAGCGTGGTGGACGGGGCAATCGATGGGCATGATCGATCATCCATGCAAGTCTTTCAAGCCTGGGACAATTGCGCAGCACAATGCTTAAAAATAAGTAGGTAACTCTTCATTAGGAATCTTTTGTCTTTGATCCCTCTAAATCTGACGTTATTACGCCTTGCCCTGTCTTCCACATCAGCCATATGGCCGATGGGCACGATCCATCATCCATGCGAGTCTTCCAAGCCTGGGACAATTGCGCAGCATAACACTTTCAAATAAATAGGTAGCTCTTCATAAGGAATCTTTTCTCTTTGATCCCTCTAAATCTGATGTTATTACGCCTTGCCCTGTCTTCCATATCGGCCATTTTGTGTTTGAGGAACTTGTGCCCTGTGGCAAAGCTCTGGATTTTGTCCACTGCCTCATTGTGAGCCGCCATAGATCTTCAGTTCTATTTTCTAGATGGTTGATTCTGTCACCTATTTCATCCAGGTCTTTGCACATATCAGCTGTAAGCTCTTTAAAATCTTTTTGCAGTGTGTGCGCCTTAGATGCTGTCTCCTCAACGTCACTGGCTCATCCGAGTATCGGGCCGATGTGAGGTCTTGATCAGGCAGGCCTTCTGATGTAGGCGATGGGGCCTGTGCCTCGTCGCCATCTTGAATAGGTTTTTGGGGCTCTTTTTTAGAATTCCGAATTGGGTCAGTTAGCTTTAGTTGTTTGGATGGTGCCATAACAGACCTGTGTCCAGTGGATGTTCACTGTCCGTCCTGGTCAAATTTATATGAAAATTCTGTATGACGCTTCTATGGTCAGATAGGACAAGGAGCTCTCACTCCATGCGTCCTCTGACTCGGAAGTTGGCCACGCCCCCGAACTGCAGTATTTTAAAGGAATGCTACAAAGGAAAAATGTGTATTTCATAGATATACCCCAATCAGAACAAATGCATTCATTAAAGGCTGTATTTTGTTATTGTGTGTACATCTGAAAACAGCTTGCAAAACCTGCAGATCTGCAGCATTTGCAAGTCCTCTCCTTCTTCCCGGGAGAATGACCAATAAGAATCTTCTCATTGAGCTGAAATTTCAAGTTCACGGAAGGGGCTAAAGTAGGCTCTATGGGTGCACGGTGACAGGTAAACCTATACTTGGGGGATCAGGCAGGCATTCTATAGCAGATAACAACGGACACTTCCATCAGGAAGAAATGCTTCCTGGCTGTCTGATTGACAGCCAGGTAGGTGTTTCTGATATTAGTAATAAAAGTGATGATTTCAAATATATGCCTTTTGTATGTAAAGACTTCAGGAAGCTGTAGTGCCTTATGTATGTAGTGTTTGCCTAGATCAGGGGTTCCCAACCCAGTCCTCAAGTATCCCCTACCAGTCCAGGATTTAGAGATTACCCTGTTGTGTCTAAAGTGTTTTTTTTCTTCCTTTTTTACTAAAAACACTTAAAACACAAACGGGTACTCCCTAAATCCTGGACTGGTAGGGGGTACTTGAGGACTGGGTTGGAAACCAATGGCCTAGAACAATCAAATTGCAAAATTTAGGTCAAAATTGCTGATTTGGATAATTTAGCAATTTGGTTTACAATACACTCTTTAGTGAATAATCCCAATGGAATTGAAAATATTTTAATGCTTTCATGCTTAGCTCACAGCCAAAGCCAACCCAATAATGGCTAATCCAAGCAGAACGATGTTCTAAGGGAACGACTTATAATCTTTTGGAATACTGGACACAATCAAAACCTGATTTTCACACTTTAGAAAAAAAAAACGACCAGTTACTTTAAGATAGGTCAGAGCCCGAGCTGTGAATGCTGAAGTCATTTTCTCAAGTATCTGTGAAATTCCTCTATCATTCAGAAAAATGTGATTAAGTGTAAAAGGCAACAGCAAGTTCTAATTCAAAATACATCACGCCAATGACAAACTGTTGAAGATGTCCTTTTTGTTGCTAACCCTATCACTTTTTATTCATGTAAAAGGTTGAAACTGTTGGATTCAGAGAAAAAAAAGACTTTATCTTCCCCTGAAGGCTGTTTTCATATATCAGGTAGGAGGCTAACTCCCAGTCCAAACATTTGTTAATAAACATTTATCATTCTGAGACGGCATGAAGGGCACTTTGGTCGCTCACAGATTCACACCTAGATGACAGTAGAAATTCTCATGCAAGTTTTGTCATTTCATTATACAATGGTTTATAATTTTAACATATTGTATGAATCTGATCGTGTCATCTACATTTGACTGATTTACTTCAAACAAAATAAAAAGGATGGATAAGTGGGTCCTCCTTCATTACTGGCAGTCTTAAGGAAACATGAGTTGTAGATACAAGTGTTACATCAAAGATCAGTGGAACCTTGTCACAAACTGTGTACTTAAAACTGTACTCTAGTTAAACCACAGGTAGGGAAGCCTAACATCCAGTTGATCTATGTAGATATAATAGAAATTGAGAGGAATACTAATTAATGCCCTCCCACCTCTTGAACATACCTTAGTGAGCTGTGAGATTTTGGTAACTGATGGAAATATAAGATCAATGCCAGCATAGTTTAAACAGATTTAGGAAATCTTATCTTTAAAGGATCAGTATAGTGTCAGGAAAATAAATCGGTTTTCCTGACACTTTAGTGCCCTGAGGGTGCCCCCAGTCTCATGGTTCCCCTCCCGTGGTGCTGAAGGGGTTACTCACCTTCTTCCACCGCCGGGCTCCCTTACCTCTCCTCCCCCGCCGTCAGCTCCCGCGGCATTGTTGCGCGTGTGCGCGCGCATTCAAAGTGTCCATAGGAAAGCATTTCTCAATGCTTTCCTATGAACGCTCTGCGTAATGGAGGTATAATATGCCTCCAGCGTCACAGATGTGCCTCTCGTGGCTGTCCGGAAGAGAGCCACTAGAGGCTGGCTTAACCCCAAATGTAAACATAGCAGTTTCTCTGAAACTGCTATGTTTACAGTAGGCAGGGTTAACCCTAGAGGGACCTGGCACCCAGATCACTTCATTAAACTGAAGTGGTCTGGGTGACTATAGTGTCCCTTTAAATCCGTTATTTTATCTACCTGACGTTACTTTAGAAGTTTTGTTGAATTTTGAATCGAATCATTTCAAAACAAATGTCATTTTCAAAGCTTAGTATCCCTTTAATAATATGGTATTAACCACCCCTGTAATTTTATTTTAAGTGGTTTGATATATGAATATATATAGAGAGGACAATAAATAAGGTATATTTTGTTAATAGTTTTCTCTGTGTGTAGGAAACAAACATGCATGTTTCATTTACCACGGGAGACCACTTAGCAAGCAGCCAGCTCTGACCAGTCCATACCAACTGTCCGCTAAACAGCCATATTCATCTGCGTTCTTAAACAAGAAAGAACCCAGCCATCCAAAAAGGTGAGATCATTTGTGAATTAAAATGACTAAACATTTACAGTGACACCATAAATATGTCTCTTTTAACCAGTAGCAGGAAAAGTGCGGGACAAAATAGGGGCATTCTAAAGAGCTGGAATCATTAGCCATTAGAATCTTTACAAAGGTACAATCCCACAATGCATTGTGGCTTTAATATAGTCAGCAGCCCAGCTCTGCACAGTTCTGTTTGTCAGTATTCAATCAACATGTTTACTAGCACCAGATATTGATAAAATACTGTAAAGAGCTCCTATGAATGATAGTTCCTCTATTCTTTGTGTCTGAGATGTAAAATTAGCTCTAGCCCAAAAGAGAAGATCTTATAGAATGAACTCTGTGTGTAAAGCACCCCAACATTTTATAGAAACATTGAGAGTTTGAATGAAACATTTATTTTATTTTTAACTACTTGTAATACTCATCCAATAGCTTTATGTCATATTCTATCCCTCTCACAAAAGAGAAAATATAATTTTTCAAGTAATTTTTTAAATATCTTCGTAGGGTGAAGCAACCAAAGCCTGCTACGTTTCCAAAGAAGGACACAGAAAGTAATCTAGCTATCCAGCAGATAAATGACTTGGTTCTGGAAGATTATATTAATTCTGTTTCTGAGACCAGCCAAAAATCAACTAATGAAGATTCAGTTCAGTCTGGGAGTAACCAAGTGAAGATTTTTGAAGCTAATATAAAAACTGATGATAATTATGTCTCCAAAATACCTCAAGACGTCAGCTATTCTTTACAAGAGTTCCAGAAAGGAAATGGCCAACCCCTGCACAATTCGAGATTTTCTGCTGGTTACCTCACACAGACTCCGGAAACTCATGCTTGTTCAGTCAAAGTGCCTCAAAAAGCCATCGATCGCTCGTTTGGAGAGCAAAAAATTATTCAGGAACCCACAGTGTCTTCTTTCCAGGAGCTTCAGAATGTCTATGATAATTATTTCAAGAAACTTCAGACTTCTAGTGCTTCTTCTTCTACAAAGCTTCTGAATTCAAGTGCTCCTTCTTCCCTAGGGCTTCAGAATTCCAGTGCTTCTTCCTCTACAAAACTTCAGAATTCCAGTGCTTCTTCCTCTACAAAACTTCAGAATTCCAGTGCTTTTTCCTATACAAAGCTTCAGAATTCCAGTGCTCATTCCTCTAAAGAACTTCAGAATTCCAGTGCTCTTACCTCTCTAGAGCTTCAGAATTCCAGTGCTCCTTCTTCCACAGAGCTTCAGAATTCCAGTGCTCCTTCTTCCACAGAGCTTCAGAATTCCAGTGCTCCTTCTTCCACAGAGCTTCAGAATTCCAGTGCTCCTTCTTCCACAAAGCTTCAGAATTCCAGTGTTCCATCCTCCACAGAGCTTCTTAATTCCAGTGCTCTTTCCTCTCTAGAGTTTCGGAATTCCAGTGCTCATTCCTCTAAAGAACTTCAGAATTCCAGTTCTCTTACCTCACTACAGCTCCAGAATTCCAGTGCTCCTTCTTCCACAGAGCTTCAGAATTCCAGTGTTCCATCCTCCACAGAGCTTCTTAATTCCAGTGCTCTTTCCTCTCTAGAGCTTTGGAATTCCAGTGCTCCTTCCTCTAAAGAACTTCAGAATTCCAGTGCCCTTACCTCACCAGAGCTTCAGAATTCCAGTGCTCTTACCTCACCAGAGCTTCAGAATTCCAGTACTCTTTCCTCTACAGAGCTTCAGAGTTCCAGTGCTCTTACCTCACTTGAGTTTCAGAATTCCAATACTCTTTCCTCCCTAGAGCTTCAGGATTCCAGTGCTCCTTCCTCTACAGAGCTTCAGAATTTCCCTGCTTCTTCCTCCACAGCGCTTCAGAATTTCAGTGCTCCTTCTTCCACAGAGCTCCAGAATTTAAGTGTTTCTCACTCCACAGAGCTTCAGAATGCTAGCACTTCTTTCAAAGAGCCGAAGGAAGCTATCAATAATGAGCCTTGGGGGAGTGTACAAACTAGAACATCACAAGAAGTCCAACAGAATATATCAGTTGAGAAAGAAGTATTAGCTGGACACCATGTCAGAGAGAGTACACAGGTGGATGCCATTTTAACTCATAAGATTACAGAGTGTGCCTATGCACATGTGTCAGGGGAGGATGAGGAGCACAGAACAGACATGAACCGAAAGGTCTGGTCATGTCAAACAGCACAAACCTCTACTACTCTTGAACAAGGCATCGGTACTGAGATGGGTGAGGATGACGATTTAAGGGTGAAAACGAACATTCACTCTACAAAAACAAGGATAGCTACAGAAATTCCTGTCAACACCATACCTAGAGACAATAATAATAATTCAGGTCAGAATTCAATAAAATACTCAATCGAAAATCATTGTACAGGCTGTATAGTGGACGGTAGTCAGGTTTTTGTGCCAAATACAGACTGTGGCGTAGCTCAGATTTCAGAGGGTTTGGTACAAAATCCAGAATTAAATAGGGAACTAAAAAGAGAACTGGAGTCTTCCAAGAATTCTGTAATAAAAAATGAAAACCATTGGTCACATCAAAGTGAGGTCATCAGAAAAAGTCAAGGCGTTCTGGTGCTGACAAGGAGTACAGAGGAAAATGCAGTGTTTATCCCAAAACTAAAATTTGAATTCACACCAGACAACAGCATTGACTATTCATTAATCAATCTGCCTAAGGGCTGCCAGGGCAAAGGCAGAGCAAAAGGGAGTGACTTACTGAATATGAGACCATATACGCCTCATGGCCCCTCATTCAGCAAGAGCATTCTGAAGAGGTCATCTGCGCTCCCAAGTCACAGTCCTTCTACAGTGTACAAGGGCCCACTCTCATCCAGCAATGATGGCACCTCACGTAGACTTTATGAGATGAGTAATACATCAGGCCCTCTCTATGGGATAGTGGATCTATCCCTTTCATTCAGAAATAACTTGCCAGAAGAGGTGATTCCTCCAGATATTCCAAAAATACTAATTCCAGATGAGGATGACGATAGTTAGAGTATCTAACATGAGTCACTCCCCCCTCCCCGGATCTTTTTTTTTTTTTTAAAGGCGCACTGTAACGTTAGACATACAGATACTGTATTCCTAATGCTATAGTGCCCCCCTCCCGGTTTGTCATAAAAATATAAAAAATTAAGTTTTTTTACTTACCTTTTACAGCCCCTAGGTTGCTGCTCACCTCTCCTCCTCCTCCCGCAGCATCATAGAGGAGGCGTGGCTGATTCTGGTGATGGTCCAATCCAATGCTTTTAGAGGAGTATTAGTTAACTGATTTGCATCCGCTGCTTGTCATGTGAAAGCATTGCATCCAATGTTATCCTATGAGCTGCAACATCACGTGACTGAGTTTTACTCTGCCAGTACAGCAGAAGTAACTAGAAGCATGTTGAACCCTTCAAGGTAAACATTTTTTTTTTTTTTTTTAATGGCCATATTTTACCTTGGAGGGTTAAACTTACAGGACCACTGCACACAGAGCACTTTATTGACATGAAGTGGTCTGAATAACTTTATTGGTCATTTAAGGTGGATGGTGCCTAAACATTTTGATTTCAGGGAGTAGTATAATGGTCCAATAACTATAGTTTGCGTTTCTAACAGAATCTTAAATAAAAGTATTAAACACAGTGAGGGTTATGTATTAAAAGTGTCTGTAATGAAAAGTGGTGCAACATGGAATAAGGGTAGAATCACCAATTCATTGTGCCTGCTTTTCACAGGTTTTATGGTGGGCACCACACTTTTAGTACATTAAAGAACAGAAGACTTTTTATACACAACCCCAATGTATCACGTATTTCTGAAACAGGAGTGTCACATGCCTCGGTCTTAGGAACCCTAGATTTTGGCACCTGTTTCTCTCATTAAGCGAGATGATGTTCCTTTTGTTAAAAACCATCCACACGTGGACAGAGCAGATCTGATTCTACATCTAATTTCGGACACAAACCGGTAAATAATGTATAGGAGTATAGGATATCCCCCCACCTCTTTATTACATGATGTCACTGATTTGATACATTCCAGCCCCTACAGTATTAATCTATGGAAATATTTGACAGCAGAGCTAAATTAAAAGAATGCACAATAAAGCCTGTAATAAAAAACCCTATGTATACACTGTGTTAAAATATGTATATTTTCAGTAAATTCTCTGTTCTAGTAATCATGTTGTGTGTATTGAGCACAAGACTCGTACCCACCATTGTCTTCATGTTACAATTGCTCAGAGATATTGTGAATGGAGCCGTCTGACAGCGTTATTTACTAACGTGAGAACTGTCAGGAGTAGAACTTCAAATTTAAGGCCCATATAAGTGTAAACATTCTCCAATTCAGCTACGCTTGTCGTTCAGCTACTATGACACTAAATGTTACATTCACTGTGAATACCTGTACTTCTTACTTTGCTAAATAACCCTGTGTGTATGGCATTTGAAGACAATTTTTGTTTTTAGGTGAGGCAGAATCCTCATCCCCTCCCTAAAAAAACCTAAAACAGTCCCGCAGAATGTAATTACTAAGTGACCATGGCTGTAAGGAGCCATTCATATTGCCAATAGTTGAAGGTGAGGTTGTGTGCTCTGCTTCCTCAGGGATGTGGAATTTATATCGCCTGACACCCCAGATATGCAGTTCTGGGCAAGCAGTTTTTCTATTCTTTTAGCCTTGGCAAAGGGATGTAGTATGAATGCACTGGAAGGACTGCGCATATAGCCAGCTGGGGCCGCACTAGGCTGCTAAGCATGGGGAGGTGCGAGGAGAAGCAGTCGCTTATCGCGATGCACAGAGCTAACGGCCGAAGGGATACAGCAGGACATCATATCCAACAAATGGCACTCTGGGCATTGAGAAAAGAAAAGTCAAAAGGATAATCTGAAACCGACTGCAGGATTAAATCTGCTGGTAATGCAAAATATGGGATGGGGCTGCACTGTATGTGGGTCTGATGTTTGGAAGTGGTCAGTGTGTTAGTATGGAGTGTGTGGGCCAGTAACTGTGTAGGTTAGTGAGGCCAAAGTTTAATTAAACAAATTATACTATATATTCATAGTTACATGTATATATTGGAAGCATTGCTTATATATGCATAACACTCAAATTATAGAGACAGACAGGAAGCAAACACAGTACATACAACCAGCACATTCTTTGACACGGGAGAGACTACACTCAGGGCAATTTATTAAACACTCATTCTAACTATAGCAAAGTTAGAGAATATTTCCAGATTCGCTATTTTTGCCTCCAGTTTGTGTAAATGACTTTAGCAAATAGCCCCATCTATGTCCATGGGTCTAGGCAAAAGCCCACATCTTTGTAACGGATATTATTTTGTGTCAGAACACACAGTGCGCTATCAGACAGGATTTTGGGGGTACTGATGTCACCAGGCAGCATATGAATTTTCTGCTTTAAAAAGTACAACTGACTTTCTTTTAGATCCAAAAAAAATAAATAAATCCAATTCAGGCCTAGTATCTACCAAGTAACTAAAACCTTTAATGTTTAAAGTGAATCTTTCTTAAAATAAGTCCCAAATGCATTAAAAACCTCATATCACAGAGGTATATGATGTAAAGTTCTGAGATATACTCAAATTACCGCTGCTCCAGTGCCGCTACGTCCACAGTCTTCTTTCTGTGCCCTGCTTGGAAACGTCCCAATCAAGGCAAGACTCTATTGTGATGCTAGCAGACAGGTTTGGCTAACCGCATGCCACCATCTGATCTGAGTGACATCAGTTCCTATACTCCCTCACCCCAACGCTATCCGCATCAGCTAGGGAATTACCATAGCAACCGCAGCTCTGTGTTAAGTGTTCTCGTCTACCTGCCCATAGAGTCTGTGAATTGACTAATAAGTGTGAGAAAGAACGATTTCTAGATAGGTTTTTCTCCTAATCCATACATTTTCTAGCACACTGTATAGATTAAATGTTATGCTATCTCAAAAGTGCAGATGTTGTATGTACCATAACAGGTATCCTTTAAATACAATGATCTATTCTCAGGATCGCGCCTGATCTCAAATGCCTAAATTGCCTCCATGTGGAATGATCGTGTTATAACTTCAAGTCAATAACAAGGTCTACAGCCGTATTAAACAGGTTCTTATTGCAGAGAAGTAAAAAATAAAATATGTATAAAAAAATATTTCTATGAAATACTTGTATGAAATTATTAGACAACATTGGTGTTAATTATGCCTATTTAAGTCATACAACACAGTAATCAAAATAAAACTAATGAGGCACACGACATTCTCAGTTTTTATACACCGCCATGGAAAGTGTCAGGACTTTGTGAATAAACTAAGAAGTCTCGATGGTTGCTACAATTCCAGTAAAACCTGAGCCGTTGCAGTGTGTGATGGCCAGTAGGTGGCGATGTTCCTTTACGAACAGTAGAAAGCACCAGATAAGATGGCCGTGAATGTCCCTTAATGTGTGACATCAGATTGTTCACTTGGATTTACAACATGAGTTTATCAAATAATGGGAGGAGTAGTGACAGCATGCAAGGACAGATCCATGGTCGGCGTTTCTGGGTCTGCTGGAGGGGGGCTAGGTTTTTTCTGTTGCAGCTTGTCATTCAGCTGGGTATGTAATTCTTTAACAGCATCTCCGCTCTACATAAATGACATAACTATTAGTTTCCATACAGAATAACAAATAAATTAAATCAGAAACGTGCACTCTTCAAGTACCGTCTTTGATGGCTCCAGCGTTTTCTGTAGTGCCTCCAGCTTGGTTGGTGCCACCTTGTGGTGCAGATGAAGTAATAACCGGAGGACATGTCTGTGTACATTTTCTTTCCTATAGGTGGAGAGAGGACAGGATTAGATGAAAAAGCTTTTGAGAGTTGACAACTTTACTTTAATCAATAAAACTATTTGTTGCGGACAATAATTCTGCTGCTTTTTTAACTTGCCATAGTTCCTTCTTTGCCAAAAGCGGACATATCTCAGCATACATATTAAAACTAAGAAAGTTAATTTAGGTTTAATATGCTTGCAGGCTGTCCAGGTGCCTTCCTAGGTTTCAGTATAGATCTCATTTTGCTGCCAGAGAGCTACAAACTAAAAATAAAAAGGGCTCGTAGAGGACATACCCACTGGCTCCTTCCCACATTTTAGCCAAATTGTAGACACTTCAAGAGGAAACGTGAGACTTCAGCTTTAGGTTAAAAATAAATGAATAATAAATCTCAATGAATCCCTACACATATACAGACAATGTTTAAAAGCTATGCATTTGCTGGGTGCATTATGGCTCCAGTTTAAAGATAATTTGTTTTTAATGTTTACACTTAAAGGGAGTCTAAAGTGTAAGGAATACATGTATGTATTCCTTACACTATAATTCCCTCTGGTCCTTGGCACATCCCCCACCTAACATTACTTTCCTACAGTAAATTTAGGGATGCTCCATGTCCTCATGCAGAGCGATCTTAGTCCTGCTATGTAATTATTGCAGTTTCTCAAAAACTGCAATGATTTACATTGCAGGACTAAGGGGTACAGGGACATTGCACCCAGACCACTTCAATGAGCTGAAGTGGTTGGGTGCCTATAGTGCCCCTTTAAGACCATGCATACAACATCCCTAAATCAGTGCCGGTTACTGCTTGTCCTCTGATCATAATCTGTGCATCATTTTCCATGATATAGTCAGTTAAAGGAAAACTCCAACTTTAAAAATATATTTATCTTTAACATTAGTGTTAAAAAATTGTTAAAAATGACCTGGCCCAGAACGTTGCTGCAGCTCCAATTAAGTAATTTCTAATGACTTTTGTCCAATCCTTCTCCTAGAGAAACATTGGGGAACATAGGGGCCAATCCAATGATTTTCATAGAGAACTGAATTCAATGTGTCTCTTTGTGGTAACAATTGTACAAGTAGATGTAGATTACCTAGAAGCCAATCTTACTTTGTGAAGGTTGTTAGAAAGAAACCATCAAAGACACTGGTGCAAAATTCCTCAGATCCAAACTCCTCAGACAGCAGGGTGAGATAAGTGGTGAAAAGGTGCAAGAAGATGTCTGTGAAAGAGGTGTCACTGAAAGTCTCCTCTAAAAAGAGAAAGCAACCGGCATCAACAACCCACAAGGTAAAAAGGAGCTAGTTTCACTTATCTCTCACCATCATTACGTTTTATTTGCAATATGTGGTTTCTAGACATGATTAAATCTTAATAAAACATAAATCGTGCTATACCAAGCTGACTTTGGGATTCTGGCTCTACAACATGTGAGGGTAGCATATACGGATTAAATATTTCATTATTTTTGTTCTCACAGAATTACCCTATGGTAAGCATTTCTTTTTTATACTTCCCATCATTAAAAAAAAAAAAATGGATAAAAACACCCAAAAATGCATACAGGGTTATCCACTATAGGGCAAATTCAAATTTTTATTTTGGAGTTATTCGTGAACTTTTGCACAGATTGGGAAGGGCAACATTTTAGTGCTGCATTTAACGGATGTTTTAGAAACGCTGTTTGTACTTTTTTACTAACCGGCCCGATCGATAGATCTTAAATCTCATTGTATATCAGTGCTATCCCTTAAACCAAGTTTATGTTTGCCATGTCATTGTGTCAGCAGTTTAATAAGAAGAAGGAAACATAAAATACAAACAACCCCTATACACAAAAATGAGTTAACAGTAAGTGACTCGTTAGTAAACATTTTTATTATCGCCATTTATATAGCGCCAACAGATTCCGTAGCGCTTTACAATATTTAATGGATGCTATATGCAGCAATACATAATTCCTGTAAGTAAAACTGGTAGGATATACAAAGCATTCACTTACTGAGAGCTGGTAGCACACGCAGTACGGAGTTCTTATTCCTCTGTTTGGTAATATGCAGCATGTAATAGAGACCAACTTCACAAGCAACTCTATTCTCCTGGAGGAACCTGACACACAGACACATTGCCAGCAATCAGTTGCAAAGATACATGCAAAATGAAGGGGGTTAAAAGAATTAGTCTTTTACTGTAAACATAAATCTGACCAGGACAGAACCCACTTCCTGTCCCAACACAGAAACTAAGAAACAGGCATTCGGACCTGTGCATATTATTGTTAGACTGGAGCCCCTTAAAAACAAAAACAACGAACTGTATGAAAAGGATAGTTCATATCGCAAAATGACTTGCTTGGGCCACTCAGACAGGTGTCTGGTCACTTGAATGCAATCTCTACATTGTCAGCCCCCCTCCATTCCCCAGCTTACGCACTTTGTGAAGATTTCTGAAATTGTATTTGGATAAGTGACCGGCACTTTCTCCTCGGTCGGCAGCTTGTGTTCGACGTTGTATGTGTAATCGTCCACTACTAATGACATCATCAGGGGCAAGAATTTAGTGATGAGATCGGGATCCTTAGTAAAAGGGAGAGTTCCAAAAATAATAAATTAGAGCAGTATTATTGTGTAAAATTTACTTAAAAATAGAAATCTAGTAATAGCTGCAAGAAAAATAAATTAAAAAGGAACACTAAAGGATCAGAAACACAAACATGGATTGCTGACTCTACAGGGAGTGCAGAATTATTAGACAAATGAGTATTTTGACCACATCATCCTCTTTATGCATGTTGTCTTACTCCAAGCTGTATAGGCTCGAAAGCCTACTACCAATTAAGCATATTAGGTGATGTGCATCTCTGTAATGAGAAGGGGTGTGGTCTAATGACATCAACACCCTATATCAGGTGTGCATAATTATTAGGCAACTTCCTTTCCTTTGGCAAAATGGGTCAAAAGAAGGACTTGACAGGCTCAGAAAAGTCAAAAATAGTGAGATATCTTGCAGAGGGATGCAGCACTCTTAAAATTGCAAAGCTTCTGAAGCGTGATCATCGAACAATCAAGAGTTTCATTCAAAATAGTCAACAGGGTCGCAAGAAGCGTGTGGAAAAACCAAGGCGCAAAATAACCGCCCATGAACTGAGAAAAGTCAAGCGTGCAGCTGCCACGATGCCACTTGCCACCAGTTTGGCCATATTTCAGAGCTGCAACATCACTGGAGTGCCCAAAAGCACAAGGTGTGCAATACTCAGAGACATGGCCAAGGTAAGAAAGGCTGAAAGACGACCACCACCGAACAAGACACACAAGCTGAAACGTCAAGACTGGGCCAAGAAATATCTCAAGACTGATTTTTCTAAGGTTTTATGGACTGATGAAATGAGAGTGAGTCTTGATGGGCCAGATGGATGGGCCCGTGGCTGGATTGGTAAAGGGCAGAGAGCTCCAGTACGACTCAGACGCCAGCAAGGTGGAGGTGGAGTACTGGTTTGGGCTGGTATCATCAAAGATGAGCTTGTGTGGCCTTTTCGGGTTGAGGATGGAGTCAAGCTCAACTCCCAGTCCTACTGCCAGTTCCTGGAAGACACCTTCTTCAAGCAGTGGTACAGGAAGAAGTCTGCATCCTTCAAGAAAAACATGATTTTCATGCAGGACAATGCTCCATCACACGCATCCAAGTACTCCACAGCGTGGCTGGCAAGAAAGGGTATAAAAGAAGAAAATCTAATGACATGGCCTCCTTGTTCACCTGATCTGAACCCCATTGAGAACCTGTGGTCCATCATCAAATGTGAGATTTACAAGGAGGGAAAACAGTACACCTCTCTGAACAGTGTCTGGGAGGCTGTGGTTGCTGCTGCACGCAATGTTGATGGTGAACAGATCAAAACACTGACAGAATCCATGGATGGCAGGCTTTTGAGTGTCCTTGCAAAGAAAGGTGGCTATATTGGTCACTGATTTGTTTTTGTTTTGTTTTTGAATGTCAGAAATGTATATTTGTGAATGTTGAGATGTTATATTGGTTTCACTGGTAATAATAAATAATTGAAATGGGTATATATTTGTTTTTTGTTAAGTTGCCTAATAATTATGCACAGTAATAGTCACCTGCACACACAGATATCCCCCTAACATAGCTAAAACTAACAAACTAACAACTACTTCCAAAAATATTCAGCTTTGATATTAATGAGTTTTTTGGCTTCATTGAGAACATGGTTGTTGTTCAATAATAAAATTAATCCTCAAAAATACAACTTGCCTAATAATTCTGCACTCCCTGTATAGTGTTAAAACCACCATCTAATCAGCCCTAAATATAGTAAAATCTTACTTGTATTCGAGTCTGCACTCTGCCCCCGATCTGCCTGCTTGGCTGACATCATCAGAAGTGATTCTCTGAGCCAATCACGATGCTTTCCCATAGGAAAGCATTGGATTGGCTGAGCTTGTCAAGGAGGCAGATCAGGGGCAGAGCCAGCACAAGCCAAACACAGCCCTGGCCAATCAGCATCTCCTCATAGAGATGCTCCTCATTTTTCCTCTATGAGGAAAGTTTAGTGTCTCCATGCAGAGTGCACAGTGTGCAGCACTGCCCCAGGAGGGACCTCTAGCAGCCATCTGAGGAGTGGCCAGTGGAGGTATCCCTATGCTGTAATGTAAACACTGCATTTTCTTTGATAAGACAGTGCTTACAGCAAAAAGCCTGAAGGGGATGATTCTATTCACCAGAACAAATTCAATAAGCCCCCAGAAACAGCTGTGTCATCAATTCTGCCCAGATACCGGTCTAACTGACCAACTGACACAAGATGTAAAATTCCTCACATTCAAATCCCAGACAATACATATTAACGCCTTCATTGCCACCGTACATATAAAACAGATTATAGTGATGACAGATGTTTCTGGGAGCAAGAAAGATTCCCAGGCACTCAAAGTGTGAAAGTCGCAGGCAGATTTATTGAAACAAAACAGACAGCAACGTTTCGACCTACCAAGAGGTCTTTTTTGTTTCAATAAATCTGCCTGCGACTTTCTCACTTTAAATGCCTGGGAATCTTTCTTGCTGCCTTAACGTGTTGGGATTGCTGGTCCTGTTCCGGAGCACCTGTGGCCGCTGGGAGTGAGTGCGGTTCCTTTGATCAATTTTGCTAAACAGCTGTTTCTAGGGGGCTGGAGCTGGCATGGGATTGGTTGAAGGTCGCAAGCAGAAAAAAAGAGCAGGAAACTGGGACAGTATAAAAGAAGCAGCACAAATTTAATCCTGTCAGAGTGGACTGAAGCAGGAACGGTGTGGACGGACCCCTCCCCCCTTTACTTATATTTAATTGTATTGTCGTGGTGTTATGAAGCATTGGGTCAAGTTCTGAGTAAGGATGTTGTGGTAAATGGTTTCAAATAAAAGGCTGTTAAGGTTGATTATGACGGACTGGCTATTTGGTGGTTAATAAAGCTGAAAGTTTTAAGTAAAACGCGATCAGGTTAGTGATGACTGAATGGGAATTTGGTGGTTAATAAAGTTAAATGTTTTGAAAGTTGGTGAACCATATGTTATATGGTCATGGTTACAAAGTTATGGTTGTAAGCCTCTTGGGCTTTGAATAAACACCACGGCCAAGCCCATTGAAAAGTAATGAAACGTTGTGTGTGGTTATTGTGGGGTCTCGTTTTATTTAAATGAATATTGCCTACCATAAATAATAAATTGCATAAGCTACGTAAGACTCTTCTCTAAAGAGTGAATAGACAGAATTAAAAAGGTTTGCCCAAAGTAACCAAACTGGAAAAATTCTCCAAGTAAGCTATGTTGTCAGATCTGCCACTTTGGCTGAATGTAAAATTCCTGACTATTGTCATGTTTGTGACAATAGGTCCTTACCAGTTTTGGTTCCCTGAAGACCTGGCTGTCAATCATGTCCCAGGCTCCATGCCCCAGAGTTAGCATCCTCAGTAGAAGCAGCAGTTCTTGACTGTCCTATAGAGCAAAGTGGTTATTGTTCAATAAGATAAATGGTTAATTTATACAAAGACTTTACGGCAGCATAATAAGTTGGTTGAGAAAATATTACTGCTGACTCTTGAATTCTTGTTCAAATAAACCAGACGGTACTTTTAGCTAAACAGTAAAGATATCACTTGCACATACCCGTGGTAAGGACTCCTGGCTGATGAGCTCCTGAAGATTTCGGATGCTACTTAGTGCTAAGGTGTTGATAGCAAATGGGTCACAAAGGATCATGGACAAATCTCTGTGGCAGAGAAGAGTGGTTGGGAACAGGCTTAGATCACATTTTAATTTAGCATCAGTTTGGATAATAAATAAATTTCATGACTCTTACCCAAGAACCTGCTCCTGTCCCTTCTTCACTCCGTCTAGGAAGCCCTGCAGTTCCCGCGCCCTCTTGGCATCAACAAATTTCTCTCTGATACAGGCATCCAGACACCACGTAAACTGCGCAAGGTAAAAAGCACATTACAGAAAATGTCCGGCTTATTTCTATAAAAAGAAACCCTGCTTCTAGCTCTTATGTGTGGTAACCGGGAATCTTCATATTCACAGCCGTGGACAGATTTATTATGTTCTGCTTGACTACAGGTAGACAAATTACAGCTTCCATCATCCTCAGTCAGCGCTGTCCCTTTACAGATACCATGAGTTTAATAACAGTGGAAATCCCGTGAAATTATACAATACATGCAGGACTTTTTATTCATAACCATCATGTCCAGGGTTAGTTAAAGTCTTTTGATCTGTGTATTTATATGACACAGCCATGTACCATTGGGAATGCATTCAAGTTGTACAAGCGCACTTTATTTAACTGGGCAATGAAACATTTTAGGATTTACTGATTCAACCAAATTATTACATACATTGCCTATGCAGTTCAGAAATTCTCTTAAAAAATAATGGTTTTATTATTTACAATGCCCTTCTTGCAGCTGGGCACTATACATTATGGTAAACAGAGGCACAATCCCCTCAGCCTGAAGTTGGACTAATCAGGGGACACACTTCTAAAGAAAAATAAGTCACAAAGGAAAAAACAAACAAACAAAAAAAAAAAACAAAAAAAAAAACACTAACGACTTTATTGCAGTCAGAATGCTTTTAAAACCAGTGTCTTTGTGAGCGAATGGTATGTACCATTAAAATTAGACCACACTCCATACAGACCAACTAGTGAGCGAATAAATCTCTAACCTACTTAAAGAGACAGTAAATCACCTAAAATAATATAAAAGTACCATTGAAGAGCACCTAGTGGTTTATGCTAGCTTACATTACAGTAATAAACTGAGACATTTTGTTATAATTATTATTGCCATTTATATTGCCAAAGACAGATTTATTTAGATTAGTGGAGAAAGTAGAGATGTTAGCCCTCAATAATACTTACAACAGTAAAATGGATTTAGATACTTTGTATCAACGGTGACCTCTAGTGGTGAAAATAGATATTAGTTCTCATTTTTCAACCATACATGGCTGTATATAAAAAGTTAGTCACAAAGTTTACCACCAATATAGTAGAAATGAGTATCATAAAGTAGTTCTGCTAAATAGTTCACTCACTGCCCAAATACAAATAATTCCCCATTAATACTCACATACAGAATCTCAATATCTGTACTCCTCCCTCCCACATTTTATTGCATATACTACTGTGCTACAATTTCACAGTTTGAGAAGAGTATTAACAGATTATGGGAAACAGCTGGTCACAATGCATTGTGGGAAACCACACAGGTATTTGCATGTTATTGCCTTTATTATAGCAGCCATATTTAAGGAGATGAAAGAAAGCTTCAGTTGTATATATCTTTTTTCTATAAGTTCTAACAATGTCACCAGCATAACAGATTCAATCTGTGTACCTATCAGAAAGCTTAGACACCTACCTTGTGGCAGGGATCCACAGAGCATATCTCACTAATGTCCAGATCGTGAAGGGACATGAGCAGCTCGGCTCTAAGAGTACAATAATGTACATTGCGTGTCCTAAGGAAGAGCGTCCGTAGAAACTGCAGGACCATATCATAGAGCTTAACATTCTTCCCAATCATCTGGGTCAACTTTTGTACCACCTGAGAAAGAGAGAGAGAGAGAGAAATCCCCAATCATTTTGGTGTAATATGTTGTCATATCAACAAAGAACAAAAGACAAGACAGTCACTGCATTATATGGTAGACATGGCTCCCTGGGGTTATTACTTGAAGGATCCTAGAATTACTAACCTTGAAATCTATCTAGGGTTCTGCAATATCAAATGGTTAGTATACATCAAAGTACGGCCCATTCACTTGGACAGTTTTATGAACAGAATCAGATAAACTATCCTTGAACCATAATGGGTTACTGGAGTTTCCATAATAGAGCTCTCATGCACAAAATCAAAACACATTTGATTTTATCAACCTTATTTTTTTCCCCTTGGACTATACAATGAAAAAAACAAACAAACAAAAAACAACTCACTTACATTTATATTATACTTGCACAGGTTTATGTAATTTTCTTATCAGTTTACACTAAAATCTAATGTTCAATATCCCCCCAAAAACTTTAAAATTACTAAAAAAATAAGGAGTCCTACCTCGCCCTGACGTCTAGCTTTGGGGGAGGGGCTGAAGAAGTTGTGATGTACAGAAAGGTCATTGCTGAGTAGAACAGTCTCTTTCTCCAAAATATACTGTTTTAGCAAAGGAGAAACTTCGTCCCCAAAAAGTGCTTGATTATCCTGCCAAATCTGCCTCTTTACTTCCACGGCACAAGCCTTGTACAGTTCTTTATCTGCCATAACCAGCTTCAACTTCTTCTCAGGTACCTGAAATACACAGATTGATCAGTTCAATAACTGTCTGAACACATCTTCGCTAGCTATCTACAGTCATCAAAGGCCTTAAAAGAACACTCCTTGTTTAATGTTTATTTATTTAGTAGATCTTCCCCAAAGAAAACATGCTTGTATTTATGTCTGCATGTTTTATTTGGAAGTATATAGAGAGAAAAAAAATAAATAAAAAATCTTGTTGCAGACTTTGTTAGGCCTTTCCTGTATCCGAGACAGACTTTTAGTCTATTCCTGGGAATACATCATTGAGAAGCCTCTGAGCAGGAGCCGATTGCACGCACAAGGTTTCCAATAATTCTCAATAAAAGACAGTACAGCTCTGAGAAAAGAGAGCCAAACCTCCCTGGCAGCCTGTGCTCTGCGTGAAGGGGTTTCTGCCCCCAGCTTTAAAAATGATCCATTTCATTTTTATAAAAAGTGTCAAAAAAACGACATGCTGAAATGCTCCTTTAGTCCTCTCATTCCGATAATCACGACACAATGACAGGAAAATAAAGCACTTAACTCCATGTACATACATTTCATGGCATTTTAATTAATATCATGCATATAAAAGAAATGAATATTGAACTTGGACTTCATTTTCCATTCTTCTTTTTGGGCTGTCTGTTAGGCAAGGATCAATAAAGCTCTTTGTTGTGGTCTTAACAATAAATAATAAACTTTTTTTCTGGTACAAAGAAGGGTATTATATTAACCTTTGATAATCATCTTAACACCAGTTTCCAAACTATGTTTTCACAAACAATTTGCCATCACCTGCAGCTGTGTACATCTAAAAGAATCAAACTGGGATTTGTATTGTTTTCAGTGAGCATTCCTACATATAGCTAAAGGGAAACACCATGCAAACACGTGCAGGCCGCTTGTGAAAGTGATTTAATACACATTTATTTTTAAACAAAAAAAAGGTAAGCCATGAAGGGCTTGATTGAGCATGCGCACACAATTCTGTCACTTTCCAAAGCTTCTCACTTTGCAGAATTGAGGGAAACTTGCAGCAGATGATGTGACTTAATGATTAAAAAAATAAATAAAAAAAATACTTGCTTTAAATTTGAGGTAAGTCCACATTGGATTGTCCCTTTGTAACAGATTACTGACCAGTAAGGGGAGGGGACCAACCTACCTTTGGCAGGTGCTTCATAACACACATGACTACTGGCTGTATAGAGGGCATCTTTACCAAAACAAAACACTTTTCCAAAAGATCCTCTAACTTCTTGTACCTATAGAGAAAACACACCAGAGCCAAATATAGAATATCACTCTGAAAACATCACAACAAAAAGTCCAATGTCATTTAAAGAGGAAGTCTTCTTTACAGGATTTTACATAGTCTTACAGGTAACTAAAAGCATTTTTCTTTGTTTTTATCGGTTTCATTAAAAATAAATCTCACTAGTTTTTATTTTTTCGGTTTACATGCTGTGCCAGGAATGGCAAGTTAATGAAATTAACCCCTGCAGTACCTCTCCTCATTCTTTCCTTCGGACGCAATGACTGAGACTCTCTCCAGGAGTTTCTCCCTCAGCTCATCAAATACAGTCTGATGGAACTCCAGACGTGGGATACTGTGCAAATCCAGGAATGGCAGAGCTGATTGCAGAGAGGGTAGCAGTACTCCATTTTCAATCTGTTAAAAAAAAATAATAGCAATTATTATCTTTACTATTAAAAAGGTACTGCACAGGTCTACAAAATTAACCTAAACTAAGAAAGTCAACAGAGATAAGAGGTAAAGCAAAAATTAATATACAAGCCAAGTTCTTCAGATGTAAATTTTGTGTCTAGAATTAATGAGTGGAGTGAGGTAGCTGTAGAGTAAGAAGATGAAACGGCATTAAATGTCGCTGTTACAAATTATGTGAGGTAAGATGGGATAGACTGCTAAAGAGAAATGCTTTAAGAAGGTACAGACTTTTCTCAAGCATTCCTCTCAATCGGAGACCAGTTATAAGTTGAGAGTATCAGCTGACCAGCACCCACTGAAAGGAGGAGGCAGAGGGGCCAGGACTTTGGGGGTTAAACCATTTATAAACAGTTTAACCTCATAAGACAAGACAGTGGCCAAAATCTCCAGAAACCATAGATCAACCAGTCCCTTTTGACCCCTTCTGGACCATCTGGGTTTATAAACCCCCTCCCTGCTCCCTGAGAGGTGAGTAGGTAGGGCAAATGAAAGCACCATCACACAGAGACAGCATGCACGCACACATACCCCACAGCCTCAACCTTTCTAATTGAAACTATGTTGTGGGTCAGGACAAGTAGCTTGTCATGAGAAACAAGTAGTTTAGGCTACTACTTTAATCCCTTGGACAAGTATACTTTTATTTTATTTTTTTTAATTTCCACACCCCTGAGGTCCGCTTGGCAGGGAACGGGTGGTGTATGTCTCTGTGGCAGGCGAGAAGGGGTTAGGTTTCTGTGCCAGGGAATGGTAAGGTTCTATGTATTTGTGGCAGTGAGGTGGGAGGGTTCCAGGTCTCTGTGAAATGGAGAGGCTTGAGATGGTTCCAGGTCTCTGTGGCTGGGAGGGTTTTAGGTCTATGTGGCTGGGAGAGTTCTAGATCTCTGTGGCAGGGGGGAGATGGGACGGTTCCAGGTTTCTTTTTTACAGGTATGGGGTTGGGATGTGCTCTATGTCTCTGTGACAGGGAGGGTTTTCAGTCTCTGTGGCAGGGGGTAGATGGGAGGGCTCCAGGTCTCTCTGTGGCAGGGAAGGGGGACTGGTTCTAGGTCTATGTGACAGGGAGGGGGTAGAGGAGGATCCAGGTCTCTGACAGGGAGGGGGTGGGGAAGGTTCTAGGTCTCCATGCTGGCATGGAAGAGGTGGGTTCTAGGTCTCAGTGTCAGGAGGCTGTGGGGGAGGTTCTAGGTCTCTGTGTCAGGAGGGGTGGGGGAGGTTCTAGGTCTCTGTGTCAGGGAGGGGTGGGGAGGTCTAGGTCTCTGTGCTGAGGTGTGGGAGAAAATTTAGACCCTGTGTCTGTGTCAGGGCGGTGGAGGTTATAGGTGTCTGTGTCAGGGCGGGGGAGGTTATAGGTGTCTGTGTCAGGGCGGGGGAGGTTATAGGTGTCTGTGTCAGGGAGGTTGTGGGGGAGGTTATAGGTGTCTGTGATGGGGAAGAGGTGGGGGGGTTGCTAGGTCTCCCTGCTGGCTGGGAAGGGGTTGATTATGGAGTCCCGGACCTGGAACTGTTCTATGGCTTTCAGGGGTTCGGTGCAGTTGGCCAGAGTCTCCTTGAGATCCTCTCCGTTGGCGACACCGAGCTCCGGTAAACCAGCGAACATCCTGAGCTCCTCAACCCAAAACAACAGCACTTCCGGCTCCACTTCCGGTGCGGCGCACAACTCCTTCCCCGACAGCAGCGCTCCGGTCACTTCAGTTCCGGTGACAGCGCGTCCTCGTCCACCGCCTCCTCCCACCTGTCACTACGTCACGTACAAACTCCGCCCCCTCTTTAAATCCCGGTCCCGTCACGATCGGAACTCCTCCCCCAGAGCATCGTAACCCCGCCCCTACACATCGTAACTCCTCCCCTAAACACAGTAACCCCACCCCTACACATCGTAACCCCACCCCATACACATCGTAACTCCTCCCCTAAACAGCGTATCCCCTCCCCTAAACATCGTAACGCCTCCCCAGGAGCGCGGGAAACCCACCCCTAAACAGCGTAACCCCTCCCCTAACCCAACTCCTCCCCATAAATGTTACAAACTCCTCCCCAGGACACCGGGACTCCGCCCCTCGCAGTCAGAGTGTAATTACCCAGAGTGCAGTTCGCTCAGTGATACAGCCAGTGTCCCCTCAGAGCTCCATTATTGTTTATTATTAATTAATGTATTATTATTTATTGTTTATTATTAATTAATGTATTATTATTATTAATAATTAATGTATTATTATTATTAATTAATGTATTATTATTATTATTAATTAATGTATTATTATTTATTATTATTATTAATTAATGTATTATTTATTTATTAATTATTTATTATTAACCCCTTAATGACAGCAGCATTATTTGCTGTATTGCACCGACACACATTATATAGCGTGTTTTAAAGGACAGAAAGGGCTTCCATTTGGTGTAACACACATATCTCTCTCTCTCTATATAAATGGTATCCAGAAAGAAGTGGCTGCTCACCGGTCTTTAAAAATTAAAATTTTATTTAATGAAGTTTAAAAATAGTGACCAACGTTTCAGTCGCCGTTCGGGACTTTCCTCAGGGTCAAAAATAACTGGACAACAAATGCATTATGCATAGCAACAATATATACCCATATAATGAAAATAAACCCCACCTCCCATCGGAACTATAGGAACGTCCGGGTATGCGCATGCACCTGCTCACGGGCTCCGCCCCACAGAAATACACCCCAACATTCGCACACTGACACTCCACAGAAATACACCCCAACATTCACACACCGACACTCCACAGAAATACACCCCCACATTCACACACTGACACTCCACAGAAATACACCCTCACATTCACACACCGACACTTCACAGAAATACACCCTCACATTCACACACTGACACTTCACAGAAATACACCCCAACATTCGCACACTGACACTCCACAGAAATACACCCCAACATTCGCACACTGACACTCCACAGAAATACACCCCAACATTCACACACTGACACTCCACAGAAATACACCCCCACATTCACACACTGACACTCCACAGAAATACACCCCCACATTCACACACTGACACTCCACAGAAATACACCCCCACATCCACACACCGACACTCCACAGAAATACACCCTCACATTCACACACCGACACTCCACAGAAATACACCCTCACATTCACACACTGATACTCCACAGAAATACACCCCCACATCCACACACTGACACTCCACAGAAATACACTCCCACATTCAAAAACTGTCATTCCATAGAAATACACCCTCACATTCGCACACTGACACTCCACAGAAATACACCCCCACATTCACACACTGACACTCCACAGAAATACACCCCCACATTCACACACTGACACTCCACAGAAATACACCCTCACATTCGCACACTGACACTCCACAGAAATACACCCTCACATTCGCACACTGACACTCCACAGAAATACACCCCAACATTCGCACACTGACACTCCACAGAAATACACCCTCACATTCACACACTGACACTCCACAGAAATACACCCCAACATTCACACACTGACACTCCACAGAAATACACCCCCACATTCACACACTGATACTCCACAGAAATACACCCCCACATCCACACACTGACACTCCACAGAAATACACCCTCACATTCACACACCGACACTCCACAGAAATACACCCTCACATTCACACACTGATACTCCACAGAAATACACCCCCACATCCACACACTGACACTCCACAGAAATACACTCCCACATTCAAAAACTGTCATTCCATAGAAATACACCCTCACATTCGCACACTGACACTCCACAGAAATACACCCCCACATTCACACACTGATACTCCTCAGAAATACACCCCCACATCCACACACTGACACTCCACAGAAATACACCCTCACATTCACACACTGACACTCCACAGAAATACACCCCCACATTCACACACTGACACTCCACAGAAATACACCCTCACATTCGCACACTGACACTCCACAGAAATACACCCCAACATTCACACACTGACACTCCACAGAAATACACCCTCACATTCACACACTGACACTCCACAGAAATACACCCTCACATTCGCACACTGACACTCCACAGAAATACACCCCCACATTCACACACTGACACTCCACAGAAATACACCCCCACATTCACACACTGACACTCCACAGAAATACACCCTCACATTCGCACACTGACACTCCACAGAAATACACCCTCACATTCGCACACTGACACTCCACAGAAATACACTCCCACATTCAAAAACTGACATTCCACAGAAATACACACTCACATTCGCACACATTGACATTTGACAGAAACACTCTACAATCGAGAACTAACACTCCATGAAAATACACTCCCAAATTCACACTGTGACTTTGTAATTAAAAAGCAGTCATAGGTTATTATTATTATTATTATTGGTGTTTATATAGCGCCAACTTATTTCTCGGCACCTTACAATATTATAAAATTGGTAAATTTAACAATAAATGCGACAATTACAAAATGTTACAGGAACAAGAGGTAGCTGAGGACCCTGCTGAAATGAGATTACAGTCTAGAGGAGGTGGGGTAAAAAAACACAATAGGAAGGGTATTGACGCTGATAGCAACCAAATAACAAGGTGGGAAAGTAGCAGAACTGGAGGTGGGAATGGAGTTTGGCCCTTCAGGACAGAGCAAGAGACAGGCTTGTAAAATAGAAGTTACTCAGGGAGGCCATAAGCATTTCTGAACAGATGGGCTTTATGGGACTTTTAAAATGATTGACGACCTGGGGAGTCTTATGGGGTTAGATTGTTGTTTTAAAGGAAAGGAGCCGCCTGCGAGAAGTCCTGCAAGTGTGAATTAATAGCAAGGGTCCGAGCAGCAGACAGGAGAGACCGAGACGGGGGCTAGAGTTATAACAGGGGCACTCAAAAAGGGATACACTAAACTTAGTATTGTATCATAATAATATGCAGAAATTGCTATTTGATTACATTTGTGTTTCATCTTGAATTTACATATGAAACATAAAAGTGAACATCACTGAATTCTATACATTTCATCTTCTCTTCATGTTTGTGGACGAATCTTCATCTCTGATTTTTTCAGTGAGTACGGATTCTTCCTAAAAGAACTCCAGACCACACCTCGGCCACCTGGATTCAGACTGTGACTTCCTTCCAAATATTCTCCATTTAGACTGGACTCAAAGCAGGTATCGTACCACCAAGCACCTTTGTATTTTTCTGCACAATTAACACTGTCTGTTAAATCATTGTCGCTCTCCGTGGTGCTAAATTGCATATTCTTGTGGTAAGACAAAGAGTCTCCTGAAAAGGATATATAAAGGTTACTTATTATATTTCATTATTATTCAAAAGTCTTGCAATAAAATAATAGTAATTAGTCAGCAATTAGTAATTAGTCTTTATTGACAACTGACCCCGAAATGCAAGAGCAGCTACAACGTCTAAGTTCTCAATCTTTTCTTCACTTATTAAAATAAACAGATAAAGAAATAACTACAAAAGGTTTGACTAATCTATTATCTTCCTTAGGCAGCCCTTGATGTTCTGTTTATCTACACTGTGCTCTGAGACTGTAAAATAACTAAATACATTGTGAAGACAGAAAATGTATTTTTGCATCATTGTAACCTGAAAATTCCTTCATAATTTGAATAAAACTGTATTCTTATATTTGTTAAGGAACCTACAGGAAAAAGATGTAGATTTACATGCAGCACTTGGCAAAGACACAGGACATACTTGAAAACGAGAGAAATCTCAATGTATCCATTCTGGTAAAATATTTTATAAATAAATACATTAATTATTTTTTCATTGATGTTTTACTCCAACCAATAATGAAACACTGTTTTTGGTTAGAATTATCTTTGCTCTGCTGGTCTGCCTTCCCCACCCAAACTTTATAAAAAAACAAAAAACGTACTTTCCATCATTGAGGCCAAATTTACCTTCAGTCCGATCAGCTTCCTCCACTGACTTCACTTCCCCTTGCCAATAGGGTAGGGATATCAGAGAGGTCTTGCTGAGTGGAGGATATGGGCTGGATGGAGAGGGTGCTGTGTTGCTATTGGCTGTATGGCATCATCATGCTGTGTGTACTGGTATCAGATGCCAACTTTGCACAGAATTCACATTAGCCACCTGGGCTGGCTAATGACGCCACAATGACACAGCCAGACGTGGAGGCACAGCTCCGGCAGCATAAGGGTTAATCTCCATATGGGCAGCATTTCATAGCTAAATGCTGCACATACAGATTTCAGGAACCATAACCGTTTTAAATCAGTGAAGTGGTAATAATGCTTGGAGTAACCATTTCACTTTATCCATAAACATAACCCTACTTCTCAGTATGTACCATTGGGTAATAAATATAAAAGAAACAAACTGAAAGCAATGTGGGTTTGTGGGAAGGTAAACCAACAAATTTAAAATCAGAAAAGGGCATTTAGAGCATTTAAATCAGACAAATCGGAGGCATGTAACGAAGCCAGGGCCGGACTGGGAATTAAAAGCAGCCCTGGAAAAAAAATATTTACCAGCCCCATAATGCATCGCGCCAGCATAGTGTGCAGATACAGAGTTAGAACAGATAACTTAAAATTAAAAAGTACTTCAACGTAAAAAGCGCACTCATAGGCTTCAAAATAAACAAAAGTGCAGATTTATTTTAAGCAGACGTGCCTTTGCATGTAATCAATGTTTCAGTCCAACTACCTTGACATATTAAGGAAAGCTTGTTAATGGGACTGAAATGGTGAATGTATGTAGGGCACAACTGTAAAAAAAATTTATTTTGAAGTCCTGTGGGTGTGCTCTTCACTTTAAATATGTTATTGTGCTGGAGTATGCACCTAGCAACAAGACTGGGCCAATATCTGCTCATTACATATGGTACATATTAATGAAATTTCTCTGTGTATTATGCATTTATAAATGTACATTAATATGTGTAAATATAATAGGTATATATATATATATATATATAAAACTAATACACACATTAATATACATGTCATATACTAGTGGCGGATCCAGAGCCTGAGCCTGAGAGGGGCACTTGTAGATTATTTAAAGAAATAATGTGTAGTGGTTATGGTGCCAGGAGCATCGGCACCCCCTCCCAGAGTAAGTCGTCAAACTGTTTAAGAACAGTTTGACAACTTACCTGGAGTCTGCTGGGATATGGGGCTGTAGTAGGGTATAGGAGCAGTGGTGCAATGTGTGTGAAAGGTTCAGTGTGTGGGTGGGCAGTGTGTAAATGTGTATGGTGTGTGTGTGTGGGGGCAGTGTGTGAATGTGTATGGTGTGTGTGTGGGGCAGTGTGTGTATGGGGCTAGAGTTCACTCCTACTACTGGGACCACCAGGAAGTGGTGAGAGTGAACTCTAGCCCGTAGCTCCAGGGCTAGAGTTCACCCTCGTGAGAGCCGGAGCGTTGCCCCAGGTCCTCTCTTCCTCCCCTGCCGACTGGCTGCACGGTGCCTGTGGAACGGGGAGGGAGATCGGCCGGCAGGGGAAAGCCTTGGGGGGGGACCCGTTGCCCCCCCATCCACCAGTGATATATACTGCCCCTATGTGTGTCTCTTTATCTCCAGACCCTCTGTGTGCCTTTTTGTCTCCCCCAGTCACTCTGTATGTTTCTTTCTCCCCCTCACTGCTCCTCTGTGTCAATGTCTCCCCTTTCCTTCCCAGTCTCTCTCTTCCCCCTCTGCCTCTTTCTTCCCCTCCCCTTGTGTGTCTCTCTCTCATTTCTCCCTCTTTGTCTCTCTCTTCCCCCTCTGCCTCTTTCACCCCCTTTCCCTGTGTCTCTCCTCCTCCCCATCTCTCTCCCTCCCTTTCCCTGTGTCTCTCCCTCCTCCCTCCCTGTGTCTCTCCCTCCTCCCTCTATTCCCCTCTCCCCCCCCTTTTACCTGGAGAAGTCAGGGGGCCGGCCGCGTTCCTGGCTGGAGCCGCCGGGCCGGGTGGCAGCTTCCCCGGCCCTGCTCCTGTCACTGCTGTGGCTGATGGAGGAGGAGCATGTCTCTGTACCATGCTCCCTCGCCGTTCCACAGCAGTGAGAGGAGTGCCGCCGGACCGGAGAAGCTGCCACCCGGCCCGGCGGCTCCAGCCAGGAACGCGGCCGGCCCCCAGGTGCCGCAGCCCACCGGGAAATATCCCGGTATCCCGGTGGGCCAGTCCGGCCCTGAGTGTGAGTGCTATATATTTATTCCTTATATTCTACCTCTGCTGTTATAGACATACTACACTAGATTAGTATTCCTGTCCCATTTTTTCTCCTTTATATTGGCTCCATTGAACTCCACACAAGGATTTTAATTGTTAAGCGCTGCTTCCCTACATCCCCCGTTTTACTTGCATCAGCGACCAGAAAGAAGAGACTCTGGTTTGGGAAAGCTTTAGCTGCTGTACACATAAGGAACAAGCGCCAGAAATCTCACTTGCTGCTATATCAACAAGCTATTCCATACAATTCCTTAAAAAGATCAAAATAACACTATAATAAACAGAATGAACTCATCATAAAACCAGGATCTTACATTTAGAATAAACAGGAATACTTGAAATAGCAAACAACATCATACACAATATTTATTTGTAATAGATTAAGAACACTCTTTATTGATTTATTGATTATTGATGAAAAAGGGGCGTCTGTCAGGAAACACAGTGCCGACCGGGGAAAGTGAGATAGGAGATGAGCCGAAGGCAATCTGTTAGATCCGTAATGGGCGTACATTACAGCACTCGGTCTAAAATTGCACAGTCTTGATCGGGTGAGAGGTGGTGTTGGAGGTCCGTAAACTGAGCTCACACCAGAAACTCAATCACCTAACGTTGGAGTTTAAGAGCCTCATAAGTCTATTTAAAGCAGCGGATCACATACACAATGGATCACTTAATTAAAACCATTCATGCTCATAAAAACATTTAATTAAAATGCACTGAATATCAAATTAAAATACAAATCAATGCATCCACAGAAAACAAAATTAGAAATAAAATGAATATCTAAAAATACAGAATCATGATGGACTATCTACTAATATAAAAATTGATTAGTCACCATATAAAATAACACCTAAAATGCTAAAAACTATAACATAAGAATAACAATCATAAAATTAAAATAAAAATAGCAATTTGTTAGATCATATTAAAAAAATAATGAAAATAACTTTAAAACAAAATAAAAAAGCTTATATAGACATGAGTCTATTGGAAATATATACAAATAACAATTAAAGCAAGATAATGTGTAGCAATATTATTATTATTATGTTATTATTTATAGAGCACCAAACAAATTTTACAGAGCTTTACAATGGGTAGACAAACAGACATGTAGTTGTAACCAGTTGGATACACAGGAACAGAGGGGTTGAGGGCCCTGCTCAATGAGCTTACATGTTAGAGGGAGTAGGGTAAAGTTACACAAAAGGTAAGGATAGTATTAGACTAGTGACAGTTGCAAGAGAGGAATCAGTCAGGAGCTATTAACAGTTTAATTGATCTCTCCTCATCCCTCTTGACTAGTGTCTCTGACTGCCTCTCTACTATTTCTAACTGGATGGCTGCCCACTTCCTTAAACTCAACTTGACCAAAACTGAAATTCTGGTCTTTGCTCCCTCAAGTGTTGTTACTCCTGTGTCTGTCTCCCTCCAAGTCAACGGTGCTACCATCAGCTCCACCACCCAGGCTCGCTGCCTAGGTGTTCTCTTTGACTCAGACCTCTCCTTCACGCCTCTTGTTCAATCTATTGCCAAGTGTGTTTGCCTGTAATATGTGTGTTTGATTGCAGCAGTGTGTTTGCTTGTTGTGTTGGTGTTTAATTGCTTGAATGTATGCTCATGCCCACATACACTACCACACACGTGTACAGAGATATATATACACATTAACACACAGATACACAGGGCCAGCGCAACAGTTAGGCGAGCCTACTGGAATGTTTCCTAGTGGTCTGCCCCTGTCTTGGGCCGCAGTGCTGGGCAAGCGGCTCTTGTGCTGCCCCCTCTCCACCCTCAGCGCCGGGCCGATCTTTCAGGTGCCCGAAAGTGGGAACACCCAGAGTAGTTCTGTCACAGGGGGCCCAGGAGGTGGCCATCTGGCCACCTCAGGGCACCCCCAAAGCTGTGCTTCTTCAGTATGCAGAGCAGTCACCTGCTTACCCTGATAGCAGGTGACTGCTCTGCTGATAAATGTCAGAGGAGAGGAGGCAGGCAGCGGCAGTGAGGGTGGCAAGGGAGACTGTTCTTGAAGCTTTTCACTCCTCCCTTGTGCACACTCTGTGATGCCGGAAGCCAGAATGTGACATCATTCAGGCCCCGGCATACTAAACAGAGCACTGGAGGAGTGAGAAGTTGTCCCACACTGGACCCCAGGGAGGTAGTGATGCTGGATAGGCCTCAGAAATAACGTTCTGTGAGTGTTTGACTGTCAGTGAGTGAGTGTATGTATGTATGTCAGTGGGTGTCTATGTATGTGTGTGTGTGTCTGTAACATTCACTAGGGAACCCTAACTTGCAGACAGGACAGAGTATAGAGAATTGCAATACCGATCCTTAGAATGGTCGGGTTATGCAAAAAGGGATAGTCAAACTACAAGCCGAGGTCAAGGGAAACAGAGAGACGGAATAACGAGAGACAAAGCCACATATCAGTAACCAGAGTAAACCAAAGACCCCAACAGGGCACTGAGGAAAGGGAGGGGTTAGCTTATATACACACAGGGTGTGTCTGATTGGCTAATCTCCAATTAGTGTTAACCACAACCCGTGGGAGGAGTTTCTTTCCTCCCTTGTGGTCTCTGAGGCCATCACTGTGTGCCGGGTCACATAACCGGGTTCAGCACACATATAAGGAAGCTGCTCTGGAGCGTGCAGCGTCAGACACACGGCCAGTCTGGAGACAGGGACCAGATGACGCCGCTCGCAGTGTCTGTCTGTCGGTGAGTGAGTGTGTGTCAGTGAGTGAGTGTATGTTTGTCAGTGAGTGTCTGTGTGTATGTCTGTCAGTGAGTGAGTGTATGTCTGTGTGTCAGTGAGTGTATGTGACTGTGTGTCAGTGAGTGTGTATCTGTGAGTGTTTGTGTCTGTCAGTGACTGAGTATGTGTCTGACAGGGAGTGTATGTGTGTGTGTTTGTCTGTAAGTGACTGTGTGTCTGTCAATGTGTGTGTGTCTGTTAGTGTGTGTGCTCGTCTATGCTAGTCTTATTATTCACCAAATGCATTGAATACATAATTTTTCACAGCGATAAATTATGTATTCAATGTACAATGTATGTAATAGGCAGTGTATATGGATGCATGTGTTAGACAGTGTGTGTTTATGGATGTACGCATTAAGCTGTATGTGTGTATTAGGCAGACCTAACTGGAAACAATATGGCAACATTTAAACCAAAATAGCTGATCTAGAAGATGCATACACCCTGACACAACAACACACACTGACATATACACACCCTGACACACAGATAAACACACACATATACACACATACACAGGCAGATACACAGAAACACACACTGATATACACACAGCTACACACACTGACACATACATGCACCTTGACATAGATACACACTGACATATACACACACAATCTAACATACATACACACATTCATCATTTTTTTATTTGCAGCCTCCTTTCAGCTTACCTTTTGTGTCCAGGAGGGTGGCTTGCTTGGGATCCTGCCAAAATATGTTTTAATAATAGAAGTTACATTAGTTACATAGTGTTCCTTACCACCCACTCCCCTCCCCTGTCCCATAGTATTCCTTACCACCCACTCCTATCCCCTGTCCCATAGTGTTCCTTACCACCCACTCCCCCCCCCGTGTTCCTTACCATAGTGTTCTCCGCCCACCGTCCCATAGTGTTCCTGTCCCATAGTGTGTCCCATAGTGTTCCTTACCACCCACCTCCCCTGTCCCATAGTGTTCCTTACCACCCACTCCCCTCCCCTGTCCCATAGTGTTCCTACCACCCACTCCATAGTGTTCCTACCACCTCCCCTCCCCTGTCCCATAGTGTTCCTTACCACCCACTCCCCTCCCCTGTCCCATAGTGTTCCTTACCACCCACTCCCCTCCCCTGTCCCATAGTGTTCCTTACCACCCACTCCCCTCCCCTGTCCCATAGTGTTCCTTACCACCCACTACCCTCCCCTGTCCCATAGTGTTCCTTACCACCCACTACCCTCCCCTGTCCCATATTGTTCCTTACCACCCACTACCCTCCCCTGTCCCATATTGTTCCTTACCACCCACTACCCTCCCCTGTCCCATAGTGTTCCTTACCATCCACTACCCTCTCAGTGAGCACTTCCTTTCAGTCCGGCCGGGTACAGGAAACAGAGGTTCCTGTACCGCGGTGCGTACACATTCGCTCCATAAGACGCACAGACATTTCCCCTTACTTTTGAGGAGGAAAAAAGTGCATCTTTTAGAGCAAAAAATATGGTATCTAAAACTCTACTCTTACTTAAGACTCTTATTTAGTTATTAAAAATAATAAAAAAAAATTGTAAAAATTCCTAACTTTCTTTGTTATCGAGAAGGGATTATTGCATAAATCAGTATTTTAAAATACCACTTATATTTACATAAATATTTCTAATCCATTAATATCATTCGCCTACATACATATAGAGAAAGGGTGGCCCTATAGGGAGTTATTGTAGATAGTCCCACACTGTTTAGTTGTTTAGTGCAGTAAATGTCACATAACCTCTGAGTCACAAGTTCTACTAGTGAAAAGATTTGTGGCCTTTCATCAAGACTAGGTCAGTAAAAGGATTGTAATTGAATTAGGCATTGGTCCATCTCTATTTCTCTTTATCTACATATTCTCATTATTTCCTGCATTTACCTACAACATGGCAGTAAGTTTCACAATCAACATTTCTTGTTATGATTTAGAGTGTTGCAACCACTTTATTGTGAAATAATTGGCAAAGCGGGCTTGATTTTTTCTAAACGCTTAATAAAATGATCAACAAAAATAATGTTTGTAGAACTGGGTTTTTATATACTGAACACTGACAGGATTATTCACTAAAATAAGAATTCAAAGGGGTTTTCAAATATAAGGCCAAAGCAATCAAACTGGAAGATGACTTTTGAGAATTTTTCTGGTTCGGCTCTTTTGACCTTACATTTAAAATTCACATTGATTTCACTTTGAATTCTCAATTCAGTGAATAACCCTCTGAATAGTAATAAAATGAAAACCAAATTCAAAATTCAGCCTAAAAGTTCATACTGTAAGTGCAGCAGATATTTTGCCTGCGTTTTACAATTTCTAGGGTTATTCACTGAAGGCCCTGTTTACCGAATGGGGTCAAACATTCTGGTGCTATATGGGGCCAGTTGGACCATAAAATCCAGACATTGTTTATGCTATTTAACAAGGTAATTTACACACAAGGCTCCGAATGTCACTGAATACGGTCTGGATTTCAGCTGGATCAAGCGCTGCCGGACGGCAAATAATTAAAGAAACACTATTGGGTCAAGAACACAAACATGTATTCCAGATCCTATAGTGTTTAAAACACCATCAAGCCCACCTGGCCCCTCTTGCCTCCCTAAATATAGTAAAATCTTACCTTTATTCCAGTCTGCTGCTGCTGGTTCTGCCCCTGATCTGCCTCATTGGTTGATATCATCTGAAGTATTGATCTGAGCCAATCACAATGCTTTCCCATAGGATTGGCTGAGATTGTCAAGGAGGTAGATTAGAAGCAGAGCCAAACACAGCCCTAGCCAATCAACATCTCCTCATAGATCATACTGTGCATACCACTGTCCCCCACTCAAATTTGTGACATTGCCCTCCCCACGTGGTTAGGTGTCCCAACTGAAAATAAAGTATCCCTTCTTAACCCCACTAATAACTTTCTTACACAAGATGCTTCCAAGGAGCTTGTCCATGCTCTAGTAATTTCCTGCATGGATTACTGTAACCCTCTCCTGACTGGTCTCCCCAAAAGCCGTATTGCCCCGCTAAAGTCTGTAATGAATGCTGCAGCTAGACTGATTTTCTTCTCTAGTTGGTCCTCTCATACCTTACCCCTCTGCCAGTCCTTACATTGGCTCCCTGTATCCTATAGGAGTAAATTCAAAGTGCTAACCCATACATTTAAAGCACTGAACAATTCTAGCCCCTCTTATATCTCCTCACAGATCCATAGGTATGTCCCTTCTTGGTCTCTCCGCTCTTCCCGTGACCTTCTTCTGTCCACTGCTCGCACCTGTACGGCCAACTCGTGTTTGCAAGACTTCTCGCGGGCTGCTTCTTTCCTATGAAATCAGACTCTCCCCTAGTCTTCAATCATTTAAAAAGTGCCTTAAAACTCATCTCTTTAGTAAAGCTTATGGCCTCCCAGAGTAACCTCTACCTTACATACCCGTCTCTTGCTCTCTCCTGTAGGGCAGTGCTTTACTCTCTCCTCCAGCTCTGCTTCACTCCCACCTTATTTGATTGATATTTCCTGTCCTAACGTGTCTTATACCCCACCTCCTATAGACTGTAAGCTCGTTTGAGCAGGGTCCTCTTCAACCTATCGTTCCTGTAAGTTTTCTTGTAATTGTCCTATTTATAGTTAAATCCCCCCTCTCATAATATTAGAACGCTCTGATTGTTTGGCTCATACGCCAATGAACCAGAGCACTCTCAAGGACAAGTCTCATTTCTCTCGAGACTTTCGATGGGCGTCCACAGAAGGGAATGACAATGGCAAATGGCATATATTTTTTGGGGGGGCAGTGGTCAATTTTGGTTTTTCAACCCTGTATATTTTATTAGTAGCATCTATCCACCAACCATGGATGGAGTCTAAGGGGACACTCTAATGTCCCCCATTTTATAATTAATGTACCCACCTGCCCAATATGGTTAAAGGCTCCAGGGGAGTCTCCCTCAATATAAAATTAGTAGACACCTACTGCTGCCCATGTGTGGGGACTGGGACATTGAGTCCACCTGTATACATTTTGTAGCCTCCACCCATTGACTATGCCACTCTGTCTACCACCCCCCACCCACCCATTATTATTTAATGTAATGTTCCCCACCCAATGCACATGGGTTGGTGCAGAAAGGGGATTACGGCTGACCGGATTTTCCATGAGTAAATATGAGAATTGCAATTCTAGTTGTCTGAATTCTGCAATTTTAGTTAATTGCTTGTTGGTTTTCAATTCAGTACAATTTACTGTTTAGTGAATGAACCACTCAATTTACACCACTGGGGGTAATAATCTATTGTTAAAAGTTAATTTTTTTTGGCTCTTGTTGGGTGGGGAGGGTTCAACCTTTTAATATATCACATGGTTTCTGATCAGATTTACACCAGGGGCCAATTATTCCAAAACATACAGGTTTATTGCAGAAGTAAAACCAACATTTATCTTTTGTCTAACTTGTAATCTTTCATTCACATATCATAAAAAACATACAGGGTTATACACTAAAGCAAGATTTATTGGCAAATTAACGTAGATAAACATAATTGAATGTTTTTGCCATTGAAACTAACTCATGCTTCAAGGAGCAACTTTTTACCCAGATTGAAAGAGTTTAAACATCTGACCTTGAACCTTGTGGGCACTCGGGAGGGGGCGGGATAGTAACTGGAACTGTTGTCACTAACCATATAAACAGAAAGAAACTGTCTGAATTCCTTACATACACCATGGCACTGCCCGCGTTGGTTATACTGCCTGTTACCTGGGTCCTGCTGGCTCTTTCTACTGCGCAAAACACCTGCCCAGGTAAGTGTTACATCACACAGTACTGGAGGTCTTAACACAGGTTGATAGTCACATGCAAATACTTGCACTCAGTCTGCTAAAGGCATTCATTTATTTAAACCGAAAAACAATTTCATGCAAAGAAATTGAATTTAACTAAAAATCATGTCTCCAACTCGGCTATAGTCATAGTATGGCTATTCTAGTCTAAAATTAGCTTCTGAGGTTTTAAATTTACTACAACTCAGAGTGATTTGAATTTTTTAGACCAAATTAGCCAAACTAAAAACTGACTTGAAGAAATTCTATTTCAATTCTAGACAATTCAAACCTTATAGAAGAGTTGACTGTTGAAAAGTATTTTGTGAGGTTTAGTCTTATTGAATGTTATAAACCCCAAACTGAAGTGATATGGCCTGCTTTATAAAAAGAGTAGTACATGCACGGTATGTCCTCCCAGCTGAAATGGGAAAATAAACAATAAATGCCAGTTACCCATAAGATCAGTTATTGCAGTTTGTTCATTCTTGGTGAGGGTTTATTGACTATGTGAGGAGTTGTCAAGAACTGAGACGGAAGCTTTTAGGCTGAAATAGCCAACCTAGAAAAATAGGTGAGCTCAGATAAATTTTTCTAGTTGTTTAACCAGCTGTGAAATGTTTAAACATAACCGCTATACCCTAGATTTCCACAGTCTTTCTTTTGTTTCTACGTAAATGTCTCATCCTAATTTCTATGGTTCATTTCTTAAAGGAACATTCAAATCACCATAACCACTCCAACATTCAGAACTGGTTATGGTGCCAGAAGGGCCCTAGTTCCTTCCTACGTAAGTAGTAAGTGCCATAGTCCCTCCCCACATAAGTGGTTTTACTTTTTAAATGGGGTCGGTTGGTTGCCTCCACGGCAGCCGGAAACACTCAGCTCTGATCAAAGCCCGGTGGTGGGCTTAGCACAGGAGAGATAACGAGATAAGCAGGAGCTTCTGGCGAACCCCAAGTAAAGAGTTGAACCATTCTTATCGATCAAGTTCCGTTCCTACGACCCGGTCGTAGAACGAATTGGTTGGTAAGTGCAGAGTTAAGGGATTCCCTGCTCTGGTGCTTTCGTCTATGTTCGGGAAACTTCCCTGAACATAAACAAACTCACCAGAGCAGGAAATCTCTCTAATCTATGTCCAGGGGAATTTCCCCAAACATAGATTAGAGAGATTCCCTGCTTGATGCGTTCATCTATGTTCGGGGACGTTTCCCCGAACATAGACATGTGAGATTTCCCCGAACATAGATTAGAGGGATTCCCTGATCTGATGCGTTTGATTATGTTCGGGGAAGTTTCCCTGAAGTGCGAGCCATCGTCAAACAGGGAGGTTGCAAAATGAGGACCACGTGTACTTATAAGGGGAGGGAGCGCTACATCACTCCTGGTACCATAACCATTACAGTGTTTTGCAGTGGTTATGGTATGTTGCTTTAACTGTCAAAACTGGAAAAAAATATAGCTTAGAGGGATCACTAGATCAACTGTTTGCAGAGTAAGGAACAGCGCACACACACACAAAAAAATCAACATTTTACAAGACTGCTTAAAATCACCTACCTCAGCAAACAAATATGGGGATTCAGTTACACTATATGGCCACCTGGGGGCTGCGCACATAAGTGCCACCTGGTGGGACCGGTCCGGTGGCACTCAGAGGGGGCCGGCTGCGTTCCTGGCTGGAGCCGCCGGGCCGGGTGGCACCTTCCCCGGTCCGGCCCTGCTCCTGTCACTGGCTGTTGTGGCTGCTGATGGATGAAGGAGGAGGAGCCTGTCTCTGTACCATGCCCCCTTCGCGGTTCCCACAATTCCCAGCACAGGAACCGCGAGGGAGCATGGTACAGAGACAGGCTCCTCCTCCTTCAGCCATCAGCAGCCACAGCAGCCAGTGACAGGAGCAGGGACGGACCGGGGAAGGTGCCGCTCCAGTCTGGAACGCGGCCCCTGACTTCTCAAGGTAAATGGGGGGGGGGGGGGGGAGAGAGATGGGGTGGAGGAGGGAGGGAGAGAGAGATGGGGAGGAGGGAGAGACACAGGAAAGGGGAGGAGAGAGATGGGGGGAGGAGGGGAGAGACACAGGGAAAGAGGAGGGAGAGATGGGGAGAGGGGAGAGACACAGGGAAAGGAGAGAGAGGATGGGAGGGGGGGGGAGACACAGGCAAGGCAGGGAGAGAGATGGGGAAAGGGGAGAGACACAGGAAAAGGGGAAGTGAGAGAGATGGGGAGGAGGAGAGACACAGGAAAGGGGAGAGAGATAGGAGAGAGGAGAGACACAGGGAAAGTGGGGAGGAGAGAGATGGGGAGAGGGGAGAGACACAGGAAAGGGGTGAGGGAGAGAGATGGGGAAAGAGCTGTAGGAAAGGGAGGAGGGAGAGAGATGCGGGGGGAGGCAGAGAAATGGGGAGGAGGGAGAGACACAGGGAAAGGGGGAGGAAGAGACACAGGGAAAGGGGGTGAAAGAGGCAAAGTGGGAAGAGAGAGACAAAGAGGGAGAAATAAGAGAGAGACACACAAGGGGAGGGGAAGAAAGAGGCAGAGGGGGAAGAGAGAGACTGGGAAAGAGAGAGATGGGGAAAGGGAGAGACACAGGGAAAGGGGGGAGGGAGAGAGATGGGGAGAGGGGAGACACAGAAAGGGGAGGGAGAGAGATGGGGGGGAAGGGAGAGACACAGGAAAGGGGGAGGAGAGAGATGGGAGAGGGAGAGGACACAGGGAAGGGGGAGGAGAGAGATAGGAGAGGAGACACAGGAAAGGGGAGGGAGAGAGATGGGGAGAGGGAGAGTGGTGCGGGGAGGAGAGAGAGATGTGGGGAGAGACACAGGGAAAGGGGGGAGGGAGAGAGATGGGGAGAGACACATGGAAAGGGGGAGGGAGAGAGATGGGGAGGAGGGAGAGACACAGGGAAGGGGGGAGGAAGAGACACAGGCAAAGGGGTGAAAGAGGCAGAGGGGGAAGAGAGAGACAATGAGGGAGAAATAAGAGAGAGACACACATGGGGAGGGGAAGAAAGAGGCAGAGGGGGAAGAGAGAGACTGGGAAGGAGAGGGGAGACATTGACACAGAGGAGCAGTGAGGGGGAGAAAGAAACATATAGAGTGACTGGTGGACACAAAAAGGCACACAGAGGGGCTGGAGATAAAGAGACACACATAGGGGCAGTATATATCCCCCCCACCCTCCCAAGGCTTTCCCCTGCCTGCCGATCTCCCTCCCCGTTCCACAGGCACCGTGCAGGCAGCCGGCAGGGGAAGAAGAGAGGACCCGGGGCAACGCTCCGGCTCTCACAAGGGTGAACTCTAGTCCTGGAGCTACGGGCTAGAGTTCACTCTCACCACTTCCTGGTGGTCGCAGTAGTAGGAGTGAACTCTAGCCCCATACACACACTGCCCCACACACACACCATACACATTCTCACACTGCCCACCCACACACTGAACCTTTCACACACATTGCACCATTGCTCCTATACCCTACTACAGCCCCATATCCCAGCAGAATCCAGGTAAGTTGTCAAACTGTTCTTAAACGGTTTGACTACTTACTCTGGGAGGGGGTGCCAATGCTCCTGGCACCATAACCACTACACAGAGTGTGGTTATTGTGCATGGAATATTTCTTTAAATAATCTACAAGTTCCCCTCCTGGGCTCAGGCTCTGGATCCGCCACTGGTATATGACATGTATATTAATGTGTGTATTAATTATATATATATATATGTATATATATATATATATATACCTATTATATTTACACATATTAATGTACATTTATATATGCATAATACACAGAGAAATATCATTAATATGTACCATATGTAATGAGCAGATATTGGCCCAGTCTTGTTTCTAGGTGCATACTCCAGCACAATAACATATTTAAAGTGAAGAGCACACCCACAGGACTTCAAGATAACGTCATTTTTTACAGTTGTGCCCTACATACATTCACCATTTCGGTCCCATTACCAAGCTTTCCTTAATATGTCAAGGTAGTTGGACTGAAACATTGATTACATGCAAAGGCACGTCTGCTTAAAATAAATTTGCACTTTTGTTTATTTTGAAGCCTATGAGTGCGCTTTTTAAGTTGAAGTACTTTTTAATTTTAAGTTATCTGTTCTAACTCTGTATCTGCACACTATGCTGGCGCGACGCATTATGGGGCTGGTAAATATTTTTTTTCCAGGGCTGCTTTTAATTCCCAGTCCGGCCCTGTAAGCTACATACAGAGCGTTTATTCAATGTTCAGGATGCTTTATAATTGCATTACTAACTATTTTTAAATTTTATTTCTAGAGGTGAAATTTACTGGCTTAAGTGGAACAGAAAAAGTTACTATTATTCAGGGATGTCCTGGTGTTCCAGGAACTGCTGGACCCAAAGGAGAACTAGGACCCCAAGGGCCAAGAGGTACTTTTTTTTGTCAACTGGGACTGTTATGAATCTTATTCTTTTTTATGATATTATTGCTTTTTTTTTTTTTATTGGTACCACTGTGTCTTACAATGTAACATTTCCAATTTTAATAGAAATGCATTATCTCCTTTAGTCTGGTAGGTCAGAAGATTCACATTTTACAGAGTAGAGGGTCTTCGATGAGCCACTGTACATAAAGATGTCCCACGCATTTTAGGGCACTAAACTCTCCTCTAGAACATGCAATGAAAATCCTGAGATACACGTATGAACTATTGACTTTGCCTAATAAAACATAAATATGTGTCTTCATTTTTATTAAAATGTTCTGATAATTTCAGGTGAGAAAGGTCTTCCGGGCATTATTGGTAAAATGGGCCCTCCCGGGTCAAAAGGTGAGCATAACATTGACTTGTATTGTGTAAGGTCCATCATGTAGTTGATTTTCAGAGGTTTTGTCGGGGAAGATACAACAATAAAAGAGGGGTTTTATTTATAACCATTTGTTAAGTTTCCTAGATCTGCTAGGCATCTATCTGCTGTACTTATTGACGCAGTGGCTGCCTCAACTATTAAAGAATTACAACTCTAATTGTCCTTGGCAAGCCTTTTCTCTAACTTCATGTTAGCTGTAGTTCTGTTGGGGACATTTTAAATACCTCTGCTCTAATTTGTAGGTCCTAATTATTGGGGACCTTTGTTCTTTATCAATGTCTCAGTATTTAATGGCTTTATTGTGACAAATAAGAGAGCTTGATTTAATTTTCAGGAGAAAGTTCTTCATCCGGACCTCGAGGTTTTCCAGGTAAAAAATGGGAAACATTAAATTGTTTTATTTTTTTTAATAAAAAAAAAAGCTCTGCTTGTTATACAAATTTACAAAGGAAACCATTGTAATAATGGTAACTACTACGTGCTATTTATTCAATTTCTTTAAAGTCTTTGAGTGTCAGCTGGGTGTACACAATGTGGAACTAATACCTTGCTGCAAAGGTTGAAGACCTCAGACATTACAACAGAAAATGTTTTAACACAGTCCCAGCTTTAGAAGAATAAATAATGTGAGAGGACTATACATTTATATATGGAGTATACATCTGAACATGTGATGCTATGTTTTCCTACGCGTTTCACTAGATACAGCAATCTGTTGTTACACACTCTGAACAGCATTACCCTTAGTTTAGTTTTTTTTTATATGTTCAGGTTAAAACATAAGGAACAATCCACAAATTATCTTTTTTACCTGGATTTTCTAATGCCCTTGCACTCATACTGTATTTTTTTTTCTCTATAATTTTATGTTAATATTTATTTCCAGGCCCTCCTGGTGTTCCTGGGCTCCAAGGACCAAAAGGTAAGATTATTTGTGCTCAAAAAATGCTTTCTAAAGTCACTTGGGGAATATTAAATTCACTATAAAATGAATATTGAGATCAATGATTTTTTGTTAAACTATTTACATGACAAAGCATGTACTGTAATCAGTACTGTAATCAGTAATGTATAAATGCAGTGTTCTATTTTAAAACTAGCCACACGTGGCTTTTAATGCATGGACTCCACAGCAACATTACAGGGGTTTTCTTCCAGGAGTTTCTGTGTCTGAAAGATAATTGAGCTCTAAACAGGATAACTCAATTACCTCTCAGATACAGGAAATAACATACAATCTTACAAATCACCCCAAAAACATAAAATATTTTTACAGGAACCCCACAATTCTCATATTCCCAAATAGCCTGTGTCTGAGCGCCCAACATATCCAAAAAGCGTTCTGTTCAGTGAAACGGAATCGCCATTCAGAAGAAATTTCGACCGGCCGGCCACGAGGGGTGCCCCAAAAGAGTTCCAGAGAATCCAGGTCAGCGGCCAGTCTCTGTTTGGGGGTTCCTGTGCGAACACCAACGAATGCTCCCCCTGTGCTTATAGGTAATAGTTCCTATCTCCCGAACGTGGTTCGTGTAGCTTGTCGGGAAAGTGTACGGGCAGCAGTACCATCTTTGCCAGGGTTTCGCAAGAGTGTGTAGCCAATATGAGTTCCACACGCTCAACGACCATGTACTGCTGCCTGTGTTCGGTAGACAAAATGGCCACCCAGTGAAAGCACTCAAATAAATCCTTTAATTGCGGTTAACAGCCGGGGGTGGTCAGTGTTCTGAGTCAATAAAAAGAGGGGGACCCCACAAGTTCTGTTCAGTTCACGAACGAACAGGGGGATACGGGTCTGTTTGGTAAAACTACACATAAGTTCGGTCAACCCCATGGAATGATAATAGGTACACCACACTTCCAACTGAAGAATCAGTCATCAGGCTAATGCCAAGATTCCAATTTGTATCCATGACAAAAAAGTTTAATAAACTCTGCTATTAAAAGGATGACTCACAGATCATATACTAGAATGAGCTATGTTTGTTTTACCAATAACCTTAACCTGTCATTGTATCTTTTTCCCTGTCTTTAGGTGATAAAGGCTCTCCAGGTACCACAAGTACACAAGGATCAAAAGGTAATAGGAATTATATTCATATCTGCAGCAATTAATCTAGCTATTGGCTGAAAAAACAAGATATTTGTGATGGGGTCTGTCACGAACGCACCCTACTCCAAGAGTGTGCGTGACGTAGTTGTGGTTGTGAAAGGGTTAAAGTTCACTATTTGTCTGCACTAGACCGGAAATAATGACAAAATCCCCCTTTAACACCACCCACACTTAAACATAATAATATAACTATTACTATTTTAACGCTGCCACCACCAAGACAATTTATAAATGGGGTGCCTTGGTCCCCCAGGTAAATCAATAATAAAACCCACCAAATATTACTTAGCACAATATTTAAGGAATTATAAAAATACTAACTGGTCTCTTCAGGTAACGTGATTCTTAACCAGACAAAGGCAAAACTTAATAAATGAATGTTTATTATGAGCAAAAGATAGTCACAGTGCATATAAAAATATATGATAAACAAATTATTTACACCAACAACAGATAAAAACAAAAAGGATAAAATACAGAAGTCCTAATTACTCACTTAGGTTTTCAAAGTACAACTTCTGTCCAGGGGGTCTCTGGCAAGGAAAGATGGTGACTCACCCAAAATTAGATCTTGGCCCCAAGCAAGTACACCAACACCCTTCAGGATCATTAGATATATACCCTGTGGTTTATCAAGTCTTGCCCAGGGGTGGAGTTAAGGCGTACCTACAGAAATAATAACTGACCACCTCCTTTGTTCCAGACCACTGTCAATCCAAATTGAAACATTTGACTCTATCTTCTTTTTTGTACCTGCCACAGAAATAATAATTGCATCTACAAATTTGTTATTATTTTCCCATTCCATAGACATGTTGCACGTCCCACCCACGATCCAATAGGACAGACATCACAATTCCTTTCCCTAGGGTCAAGTTAGGCCACTCATGTTTGGACTTGGTTAGAAGATGGCGCTTGTCACATTCCAAATATAACAAAAATGAGGCTTAATTATTATTCTGTGGGGGTAAATATGAAAGTTTTTGTCCTTCCTTTGGATATGATACTAGAACAAAGCTAATGGCATTTACATATCAAAGAGATTTACTCATCACTTACAAAGTACGGGCCAAATGGATGAAGAGACATTCAGACTTTTTCCAAGTGTTGAACCTCACACCTTGCAGACTTCACATCCATACAGTAAAATCCTTTTCACATCCCTATGCCATTCACACTACCCCTTTTGTCATCTGCCCTCTGTGGGGGGGTCCCAGCTTCAAAAGATGTAACCCCTGTTGACCTCAGCAATAGCATCTCTGTAATTTGTGCCATTTACTACAAGAAATCACATTAAAAGATGATATTCCATAGTGTCATAATAAATTATACACCCTTGCCGTGACACCTCCCCCAAATAAGAGACGCAATGGGAGAAGGCTCACATGCCTCTACCTTGTGTATCAACACTTGTTCCTTTTTTGCCTCCACCTCATATACTCATCTTTTTCAGGACTCTGGTTCTACATGAATGGGGTAACCCTCACATGTTCACACACCTCCCCCAAAAAGGCTTGCCCTTTGTCCCTAAGCCATATCACAGCCATATCCACAACACGCATGCCTGATTTGCCTGTTTCCATCTCCCACTGCGCTCTGATCACATCTCTCAGGCCACACCCACTGCGCCCGTGTAGTAGCTCTAAGGGGAAGAAACCAACCGATTTCTGCAGTACTCCCCTGTAAGCACACACAAGATGAGACAGAGGACACTCCCAGGGTACCTGCACTGTATCCACACTCCTTATCTGTTTTATTTTGTGGTCTGTCTGCTGGGCTCGTTGCACCTTTTTACTCTGAACCTTTGGTTCAGAATCAAAAAGTTGCTTAGAGACAGACGCCTTCTCCTGAGCTGGCTTGGGTGTATGTTGGAGGTGTGATTGTGATATGCTGACAAGGAGGGTGGTTCCCCCATCAGTATGTTCCCCTGCGGCCATTTTCCCTGGACCCACAGGTTGAGACTGTCCATGCCCCTCACTTTGGGCAGACCGTGGACGGGTCCCCCTATCTACTGATGGAACCTCTGTCTCTCCCTCACCTCCTCTCCATGTCCTCACACACACAGCACCTTGGGAACTGGCTGAGTCTTGTGCAGAGTAAGGCTCACACACACTCTGCCCTCCCTCAAAGCCATGCTCTCCCTCCACACTTTCACACAGCCCAGCCAATACATTGGCGTCAGGCAGATTTTGGCACACATATTCATTCAACCCTCTCTCTCTAGAATTCTCTTCCTGCACATTGTCACATAACACCTTTAGCACCCCTTGGTCAGGCACTGGATGTGAAACACACTCACGTAATTTCCTCTCCCAGCCAGGCCATCCTTCCATAATCTCACATAGCCACTCACTTTGTCCTTGTTCTGGCACCTGACATACTCCTGACTGAGATACAGGTGAACACATCAACTCATCCTGCCCTGGTTCCCAAATGTTTGATCCACTTGTGTTTTCACATGGCATCTTAAACAACCCTGGCTCTGACACAGATAGGCACACACGCTCATCCAGCCCCGCCTCGCTGTGCAGCTGTTTTTGCCCACTCACACATGGTATTACAGGCACCCCTAGTGCTTGCCCTCGCTCCCAGCACAATTGCCGGCATACACCTTCGCTTGTTTCCACAGACACCCCTGGTTCAGGCACAGATTGATACACATTCTGCCCTCCCTCCCAGTGAAGTTGTCCTGGCAAACTTTCACCTTGTACCACAGACAACTCTGGTTTTGGCACAGCCTGGCACACATGCTCATTCTGCCCTCCTTCCCAGCAACTTTGTCTTGGCACATTCTCACATGATATTGCAGACACTTCTGGTTCAGGCACAGACCAGCACACATGCTCAGTCTGCCCTCCCTCCCAGCACAATTGTCTGCATACATTTTCACAAGTTTCCACGGACACCCCTGGTTCTGGCACAGATTGACACACATTCTGCCCTCCCTCCCAGCGAAGTTGCCCTGGCAAACTTTCACCTGATACCACAGACAATTCTGGTTTTGGCCCAGCCTGGCATGCATGCTCATTCTGCCCTCCCTCCCAGCAACTTTGTCTTGGCACACTCTCACATGATATTGCAAACACCTCTGGTTCAGGCACAGACCCGCACACATGCTTATTCTGCCCTCCCTCCCAGCACAATTGTCTGCATTCATTTTCACATACTGCCCTCTGCACAGGAGGGCCCCTATGAGGCTTGGGTTTATAACACACGATACTTTCTGGCACATACTGGGATAACAATCTACCTAAGTCAGTACCAAGTAATACATTTGCAGGGATATTCTCATCTACCCCCACATTTCTGAAACCCTTCCCCGCTCCCCAATCCAAATAAACTCGTGCCATTGGCACTACAAGTCGTACCCCCCCCAATTCCTTTAACTGCTAGAGTCCTGCCAGGAATTAAGTCCTCAGAGCACACTAGCTCTGGACGCACAAGAGTCACATCTGCCCCAGTGTCCCTGAGTCCCACAGTTACCTCTCTTCCAACTGTCACAGGCTGCAGATTCACATTGTTGCTGCCTTCTGATCTGGTTACAAACAACACAGAGGACGTTGGTTCTGAGGAGCGTCCCTCCCCAGCTGATGATGCTGGCTGCCGTTTCCCAGGGCAAGCAACACTAATGTGCCCAACTTGGTTGCAAATAAAACATCTGCGACTATCTCCTTGCGCAGACATGGCACTAGCTCCCCCTCTCCCTGAGGTAGGAGCTGAAACAAAAGATGGCCAGCTAGGCCTGGCGATGGGGAGTCGTGGTGGTGTGGTCCTCCAGCTGGATGTTCCCTTGGCAAAACCTCTGCTCCGGTCCACTGTTGCTCGATTGGCAGTGTGGAAATCTGCCAGCTCACCCGCCTCCAATGCCGTTTTGGGGTTCCTGTCCAGCAACCATTCCTGTACATCGGCTGGGCAGAGCTGCAAAAACTGTTCTTTTATTAACAGGTCTTGCAAACTTTCCAAAGTGGTAATCTCCAGCCCTGTAGTCCACTGTCGGAATGCTGTCGCCAGGTGCCCCACAACTGCTGCATAACTTTCTGTGGGATGCTTTTGCAAAGTTCTGAATTTCTTTCGGTACACCTCAGGAGTAAGGTTGTACCGTTTTTGCAAGGCAGCCTTAATCGCATCATAGTCCTGGTCAAACTCTGCTGGAAGCACAGCAAATGCTTCCAGTGCAGGACCTCTGAGACCAGGGGTGAGGTATTTTGCCCACTGGTCCTTTGGTAGCTGGTACTGCCTGCAAACCTTTTCAAAACTGCGCAGGAAAACATCCAAATCACCATCCTTGTCCAAAGTTGGAAAGTTCTCTGCACGTGGTTTGGGTGCAGAAGAGTCTCTGGAATTAATACTTACAGGGGAGGCAGTCAACCTCTCCAACTCAGCCATTTTTAGCTCATGCTCTCTGGCAGCCTGGCGCTCTGCGGCCTCCTGATATTGAAGGATAAGCTGTAGTCTTTGGTTTGCGTCTGCTGAGTCCACATATTTCAACACAGTTTGTAAGTAACAATCCAAAGGATCTCCAGAACTCGGTACATCACGGACAAAAGCTGCAGGTATCTCCCCTGCAGTGTTTGAGGCATCATTTTGCACTGCTTGTTGCATATCATAGTCCACCAGTGCTTGCAATAGTTCCTCTTTTGTTTTTCCCCGACAGGGAATAGATCTCTCCCGGCAAAGCTGGTCTAGCGCTGCCTTGGATTGCGCCTGGTACTCCATTTAGTAAATAAAAGATAGAAAAGAAAAAACAGAGAAGGGGGGGGACTGTTGAGGTGTAAATATATTATATATGCACTGAGTTCAGCCTTTGGAAATTGAGACACAATTTCTTTTAGTGCCTGGATTAACCAACAAATCCAGCAACACTAAAATCTGGTACAAAAAGATGAAAAATCTTTTTAGTTATCCCACCGCTATGCCACCAATTTGTCACGAACGCACCCTACTCCAAGAGTGTGCGTGACGTAGTTGTGGTGGTGAAAGGGTTAAAGTTCACTATTTGTCTGCACTAGACCGGAAATAATGACAAAATCCCCCTTTAACACCACCCACACTTAAACATAATAATATAACTATTACTATTTTAACGCTGCCACCACCAAGACAATTTATAAATGGGGTGCCTTGGTCCCCCAGGTAAATCAATAATAAAACCCACCAAATATTACTTAGCACAATATTTAAGGAATTATAAAAATACTAACTAGTCTCTTCAGGTAACGTGATTCTTAACCAGACAAAGGCAAAACTTAATAAATGAATGTTTATTATGAGCAAAAGATAGTCACAGTGCATATAAAAATATATGATAAACAAATTATTTACACCAACAACAGATAAAAACAAAAAGGATAAAATACAGAAGTCCTAATTACTCACTTAGGTTTTCAAAGTACAACTTCTGTCCAGGGGGTCTCTGGCAAGGAAAGATGGTGACTCACCCAAAATTAGATCTTGGCCCCAAGCAAGTACACCAACACCCTTCAGGATCATTAGATATATACCCTGTGGTTTATCAAGTCTTGCCCAGGGGTGGAGTTAAGGCGTACCTACAGAAATAATAACTGACCACCTCCTTTGTTCCAGACCACTGTCAATCCAAATTGAAACATTTGACTCTATCTTCTTTTTTGTACCTGCCACAGAAATAATAATTGCATCTACAAATTTGTTATTATTTTCCCATTCCATAGACATGTTGCACGTCCCACCCACGATCCAATAGGACAGACATCACAATTCCTTTCCCTAGGGTCAAGTTAGGCCACTCATGTTTGGACTTGGTTAGAAGATGGCGCTTGTCACATTCCAAATATAACAAAAATGAGGCTTAATTATTATTCTGTGGGGGTAAATATGAAAGTTTTTGTCCTTCCTTTGGATATGATACTAGAACAAAGCTAATGGCATTTACATATCAAAGAGATTTACTCATCACTTACAAAGTACGGGCCAAATGGATGAAGAGACATTCAGACTTTTTCCAAGTGTTGAACCTCACACCTTGCAGACTTCACATCCATACAGTAAAATCCTTTTCACATCCCTATGCCATTCACACTACCCCTTTTGTCATCTGCCCTCTGTGGGGGGGTCCCAGCTTCAAAAGATGTAACCCCTGTTGACCTCAGCAATAGCATCTCTGTAATTTGTGCCATTTACTACAAGAAATCACATTAAAAGATGATATTCCATAGTGTCATAATAAATTATACACCCTTGCCGTGACAGGGTCCAACTGTTTTCTGCATCTTAAAATAAAGCCCCTTCATTCCATCAAATCATGTTGCTGTCTGACTTGTTTGGATTTTATTTGTCCCATTTTCAAAGAGTGTTCAAGCTTTGATCGCCAATTAATGGCTGACTGCTCTTTTCCAATTTCCTGCCAGATAGATTGGAAGAGCATTTTAGCTAGAAGGCCAAACTCGGACAGTCAAACTGTATTCTATGCAGTTCTCAGCATATTAAATTTGATACAACATTGCCCACATACCTCCTTGATGATTTGGGAAGGATGGACAAAAAACATGACCCCCAGTTACTGATGGCTCCATAAATACAGCACTACAAAGCTGTCTGTCTGTCTGTCACTGAGTTAGACATAATTTAATTAGATGCCTTTTATTTAATATGATCACTTATATGTGTGTATTTTAACATGATTTGTTTAATGAAGACATCAAAGAGACACCCCAAGTGCCTCCAGACCAGTGTAGAGTCCATTCTCAGATCCAACAATAAAAGTGAATGGCACAAACTGGAAAGGGTCCAATGCAGCTTTATTAAATCACAATAGGCTAAGTTTGGGCTCTAAAAAAAGAGCCTGAAACCTCTATTGTAATTCAATAAATTCTCATTGTGTCTAGTCCTTTCTTTGCGGAATATAAGGGCACATGACCACACTTAAAGATCAGCGTTTCTTAATTATCAGAAAACAAAATGCCATTAGCCAATCCTTATACTGGCAAAGAGCAGACCTCTCCTACATTAAAATATAAAAATACTAAAGTTATATACCCCAAAGTAAAGTGGGGGGGGGGGGGTATTCGGGGTTAGTCTAGTCTTTTGGATTTTACATTTAATTAAATAAATCGCTGGAAACAGATCGCCAACTACTATCTGTGTAACTAGAATAATTGAAACTTAAAAGAAGATTATATTTAATTAAGCTGATTATTTCATATTTTAAGGAGTTAAAAACTGCAAAGAACTTCTGGAACAAGGGAATACTTTGAATGGCTGGTACTTAATTCAACCCAATGACCGCAAGTCACTGATGGTGAAGTGTGACATGGAGACTGATGGCGGCGGATGGATAGTAAGTACAGATAACATTAACAGCTGCTTAAAGGGACAGTCCATAAAAATGCTTATTGTAAAAAATATACTGTTAATTTGATAGGTATGCTAAATCCCAAAATATATATATTGTATATTCTAAATATGTGCATTAATAATGTGCTTTTTTTTTTTTTTTTAAATACAGATAGTTTTTTCCCACTAAATTGATTAAATTAAAATCAGGTTGGCAAGGTTTACCTATTTTTGAAAAATGTCCTGCTCAGCTCTAGTCCCATGTTGGCTATTTTATTTTAGAGAATTTAAGAGAACTATTACATTAACAAATATACTTTTTAAGTATTGACACTGAAAAGGCAACTTCACTATTCTTTGAAAACCAAGATATAACTCTCCAGCAGGTATAAAGAGAATGCTAAATTATCTCTCTCAAAAGCCTGAAGACAAACCCACAATGTACCCATGCAGAGATTATACATTCCCCATGGCAATATTCAATATCATTTTCACAGATTCAAACCTAATGGACATTGATGACATTGGCGACTTACTTTGCAACAGCTGTCAAGTCCCTGACTCTGTAAATTTATTTTTTCCACTTTTGGGATGCAAAGATTAGTCACTACTACTGTTGGTTAATCCACATCTGTTAAAGTGGCTCTGTCATTCATGCCCCATGAAATCTTTATGAACTTAAATACTTAAAGTAGGGACTAATGTATTTCTCTTTGCTTGACAAAACTTGCCAAAAGGCTGACCTACCACTGGTAAGTGTTTCATTACCTTACCACGACCCTGCACATTTCGAGTGGGCACTTACGCATCCAGCTTCTGATGTCCCCAGCACTACACGGCGCCCCAATGTCTTGTTCTGACATCATTCATGGCAGGTTATATGGTGCTATTTTATGACCTCGATATTCCAGGGTGACATCACTTACCTGTAACCAATCACTACACAGTATAGTATATATAACTTCATGGTTATTCCGATTACTTGTATCTCCGTGCTAGCCCGGCCACTCTAAGGACCAGTACACATACCTACCTGGTCTCAACCTAGGTTTGTGTGTTAGGGTAAGGTCAGTCCTGAGAATACGTTTTGTCTATTCCCCCCCGAAAGGCATTGTCAATGAAGTTCCTCACAGTCTATCTCCTCCATAGACATTAGCATGCATGACAATGGAGTCCTGGTGTGGGCTCCTGGCAAAGGAAGTGCCTGAAGCTTCAGGTAAGTAGAACCTAAATTTACCAACACCCCCAGACATCCACATACCAAGCGGCGATGTTACCAAATATGCAAAGACCCCAGACAGTGACAGTGCAGCTTTAAATTGTTACTGTTTTTTATATTTTTGGTCAAATTGCAATTATGTGAACGTTTATTGTGTAACTGGCATGGGAGAAGGACCACAAAATCAAAGTGGACGTGGCTCAATTAAATTGTAGATCACAGGTGACCTGACATTATTCTATAGTTTTTTTTGTAATCTTACCAAACATGTCAACAAGCGATGTTCAGTAATCCTACATCCCATGGTTGGACCTGTGTGATAATATTTAAATGCTGCTATTAATATTGTGATTTTTTACCACTCACCTAACAGATAGTATTACACAAGAGAAGGTCATCCACTAAGCTATACGCCTATGTAAACATTACACAAAGCATGCTAAATTTATACATCACTCCAACAGGTATTCCAGCGGCGCCAGGACGGCTCCGTGGACTTTTATCAGGACTGGAAAACCTACAAAAAGGGCTTTGGAAACCAAAACAGTGAGTTTTGGTTGGGAAATGATAATCTTAATGCCCTAACATCAACAGGTAAAGTGGTGTTTTGTAAAATGTGCAGGTTTTATGTTTGTTTTTTTCTAAGTAGCAAAGCTCCTATAACCTCAGAATGTACATCTTGACATCTTTGGTCAAATGTTTGGCAAAGCATCATGGGAAATAGAATGCAAAGTGACTGCAAAAAGGTTATTCACTACAATGTGACTTGTCGGGGATTCAAGGTTAATTTCAAATTTAAGACCAAAATAATCGAATTGGAACCATAGCTGACTTGAAGAATTTTTCCACTTTGACAATTCTAGCCTTAAATGTGAAATTCTCTTTTGTGTCTTTTCTATATTTTTATAGGTATTATAATAATTAGTAGTAATAGTTGTGGTATTGTAATTATATATCCTTTGTTGTGTGGTTTTGTGTGCGCTGTCACCTGCAATTTCTCTTTTGTTTCTTCACGTGTACAAATACGGGGACAAATAGCAGCACCATTTTTAATCCCACTTCAAACACCAATATCACTCTGTCTAGTTTGTGTACTTTTTTGTGTGAATTCCCACATCAGTGAATAACCCTCCAAATGTTCTTTCATTTGGAGAAATGTTGTGGAAATGTAGACTACATGGCTAGAACCTTCTTTGGAGAGAAATTAAGGGTCCGTACTCGTATCATTTTTACAGAAAAAGTGGCAAATGCATCAGCTGACCTCGGACCAAGGGTGGTAAAGGCTAATGATGTGGAGGATTTTTAGCTGTTAAATAAGGACAGTGGGAATCTAGATCATATGGTCATTTGGTTTTAGATATTGTCAATTTCTGCACTAGTTTAGTACATTTGGCTGTTTTTTGCTCACAATGCTCTGTAGAGGTGACACTTTTGATGCAAAGAAAAATATGTGTTTATTAACTATTATCCCACTTGATGTATATTCCATAAATAATTAGCTCTACTCCAACATTCCTGCAGAGGAAATACATTCACCTGAATTTTGCTTATTTCTTGCAAACAGGCTCACATCAGTTTCGTGTCGACTTTGTAGACTTTGAGAACGCCAAGACATTTGCAGTGTATAAAGATTTTAGAATTTCCTCTGAAACAGAGAACTACAAGCTGACAGTTGGGGAATATACTGCGGGCAATGCAGGTACTTGGTGCTTTGTATGCGGATAAATATGTTATAAAACAACAGCTCAACAAACTGTAAATGTATATTAAAAACCCAAGATTGATAATAATGTCACAAACATGACTCAACATACAATATGCCTAAAACAGATCGGTAACACACATTTACACCCATTTATTGAGGGGATGAAAGTTCCAGGACTCTCCTGCACGCGCAAGCAGTACAGGCATGGGGATGCGCAAGGGGTGTGTCAGCCATGCATATTCTCATCCTAATGGGAAGCCAGTTGGTCCCGACAACCATTTATTATGCTACGTGCACTTTTTAATCATTTTTAAGTAAAGAAAAGACTGGTTATTTATTGATTTATCACACTTTTACATTTGTTTAAAGAGTTATTCCAAAAACACTGTTTTCAAGATTCCAAGCACCATGACCACTTCAATTCATTGGTTTCACGCCGTAATGAAATGTGTTGTGTTGTGCACCCTTATGAATACAGGTTCTGCCACTCCCCTGTACTGTGTAGTGGGATGCTGAACTCACCTACAAATACATATTGTTTTCACACATATATTGTCCGATTCCCTCCTCATTACACCCAACTCTTTATTTCAGAGATTTAGTTTTTTAGACATCACAGCAGCCAGTATTTAGGAGAGGTATTATGGCATTTTGGGATAAATGAAAGATTATGTACAAGTGAAAATAATATAAATATATATATATATATATATATATACATATATATATATATATATATATATATATATATATATATATACATTGAGAACCTCTCTGCACCATTTGATAAGTCTCTTCTTACATTCTTTTTCTGATCCAGGTGATTCTCTCGTTTACCATAATAACCGACCATTCACCACCAAAGACAAAGACAACGATGGAGACCCGAATAATTGTGCACAGATTTTTAAAGGTGGTTGGTGGTATGGGAATTGTCATCACTCCAATCTAAATGGCCTCTACCATGGAGGGGCGCACAGTAGTTATGCAGATGGTGTCAACTGGAAGACAGGCAAAGGCCTGAACTACTCCTACAAAGTTGTTGAAATGAAGTTCAGGCCAAAGTAATCTACTGAAGATAGTATCAAAGCTATATTAGACACATTTGTATCAAGCACCATGAGGACTCTGGATAACAGAGAAAGGAGATCGAATATCCTGCAAGCCTGGTTATTATTGAGTATTTATTTTAATCCCAAAATTATTTTCTTTAAGAAATACAAATTATCTGCATACAGTCAGTACAGCTCCACCAAATATCTGTGCTATACATGCAACTTAAAATAAAAAAGCGTGGAATACGAGATGGGATGGAAAATGTTACTATGGGAAATGAAAACAAAAGAGTGAATAAATAACAATACAGTATATCTAGATATAAAGTATATCTGATGTTTGCTTTGATAATTTTTTAGCTTGACCTCCCTTTCTGTTGGTTTAATTAGATTTTATCTTCCTTAGATTGAGGCTTCCAGATTATCATTATTATTTTATTTTTCACCTTATTGTAGTTTATTTTATTTTGATATTTCTTAGTTAGATTTAATCATCTCATTGTGGTGTATTTGCACTCCACACACTAGGATTTTATTTTTAGCTTTTCTTCACGGTTCAATTTGCAATAGGTGAAACTGACTACCTAGCGATTAAAGGGTTTCCCCCTTTACCAGCATGGTCCTTTAAAGAAATAATGCAAAAGGTTACATGTGATTTCACACCAAGGCTAGAGGGAGAGCCCATGTCTCCATTGCTCTGTCATCAGCATTCTATATTCAGAACACTGAAGAGGTCATGGTGTAATGTTATGCCATCACAGTGTAGATGTAAACTCAATACAATTATCCATTTTAATTTTGCTCTAAATACAGAATATCAGGACTGTTACGTGGGGCTGGCAGAGCCAGTATTATCAATTTATTAAAAATGTGCTTGAAATCAGGTTGGTTTGGGCCAATCCTTTCATACACATTTGCAAGTCAAAAATCTGAGTTCATCAGAATTATCATCTCGCATACCCTCAGGACATCACTGGTTAACTATAGCTCTCCTGGAACAAGAGCACCTCCTTAAAGCACTGAAAGGGGTGAAAAATGATTTTTAGAATGCCTTGAATATCCAAACCTGAACTGTATGAAGTGCAATGTATCTTATTCCTTGGCAGAGGTTAGACATTACAGAGTAACCCGGGAGTAGAATTCTACAGCTAGATTTAGTTTTCATGATTGGATTTTCTTGGTGTGCAGCACAGCACATTAGAAAAATAAACAGTTCACTTTTAGGCTATGGAATGCAGATGGCATTTTAATTTATCTTCTAATCCAGAATAAAGATATTTTAAGTGAAGTGAAGGTGGACAGAGGAATCGCAACATAGAAGACTTGTCACATTCAAAATCCCAAGTACTTTTTATTGATAGAAATTACGTTTAACAATTTTATTGCATTACTAAGAAGAATTGCATTGCAATTTTGATGTAACAAGTACAATAGGAGAACAAATAATATGAGAACTATGTAAGTAACACCACTAATAAAATAAACAAAAACAACGTACACGTTTACACTTCCCCACTTACACACAAAATATACAGAATACCGACCGGCAAGCAGTAGTTTTACTGTTGATTCAAAAGTTGTGCAAATTTACATCACCAACCCCGGGAAAGAGCCCACAAGCGTGGGGATAAGGACCACCACCCCATACGAGACACACAAAGTCAACCAGCCCAAGACGATCCCAAACCTGATGGGGCGCAGACCAGCACAACCACAACCTGCACTCTCACATAAGCACACCTTGCTGATCAACCACACGTTCTACCAGTTCACATATATAACGGACATGTTAAGCTATGTCTTATGTCTTGTTAATTTTATGTTTAAATAATGAAAAGTTGACAATGAACAGCAAGACAACTGTAATGATGAAACATGCACCACCTACTTCTGTATGTATTGAGCAAAGTGGAAAAATGTAATGTTGTTACATGTGTCAAGTCGAAAATAAAGAAATAAAAAAAAAAGTTGTGCAAATTCTTAGTTTTCCGTAGTTACTAATTTTATCATAAATTGGGTCTAACTCAGGGAGCCAATTTGCTCTCTTATCCACATCCAAAGAGTGTTAGGATGGACATATTAATAATAAAAACTGCAAACATAATTTAAACAATTCTTTTTACTTAATATATTTTTATTGGAGATGTTTTAGTAATATACCTTACAAACAAATACTTAAGCAGTGATTGCAGAATAAATGGACACTAGTCGGACATCACTAATAGCCAAATAGTCATAAATATAACCTCAACATGAAGTTCACTCTGATGTCCAGGTACCCTCTTCGTAGTCACCCATGCCTTCCCCTGAAATGGCCTCTCTTTACTTTATTCTCCCCAAATCCTTTATTGTTAAATTAGCTGTTCCCATATGTAGTTTATCTTATGACGATACCACACCCCAGTCACACCCCTGTCACACCCCTAAAATTAAAGTTTCCCTCTTTGTACATTTGAAATGTTGGCAGGTATGTAAATATCACGAACTTTTGAGGAAGTAAAAAACAAAACAACAATACTCTTTGTGAATCCAGAGAAATCCTTGGAATTCACTTCTCAGGACGGAATTTCATTTCGGTGGCTTTTAACGAGTAGAAACTATCGTGGAAAGAGTGCCAGATGATTCCTTTACCCTTGATTTTGTGGGGACCTTTCAGGTATTCCCCGTTCAGGTGGGAAAAATGGCAAGACTCAAACCACCAGCCTCCTTTGAAGTAATTGGCGCAGCTTTCCATGTTTTTAGGAGACTTGTCATTGTTTCGATCTTTCGTTGAGAATGCCTGATTTTTTTCAATTCCCAAGGAATTACCTAAATAACAGAGAAGAGCATATTGACATGGTCAATAAACAGCCATAAAGAAGAGGACAAGTTAAATCATGTCCCAGTCGGTCCTTATTATTAATATTTCTCCAGTGAGAGATGTTCAGGATTCCTCTTGCACTCTCAGGATTTCAAAGTCGTATTAAATTACATATTTGAAGACTCTAATTAAAGGGAATTTATAGTCCCCACCCCCAAAAAAAAATTCATGATAAGTTCCCTTCTATTGTTGGGACGTCTGTCCACCCCCTTTTGCTGCTAAAAAGTTAAGTTAAATAAAAGTTAACCTCTGCTACAGCTGTCAACTCCTTCTCCTCCTTCATCAGAATGCCTGCAGACGTCTTCCACTATCTCTTCCAATTCAGTTGTTCTTTTAGGGAAGCATTGGGGACGAGATAAGCATGTACAGCAAAAAATCCCTCTTTGCTCCAATCAAACACACTCTGTGAGCAGCGTTAGTTTGAAAACCGAGTTTGACAGTCTGCAGAGGTGTTTTTATTAATTCAGCACAATCTCATTGACCACTTCATTGAGATACATCATTGCGATTAAGTGGACACACCGTGGTCGTTTAAACTGCCTCACGTTATTGTATCATTATTAACAATAGGCACCTAATTTCAAATTGTTACCTGCAGTACCACCAGCATAGCTGCTGTAACGCAGAACATAATTATCAGACTCATTTTCAATGTAGAAGTCTCTGTACGTAGCATACGTTGAATTTCCCTCAAAATCCGCTAGGTCAATACGGAGCATGAACGAACCTGTTGATTAAACAGGAAGATTATATCACTTTATAGCTGTCAATAATAAGATTTAAATACTTAAATGATCAAGTCTCTGCCATGAACTCCACACTGGATAATGTTATATAATTTACTAAATATTTCATGGGAGGTAAAAAATTATCACTTCACTAGTTCACAGCACATGAACCAGACTGATTAAATGGTAGCACAGCTTGATGTGTGACTCTCTCTATATGTGTGGATTTCTGGGTATAAAACAGATTAGTGTTAATGCTCCTACAGTGACTGGATGATGTGTGGCTAGCTCCCAAGTGTCCCTATTTAGAAGGGACAGTCCCTATTTTGGACCCAAATCCCTTTTCTATCCTAATGTCATATTGTTGGTGTGTCTGAGTGTATCACAGAGCTCCACAGCAATAATAATCCCAGTAATGTGTCTGAGTGTATAACAGAGCTCCACAGCAATAATACTCCCAGTAATGTGTCTGAGTGTATAACAGAGCTCCACAGCAATAATACTCCCAGTAATGTGTCTGAGTGTATAACAGAGCTCCACAGCAATAATACTCCCAGTAATGTGTCTGAGTGTATAACAGAGCTCCACAGCAATAATACTCCCAGTAATGTGTCTGAGTGTATAACAGAGCTCCACAGCAATAACACTCCCAGTAATGTGTCTGAGTGTATAACAGAGCTCCACAGCAATAATACTCCCAGTAATGTGTCTGAGTGTATAACAGAGCTCCACAGCAAAAATACTCCCAGGTTTGTGTCTTTATAAATAAATGTGTTTAGAAATCATTCTGTGTAAATAACATACATTGTTCTTGTTATAAATTACATTTTATTGTATAAATTATTAGTAAATCCTGAAAAATTTCTCAGACCAGCCCAGCCCCTGATTACAATTAAAGTACTGCTCTCTGTCCATATGAAATGTTGTAGGTGTGGGTTAGCAAGGTAGACTCTGTATAGACACAGTCAGGGCCGGACTGGGAAGAAAATTCGGCCCGGGCATTTTTTAATTACAGCAGCCCACTAAAAAGGGGGCGGGGCCAGATAGGGTGTGTTTTGTCATCACCAATGACAAGCACGCCCCATCACAAAGTGAGCATGTTGGTTCAATGCTCTTCCAGGGTAGACCATGCGCAGAGCTCTGCTGAAGAGCTCTGGCATGAGAAAAATACCCTGTATTTGTTCTGCACAGCGCAAGCAAATTTAATAACATGCTTGCACTGTGTTTGCTTGAAATTTGTTTCTGGTGTCTCCATAGTTGGGATACCAGGAGACAAAAATGCCAGGAAAGCATATTGCGCAGTGTGTGTGAGGGTGCTCTGTGTGTGTGTGTGTGTGTGTGTAAGGGGTGTAGTGTGTGTGTGAGTGATGGGTGCTGCGTTTGCGTGAGGGTGCTATGTGGGTAAGGGTGCTGTGTGTGTGATGGGTGCAGTGTGTGTGTGCTGTGTGTGAGTGGGTGCTGTGTTTGCATGAGGGTGCTATGTGCATGTGAGGAAGCTGTGTGTGAGAGTGCAGTGTATGCATGTGAGGAAGCTGTGAGTGTCAGGGGTGCAGTGTGTGTAAGTGAGGGTGTGTGATGTGCGTGTCAGGGGTGCAGTGTGTGTGTGTGAGGGTGCTGTGAGTGTCAGGGGTGCAGTGTGTGTGCTGTGCGTGTCAGGGGTGCAATGTGTGTGTGTGAGGGTGCTGTGAGTGTTAGGGGTGCATTTTGTGTGTGCTGTGAGTGTCAGACGTTCAGTGTGTGTGAGGGTGCTGAGAGTGTCAGGGGTGCAGTGTGTGTGCTGTGTGTGTCAGGGGTGCAGTGTGTGTGTGTGAGGGTGCTCTGAGTGTTAGGGGTGCATTTTGTTTGTGCTGTGTCAGATGTGCAGTGTGTGAGGGTGCTGTGCGTGTCAGGGGTGCAGTGTGTGTGTGTGTGTGTGTGTGAGGGTGCTGTGAGTCTCAGACGTGCAGTGTGTGTGCTGTGAGGGTCAGACGTGCAGTGTGTGTGTGAGGGTGCTGTGAGGGTCAGACGTGCAGTGTGTGTGCTGTGAGGGTCAGACGTACAGTGTGTGTGTGAGGGTGCTGTGCGTGTCAGGGGTGCAGTGTGTGAGGGTGCTGTGCGTGTCAGGGGTGCAGTGTGTGAGGGTGCTGTGCTTGTCAGGGGTGCAGTGTGTGAGGGTGATGTGAGTGTCAGGGGTGCAGTGTGTGTGTGTGTGTGAGTGTCAGGGGTGCAGTGTGTGTGAGTGTCAGGGGTGCAGTGTGTGTGTGTGTGAGTGTCAGGGGTGCAGTGTGTGTGTGTGTGAGTGTCAGGTGCAGTGTGTGTGTGTGTGTGTGTGTGTGTGAGTGAGGCCAGGGGTGCAGTGTGTGTGTGTGTGTCAGGGGTGCAGTGTGTGTGTGTGTGAGTGTGAGTGTCAGGGGTGCAGTGTGTGTGTGTGAGTGTCAGGGGTGCAGTGTGTGTGTGTGTGTGTCAGGGGTGCAGTGTGTGTGTGTGTGAGTGTGAGTGTCAGGGGTGCAGTGTGTGTGTGTGAGTGTCAGGGGTGCAGTGTGTGTGTGTGAGTGAGGGTGCTGGGAGTGTTATGTGCCCTGCTGATATCCCCCCTCCCTGCTTACCTTATGCCTGGGAGGGGGGATCCTGCTACTCCTGCCACCATCCATCCCTGGTGGTCCAAGTGGTGAGTGAACTCTAGCCTGTTGGGCTAGAGTTCACTCTCGCGAGACCCGGAGCGTTGCCATGGCAACGCTCCGAATCTCGCGAGAGGAACCCGGCGGAGCTGTAAGTTAAAGCTCCGCCGGGTTCCTCTGCTGGCAGGCTGGCTCCCTCCCTCTCTCCCCCGGCGGCCGCACTATCCTGCATGTGGGCCGGTGAGGGAGATCTCTGATCTCCCCACCGGCCCGCTGTAGACTACTGCAGGGCCGGCGTTCAGATAGCGCCGGCCCTGCAAAGACCGGCAGGAGAGATCCTGTGATCTCCCTGCCGGCCTCGGCCCCACGGCCACCGCGGCCCACCGGGCATTTCTCTGTTGATTAGCTTGGTTCTCATGCTCCTGAGAAAAACAGGAACAGCTCAAAGCTCGCGCATGCTATTTCTATTTTCAGCATAAATTATATAAAATACAAGCACGTGTCTTATTAAAATTACAGGTATTTCTCAGTTAACGACTTACCAGTTTAATGACTGCTTAGACATACGACCAACTCCATAGAGTGGGGAATCCCCGAATCTGAGTCCCGGGAATGCCCTCAAATCTATGTTCTATGTTTCCTCAATTCCCTGTGCTAACGCGCTGGTCTATGTTTAAGGGAATTTTCCCCGAACATAGATTTGAGGGATTCTCCACACTAGTGAACTGGTCTATGTTCAAGGGAATTCCCCGAACATGAACATAAACCTTCTCTCTAGCGTATAGGAGACTTGGTTGTCACGTCGGTCTGAGGGGTCCTTACTTACAGACCAATTTGCTTGATGACCTAGTCGTAGGAACGGAACTTGGTTGGTAAGTAAGGAGTGCCTGTATATATTAAAATAGTGAATATATAATTTCATATGATTTTTGATATTAATATTTTTTATATATATTTTACAGAACATGCATACAGTTTTTAAGCTTCAGGGATCTGTCTACATTTTTTTTCCCAGGAGTCATTTCTGCTTTACCTACAATGTAAATATATATATTAATGTTATAGGTAAAATACACAATTCTATTATAATTTTCAGATGTAAGAGTGGCTGATTTGGCAGATTTAGCCAAAAGCAAAGTAGGCACACGACTTAGAAAAAAAAAAGTTTTCGGTCTGACTACCTAAATTTCACCAATTTTATCTTATCTCTTTTGGCATTTAGGAAAGTGAGCTTTAGATGCGAACATGATATTTTACCTTTTGCTGTTAGACGGTGGATGTTATTGTTTCCGAGCCAAAATTCACTGAATTGGCTGCCGAACCCTTTTTTGTAGCTTTCCCAGTCCCGGAAAAAATCCAAAGAGCCGTCACTTCGTTTCTGAAAAACCTGAAAGAGAAAGAATAGATTTATTTTTTTGAATGTTCTGGATCAAGCAGAATTAATATTTATTATTGACACTTTGCAAACCCAATATCAAGAAAACATTAGACGAGGTTAACTAGTTTACATTTAAGTTTACCTATTTTGAACATTTTGTAATACCATTGCTTGTTAAGTTAACGGAACACTCTGGACACCATAACAAATGTATCAGAATCAAGTTGTTGTGGTGCTAGGAGGACCCTTGTGCTGGCTTACCTTCAGGAATTAAATTGTTCACAAATGGATTAATCCCAATGTCTTCTCTCCAGCGCCATTTAGCTCAGCACTGTCCTTCTGCTTGTCTGAGATTCTTTAAACTGGACGAATGGTTCAACCCTTAAAGATAAGCCGGCACCAAAGATGTCCTGGCTCCATAACAACTTTGTTCTGATGAAGTTTTTATGGTGCTCATATGTCCTTTTTAAGTACATTGTGCAATAAGTATGCAGTGAAATAGATCACATATCACAAGACATATCTTCAGACAAAATCGCAAAGTAAGACATGGAAGCTTTACCATCTGGTAGGAGGAAATAGGGAGGAAGTAGGTAGGAGCAATGTTCATGCACATAGAATTTGATAGGTCCTCCCCTCACCATTTTCTTATAACTGCTCTCCTAAGAAGAATGTGTGTGTTTAAGTCTCAGTACTTACAATCCATCCTCCACCATCAGTTTCCATGTCACATAGAACAGTCAGCGGTTTCCCCTCCTCTGGGTATATGGTGTACCAGCCAGTAAGAGTGAAACCGCTGTTGAGAAGTTCTAAACAATTTTGAGGACCTAAAAGAAAAACAGATACAACTCATACTGGATTTCTCAAAAAGCAGACTACACAAATGCTATTGAAAAACAGTGGATGCTTTTTCTTGAAATGTCCTGTGGCTTGTATTAAAATCTAGGCCAAAATAACCAACATGGAAACATTTACTATTATTAATGTTTTTTTTCTGCAATTTATTAATGAAACTATAAATAATTATTAGTATTATTGTTAAAGCCACAACAAATTCCTCAGCGTTGTACAATGGGTGGACTAATGGACAAGTATTTGCAACAAGATGAGTTGGACGCACAGGAACATAAGGGTTGAGGGCCTTGCTCAAACCAGCTTACATTCTAGAGAGAGCTGGGGTATAGAGACACAAGAGATAAGGGAAGGATGTATTTAATGTACGGGAAAAGTAGGTTGCTGTTTACAATGAATGCTTAGTTTTTTGTTTTTTTTATGACACAGTTGCAGGAGAGGAAGCAAGGTCGGTTACTAAGATGAAGGGAGGGAAGGCAGTTTAATTGATATGCTTTCCTAAAGAAATTAATTTTCAACAATCGTTTAAAGGAATGGAGACAGCGTGAGAGAATGGAGCAGGGAAGGGAGTTACATAGTAACTCTGCAGCCCTAGAGAAGTCTTGAAGGGGGGTTTCATAGGTCCAGCCAGAGTGTAGGGGCTGAATGGGACATACTTGTGTATTAGTGAGGATAAGTAGGTAGGAGCAGTGTTATTTATTTAGAGATTTGTAAGCAAGTACCAGAATTTTTAATTCAGCCCCAAATCTTATGGGAAGCCAGTGTAAGGACTGACAGAGGGGGAGACATGGGAGGTGCAGGTGGACAGGAAGATGAGGCTCGCCACCGCATTCATTATAGATTATAGTAGGGCAAAGTGAGAATGCGTAAAACAACGAGAAGCGATTTGCAGTAATCAAGGCGAGAGAGAATTGCACATTGGACAAGCACCTCAGTTGCCACTGATGTTAGATATGGGATGAGCTATGTTTTTGAGAAAGAAGCAGCAGGATTTGTTGATTGACTGAACATGAGGGGTGAAGGAGAGGTTGGTGTCAAAGGGAACACCTAGGCAGAGATCCCACGAGGTAGAGCGGATGGAATCGCCATTGACTTTAAGGGAGACAGACATAGGAGTAGAAACACTTGAGGGAGGAGAGATGAGAAGTTCTGCTTTGGACAGGTTAAATTTAAGGAAATGAGCAGCCGTCCAGTTAGGAATAGCAGAGAGGCTGTCTGAGGCATGGGAGAGGACAGGTAGATTTGCATGTCATCCGCATAGAAATTATATTGGAAGCCAAAGACGCTGATGAGTTTACCAAGGGAGACAGTATTAATCAAGAACAGTAGGAGATCATGGACAGAACCTTGTGGAAACACACATAAAGGAATTCAGGAGAAGAGGAAATGTCAGAATAAGAAAGACTGAAAGAGCACTGGAAGAGTTGGAGGAGCACCAGGAGAGAGCAGTATCTTGTAGACCAAGATTACCGAGGATGAGAAGAAGTTGTTGATGATTGAAAGAATGTTCAAGGATAATTAGAAGAGAGTAGTGACCACTGGATTTAGCAGCAATTAAATTGTTGGATACTTTGGTCAGGGCCGTATTGACGCAGAATCCATACTGATTAGATTTAAGGTTGAGTAGGTCAATCTCGCATGCACAACTCTCTCAAGGATATTGGAGGCATATGTTGTAGGGTGGTAGTTGGATGGGGAATCAGAGTCAAGGGTCAACTTGTTTAGGATCAAGATTACAGTTGCATGCTTAAAGGAAATATGGCAGAGGAGAATGAGAGATTGAAAATTTTAGTGAGGGGCACAGAAAGAGAAGGAAACAGAGCAGGAATGAGATATAAGGGAATAGGATCAAGAGAATAGGTGGAGGGGCAGGAGGACCAAAGAAGAGTAAAATCCTCTTCTGGCATAGCAGATGCGAGTGAGCATAAAACAGAGGAGGGAACGGGCTTGGGGGAAGTATTGGTATAGTTAACAGAGAGGTTAGAGATCTATTCCCCGATTGCAGAAATCTTATCAGTGAAGTGAGTTGCAAAGTTTGCAGCAGTCAGGTTATTTGGAAATTATAAATTGTCACATTTTTGCAGAGAACACTTTCGGGGCTCATATAGAATTCTATATAATTGTACTTAAAGAAAAAAAGTCTTACCTTTAGATTCGTTGACGCAATCTGATTCCTCAAGATCTCCTTTTTCACCTGTGCGGATAAATATAGAATATAAATCTGGGCTATAATGTACATTAAAAATACAGCTTCTACATTTTCAAGATTGTACTGAATCTCGAGTGGTAAATTAATCTCGAAACATATACATACTTGATTTTGAATTATGGGATATGAAGACCAAGTATGATGCAAAGACTAATGTCTGGTTTCTGGTTACATAGATTAATATTTTTCTTATTATGATGTTGCAGCAGTGGTTGAATCCTGGTCAGGCCACCTCACCAGTAAGTGTATTTGGGCAAAACATGTAGCGATATATATGTGCGCCTACCTCAAATCCTCATAGATTGTAAGCTTGTTTCATCATAGTCTTCTTCACCTATAAACATCTCCTTTTTATAATAGTAAAGTACTGTGGAATATGTTGGAACTATAGAAATGCTATAGAGATTTATTGAATGTAGTATTGAATAATAAACTTTGCACACATCTCATAGAATCTGATCATACAACACAATCTATTTACATGCAATAAAAACAAAAAAAATGAGTAACGTAAAGGCGCTGTATGGACAAGACAAGTCAGTCCTGCTGAACTCCACTGTGAAATTGACCACTACATTTTGCAAATTGATGATGAAAAACACAATAACAAATGGTGGGCAGTGCACTTGTGTACCATAAACACATAAAACCAATAATAAGTGTGGTATGTGACAGTGAATCCAGCTGTCAATATAAGAGAAGTGCCGTTGTTTTTGTCAATATTTACCTGAGGAAGGCACAGCAGCTGAAACACGGTGTGGTATATTTGGGACTTGAAGGACTTTTATGCTACACCTTACTTTCTGCAATATAAGACTGTTACGTTGTTGTTTAATACATGTGTGTACTCTATGTTAACTTGGTGCTTGTCATTCTCATTTTGGGAGGATTCAACATCAGAAGATTCAATCAAGGAACTTTACCATCCCACATTGGTTTACTTGAGCCAGTCATGTACAGGTTCATATAAAATGTGAGTGGGATGCAATAATGATTAACCTTCTATTGCGTTAATAGATACTGTGTACAACTATATTGCCCTATGTCAGTGTTTTCTCTTATATTGACAGCTGGAATCACTTTTATATGGGTATATTCTTTATTTATGTATCAATTCACTGTCGCATTCCACACAATTTATTTACATCCTGATGTTATGTTCCAAGCAAAGGTCATGTTTTCCCCATCCCATTCAGGAACTTTCACTTTGTCGGCACCCTGGACCTGTGCATATTCTGCAAGCCCTATCTCTCGTCTCATAACAGCTCCTTCATAAAACCATGAATATTGCTTTTAATAGGCTACTAATGCCAGCTATGGTGTGGCTGCTATCAGCTTGGGCAGCAGTTCCTTTTACATTATCATCATTAATGCTTACCAGATTATCTCGTATGGCCATATGAGATAAACGTGTGGAAACCAAAAAAACACAATTCAATTGTTTTCTGTTGCTTACAGTAATAACTTCTGCCAAATATTATAAGGGAATGATAGGGGAAACTAACCAAATTTATCTTACTTCACAAGAAGGGAGAACTGGAATCATCTCCCCACCTTTTAAAGGACTGCCCTGAATCATGTCCTTCTGGGCACTTAGCAAGCTGGGTAACAGGTCTGGGATAATACCTTCATTAAATCTCACAGACATTAACTCATACTAAAACATTAAGGGCAAAACACCATACAGAACATTTAAAGAAGACGTGAGTCTGGACCCTGTCCCAAAAGGGCCCCATGCACTCCAACATTTCATTCAAACTACAAGGTAGAAGGACTCGGGTGATTGTTTGAAATGGTTAAACCGATTCAACCGATGTGAATTATCTTTATTAAGCAATAGTCGGGTGAATATTCTTTACCTTGAACTCCAGGCAATCCACTGGGTCCACTGTCACCTGGGAAGCATAGAGTAGATATTATAAACTCTGCGATGGTCATGTTAGTAATATGTCCATCTCTTAATTATTCTATGGTTTCATACTTACCTAAACTTTCAGAGTTATGCACTAAATTGGTCATTTCTGGGAATTCACCAGAGAGTATTAATTTTATGAGGAAAGCACAATTTATATAAAAAAGTAGCTGAGTTGCAATATGTTTATAGCCTATTTTGGCCAAAAAATTAATTTCATGGTTGAATAATTAAAAAATAAATAAAATAAAAATACAACTCTAAATTTCATTCATTTTCTTTCTTTTGGAAAAAAAATTCAGGTAGGTGAGATTAAACATTATACTGAATCCTTTGGCTTACAATACCTAATAAAAAAATCAGACAATTATCAACATTAAACATAACAGGCGGGATCATGAAATATTTTGCTTACGGGTGTTTCTAAGAAATTTGCTTGTAGCTTGCAGATTCCCAAATATCACTGGATTGTGTAAATTATGTCTGTCTCAGACATATAACCCAAAACCTTCCTTCCCTACCCGAATGCAATGAAAAACAAATAACCAATGCCGCTAGAACATGCACAAATGTTTAAAACATAAGCAGTATAGTGGAAGGTACATTTCGCCACACTGTGTTAAGTTATGTGTAATGCAACATATTAATTCAATTAATATCCTAGCCAGCACTGTCAACAACGGAGACTCTTAAAGAGTATGTTATGAGGCCATGTGATCCTTTTCACCAGACATCATATTTAAATAGATTTCTTCCAGTGTCACCAACAAAGCTAATTATTTCAGAAATCCACAAAGGAATCAGGACAATTCTTTTTGAATTTTTTTTTGTTCTTTCATCTATTCAGATATCATGCCATGCCATATCTTTTAAAGCCTACATTTTATCCACTACAAAGTATTGCTGAGACCAGGAGCATGCCAAAAACCCAGGAAAGACTGCAAGAACCTTCAGCAACTTACCTTTGAGTCCAGGTAGACCTGGTAGTCCATCAAGACCAGGAAGTCCATTTATACCTGAAATCAAAATATATTTAGAAGAAATACTAGAATAAGCCATAAGAGTTCCAACGGAAACATTAAAAGAATCTTCACGGGAGGTAGTGCCAAAGGGACACTGAGAATAGCAAGCTGTTTTAAGAATATGAATACTTGTGATTAGTCAATAATTAGACTCATAGATAGTAGGCTGCCTCTTCATGAGGGTTTAGTCAGTGTGTCTGTGTGTGTGTATCTGTATGTCTGTCAGTGTGTATCTGTATGTCTGTCAGTGTGTGTTTATCTGTATGTCTGTCAGTGTTTGTGTGTATCTGTATGTCTGTCAGTGTGTATCTGTATGTCTGTCAGTGTGTGTTTATCTGTGTGTCTGTCAGTGTTTGTGTGTATCTGTATGTCTGTCAGGAATCGGTAGAGCCCCAGCTTTCAAAGCATTGTTGAAGTTGCACGGCAGATGGGGATCTATCTTTTAGCCACCCTGTGCACATACACAGACATACATACACAGACAGTCATACAGAGCCATACATTCTTTATGCCTCTGTATGACTGTCTGTGTATGTATTCAAAAAGTATAAAGGCAACACTCCAATAGTAAGGATGGTATATTTATTGATAGGTGAACCACCCCATAGAAAGTGCGACGTTTCGGCTCAGCAGAGCCTTATTGCATGATTAAAGCTCTGCAGAGCCGAAACGTTGCACTTTCTATGGGGTGGTTCACCTACCAATAAATATACCATCCTTACTATTGGAGTGTTGCCTGCGTTTATTCCTTTTGAAGACTTTACTGGTGGATCCAGCGATGTCCACCTGACACGGAGCATCCACCACTGTGGATGGCTGGAGTATTTACAAGGTATCATTGTGCAGGGTTCTTTGTTTGTCTGTGTATGTATGTCTGTGTATGCCTTGTCTGTATGTCTCTTTATGACTGTCTGCATATGTATGTCTCTGTATCACTGTATATGTATGTCTCTATATGCCTATCTCTATGTTTCTTTATGTCTGTGTCTGTATTTCTCTGTGTGCCTGTGTCTGTAGGAATGTATGTCTGTGTTTGTATGACAGTGTACCTGTATGTGCAGATTGTATGACTGTTTGTTTGTGTGCCTTTTATGACTGTGTGTCTGTATATCTTTGTGACTGTGTGCCTGAAAAACTATGTATGTGTGCTTGCATGGTTGTGTGTCTGTATGGTTGTGTATTTGTCCATATGTGTATTTTTGCCTGTATCTATGTCTATATGGGAGAAAAAGAGAGATAGATAGGGGCTGTAGGGGAGAAAGAGACAGAAAGGGACTGGTGCTGAAGTAAGAAATACATAAGAGGGGTTGTAGGAGATACACTAAAGGGTCCACAAAGGGGTAAGACATTCAAGAGAGTGGATATGAAACACTAATGGGGGTAAGAAATTTAAAAGGAGGGCTACGAGACACAGAGGTGAAGATGCATTTTTTGAGGGAGAGAGGTGAGGGGGCGTCAAAATGTGTCTTCGCCTCTGTAGTCAAAAATCTTTGCTCCAGCCCTGAGTGCATGACACCCTAACCACTGCATGACCACTTTATTTAGATAAAGTGATCTGGGTGCGTATAGTGTAAATTATATTAGCAAATTACATCATAATCCAGTTTAGTCCACTCGCAACCAGGGCATATCATGCAAATGAATAAAAATAGATACATTGTTTAATTTCTCATCTTTTCTGTATGCTTTCTCTATGTTGACTGCAAGGAGAAAAGGACAAAACTTAAACAATGATATACAGGTAATGCCCATGGTTGCAAGAAAGAGGTGTGGATTTCTACATTTAATCCTTTCATTCAGTTTTAAACAATCATTGAGCAGTTTAACACTAAATGCATTCCCACAACCCGGCCCCTATTGGAGGTGTGGCTAAGGCAGAGATTGCACACTTCCTTGTAGCCGTACGGGTTCATCCCAGCAATGGCACTGTGATAGGTTGACAGCAGTCAGCTGACTCTCTCAGCCAATCACAGCCACCCATTGCTGCTCAGGCTAAAGCTTTCTCAGTAGCCCAATCACCACAGAGGGGAGGGGCTGCTGGGGACTATTGTTTAGCATTAAAACATTGAAAAGGGTTTAATTCTGAATAGAAAGAAAGTGCCATGGGACACTATAAAAACTTTACTGACATTATGGTGCTTACAATGTTCCTTTAAATTCTTTCATCAATTTTACATTCATATATCTGGTGTTTCACAAACCCTTATTAAATATGGTAATATTGGATCTCTGATAAATATATAATAATTACCTTTAATACCAGGAGGTCCAGTAAATCCAGACAGTCCAGCAATACCTTTTTAATTGGATAAAATGAAAACCCATTAGTTAACAAAAAGCAGACATATTAAGAGATTTTGGATATTAATAACAGAGAGACATTATGACATGATCAGGAAATTGGATCTCATAAACTATTAGAGGAATCCAGCAGCTTAGATGATAACCTGCATTGTAACGTCATTGGTGGTTTGATACCAACAGGTCAGAACAATCTAATATAAAGTTCAATAGAATTAAAGGAACACTTCACTGCCCTAATAAATAAAAAATAGAAAATCACTATTTAGTTGATATGCATCCAATGAAAATATGCTTGCATTTAATTATGCATTTTTTTTTCCATTGGGGCTTTATCTAAAAACAGATTGTAAAAGCTGCAGATCTCTTGTCTGCAGCCTTGACAAGCCCTCCCCTTCTAACCACGCCCAGACTCTCTGTGATTGTCCAATCACAGACTTTCCTATGCAGCTCAATGAGAAGTCTGTGCAAGGCAGGTGCTCTGGGCAATTGCTGCCTCTTGAGTTTAGCTTTGCTAAGCTAACCAAACCTGGAAATAACAGGACTTGTTGTCTGGTTAACAGCCATGGGATGTAACCAGGTTCATTTATAAAAGTGCTAAATTCTATTGAAATCTGCACTGTTTGCAAAATGAAAAAATAGTATACACCCTTTATGCATAACCACTTCGGCAACTAAAGCACTTAGATGTTTGGAGGGTCTCTTTAACAGTGGTTGATTCTGTTTGACATTGCTGTGTGCTTTGAAAAATCAAGTAGCATGTGGCTAGAGTGTACAAGGCCTTTGTGGTTGGGTTACCTTTTTGCCCTTCTGGTCCAGGTTCCCCTTTTTCACCAGGTAACCCAGAAGAACCAGGACATCCTTGCATGAAAGCCACTCTATTTACATCCCCGATTTCGAAGAGTTTGACATCTGAATGAAAAATACAAACAAAAAACAAGAATTAAAGAGTAGCAATATGATGCATACCTGGTCAACCTTTCTGGCATAAAAGACACTGTGACACAGGTCAGCACTGGATACTTTATATTGCCCCCAATGTTGGCTCCTGCTCTCCGTGACCACTTTCGCTTCATCAGATCTTCATTTACCTGGACTTTTCTGGTTCCCCTCTCCAAATCTTCATAGCATCTAAAAGAGTGGGTTTCCCTCTAGTCTTCACCTCCCATTTATCTACGTCTTTCGTCCAATCTGACCTTCTTGTTGCATATTCCTCCACTGTTTCCATTCGTCTCAAGTAACATTATGAAATCTCACACTATGACTATCCTAGTTTCTTCTTCTGAATAGCTTTACTGAACACACCATTTTTCAATTGCTTTACTTAGTTAACATTTGCTGCTTCCAAGTATCTTCTACACTTTTCATATCACTGTTAGCCTTTGTTGCTTCCACTGGAAGGCTATTCCAGGTATCTACTACCCTTTCTATATAACTGTTACTGCTCCCACTGGAAGGCTAATCCAGGTATCTACTATCCTTTCTGTATCACTGTTACTGCTCCCACTGGAAGGCTATTCCAGGTATCTACTACCCTTTACATATCACTGTTGACCTTTGCTGCTCCCACTGGAAGGCTATTCCAGGTATCTACTACACTTATTATATCACTGTTACTGCTTCTACTGGAAGGCTATTCAAGGTATCTACTACCCTTTCTATATCACTGTTACTGCTTTGAGTGGAAGGCTATTTCAGGTTTCTACTACCCTTTATATATCACTGTTACTGCTCCCACTGGAAGGCTATTCCAGGTATCTACTACCCTTTCTATATCATTGTTACTGCTCCCACTGGAAGGCTATTCCAGGTATCTACTACCCTTTCTATATCACTGTTACTGCTCCCACTGGATGGCTATTCCAGGTATCTACTACACTTTCTATATCACTGTTACTGTTCCCACTGGAAGGTTATTCCATGTATCTACTACCCTTTCTATATCACTTTTACTGCTCCCACTAGAAGGCTATTCCATGTATCTACTACCCTTTCTATATCACTGTTAGCCTTTACTGCTCCCACTGGAAGGTCATTCAAGGTGTCTACTATCCTTTCTATATCACTGTTAGCCTTTACTGCTCCCACTGGAAGGCGATTACATGTATCTACTACCCTTTCTATATCACTGTTACTGCTTTCACTGGAAGGCTATTCCAGGTATCTACTATCCTTTCTATATCACTGTTAGCCTTTACTGCTCCCACTGGAAGGCGATTACATGTATCTACTACCCTTTCTATATCACTGTTACTGCTTTCACTGGAAGGCTATTCCAGGTATCTACTATCCTTTCTATATCACTGTTAGCCTTTACTGCTCCCACTGGAAGGCGATTACATGTATCTACTACCCTTTCTATATCACTGTTACTGCTTTCACTGGAAGGCTATTCCAGGTATCTACTATCCTTTCTATATCACTGTTAGCCTTTACTGCTCCCACTGGAAGGCGATTACATGTATCTACTAACCTTTCTATATCACTGTTACTGCTTTCACTGGAAGGCTATTCCAGGTATCTACTATCCTTTCTATATCACTGTTACTGCTCCCACTGGAAGGTTATTCCATGTATCTACTACCCTTTCTATATCACTGTTAGCCTTTACTGCTCCCACTGGAAGGTCATTCAAGGTGTCTACTACCCTTTCTATATGACTGTTACTGTTTTCACTGGAAGGCTATTCCAGGTATCTACTACCCTTTCTATATAACTGTTACTGCTCCCACTAGAAGGCTATTCCAGGTATCTACTACCCTTTCTATATCACTGTTAGCCTTTATTGCTTTCACTGGAAGGCTATTCCAGGTATCTACTACCCTTTCTATATCACGATTATTGCTCCCACTGGAAGGCTATTCCATGTATCTACTACCCTTTCTATATCACTGTTACTGCTCCCACTAGAAGGCTATTCCGGGTATCTACTACCCTTTCTATATCACTGTTAGCCTTTACTACTACAAATTCCTAAATGTATTCACTACAAGTAATGCAAATAAATGCAGCAAATTCCAATTCTGCCTCAACGGTGGTTAAAGGACCACTATAGTGCCAGGAAAACATACTTGTTTTCCTGGCACTATAGTGCCCTGAGGGTGCCCCCACTCTCAGGGTCCCCCTCCCGCCGGGCTCTGGGGAGAGGAAGGAGTTAAACACTTACCTTTCTCCAGTGCCGGGCAGGGAGATTTCCTCCTCCTCTCCTTCTTCCTAGCCACGTCAGGAGCCGCGCGCGCATTCAGCCGGTCTCATAGGAAAGAATTTACAATGCTTTCCTATGGACGCTGGTGTCTTCTCACTGTGATTTTCACAGTGAGAAGCACGCAAACGCCTCTAGCGGCTGTCAATGAGACAGCCACTAGAGGCTCTAGAGGCTGGATTAACCCTCAGTGTAAACATAGCAGTTTCTCTGAAACTGCTATGTTTATTAAAAAAAGGGGTTAATCCTATCGTGACCAGGCACCCAGACCACTTCATGAAGCTGAAGTGGTCTGGGTGCCTATAGTGGTCCTTTAAAATGCATATTGACTTTAACGCAATCATCTTTTCTCTAGATCCACATTCTCTACGGAAATTATTTTGCTATTAATATTATTATAATCCAATAGACTGTTGTGTACTACAAGAGAAATTACTTTATCTCAAATACCGAGCTCATCGACTATGTCATTAGCCAGTAAATTCCGTACCTCAGCTGCCCTTACTATGAAAATTATTAAAACATTTTTTTTAACCTTATTCCTTTCAGTGACAGACTGGGTGAGAAATGATTCTGTGATGCCTTCAGAGCAACGCAGGTGAAATAATGTCCCCTACCATTTGGAGAATCTCCTTAAAATGAATTACACTAATCTGGAATATGCTCACCCAGGGTAATTTTAGATCTCTCAACACTCTCTTCTTCTCCATTTTAGACAATTCCATCTGTTTGGCTACTTCCTGGTATGAAGATGGTCATTGAATGTTTAGGGCAGCTAAGGATATCAAGCTGTACTCACCAGGGCAGTTGTCTCCTTGAGCGTTGGAGAAGTCTTTGATTAACCCAAACAGCAGACACACGACTCCCTTCCATGATAACATCATGTCTGTGACTGTCTTTGCTAATGATCCTGCTGGGAATTGCGATGTATCATTGTCCAACATACAAATAGTACTTTGACTCTTTCTCTAAATATTTGTCATTTACAACTTCCCAAAACCCTTTGGCAGTCTGTCAATATTACCAAATAGTAGATTTTGAAAGCTTATGTTTCTGCAGAACTGACTGATATCAGAATATATTTACCCACGCAGGGCAATGTTTATTTTTCTTGTACTGACCAAAAGATGTGCAATTTATTTAGGGTAACTAATTAACTATCTAAATTTTTACCTCCGGCCACTACCTCGGGTCAATTTTGTTGTACAATAATGAAGAACTTTGAACGTCAAACAACAAATGTAAGATTATTAAAGTGAACATGCCATGACATATATAGGGTTAATCTTTTCTAACCACCTGGCTTGATTCACGCAAGTGTTTCTTTCCTTAATAATTATTTTTTCCTTAAAAAGTTTATAGTATAATTTTCTCTTTTTGAGAATATCAGTTATATATTTAGTGGATGTTACATTTGTTGTAAAACACACTTTTTCTGCATATCCCTGATAGGATCCACAGACTTGCTTCCCATAACAGGTTAGGTTAATTAGCTTGTTTTGTTGTGACAGGTAACCATAAATGAATATCACGAAAATTTGTTTTTAAAAAAAAAAAAGAAAATACAGAATACGGGGAGACAATCGAGCTTTCAATTTCAAGGACAGCGTGCAGTGAGGGGGTGTAACAAGCACCCGGAATACTCTGCACATCAAGATTCCTTGCTCTAGGAAGACTTCTAATAGCAGAAGTGGTCATGGTGGTTGGAGTAACCCTGTAACAAATTGCACAGAAAAATAAAACCCTAAAAAAGGTACAGAACTTTCTGCAATACTTTGATAATTCTCTCCAATTGCCATGATTTATCTTATTCTGCAATGAGTATATTACTTTCTGTTCACTCTGTGCTTCTGCCATTTTGTATGTCTACAGTACGTTAAATGTTTCAAACGATAACGATCAAAATTCTACAAAGACAAATGTTAATGTACAAAAATACAAAGTTAATGTAAATATAGTGCAACAGTGAAAAAAGTGCTAACGCAGTGCAATAACTTAGACACACTAAGGTGTCACTCCAAAAACACCAACACGCAAAGTGTATAAGAAACAGTGTATGTGTAATAAGCAGATATAAATACAGAACACCCATACAATAGTATGTTTACCATATAATAAAAACCTGTAAAATATAAACATAAACATATATGGTGTAGATTACGCCATTTTCCCCAGCCAGAAGAGTACACAGACCCGGAATAAGTAGGATTGAATATTTTTAACAATTTTAACGTAAGACTATATGCACTTTGAAAAAGACCAGGAAGGGGGTGAAACGCGTTAGTGCGGACATTTTTGTGATTTTTTTATTGCTCTCTATTTGTTTTTATTATTGTGTGGAATAAAGATTTGTTCTTTAGAGGAAAAAGAACAGCTCCATTTCTTCAGACACAACGGAAATCGGATTCTTATATGAGAACACCCATACCAAGCCGTCATAGTCTGAGTCAACTTTTACTGACTCAGCAGTACGTGAGTGTGCCATTTTATCATACAGCATACCTGTATTATTTTTCACATACTACACCATATATGTTTATGTTTATATTTTACAGGTTTTTATTATATGATAAACATTCTATTGTATGGGTGTCCTGTATTTGTATCTGCTTATTACACATTCACTGTTTCTTATCCATACAATGTTTATGACATGCACATGTTGTTAGGTACTTTAGGCTTGTTATTGTAGAGCAGGCTCATTGTTAGACTTGTGCACAGCAAGAAAATTTGGTCCGGACAAACTATTTTTCCTGAAAATAGATAATCTTTCGGGAACACCAAATTTTTTGCCATATGTCAGTTTGGCTTACCAGAAATCAAACAAATGGGGAACGAATCAAACAAATCAAAAGGATACAAAAATGGGCCAATCAGTGTACTGCAAAATATACATATAAAATGATATATTATTATCATGGTTTCGAGAACGTTGTGTCTTTAAGAACTGTGATAACCCCTGCTTTAGAATGGGGTATAAATATGCCTAGGATTTGCTGTGGCACTTGTCTTGAAAAAGCCTGGTTTACACAGGCGAAATGCGTTGACAGTGCTGTGCAGCATCATAGCTTTTTTACTTGAAACACATGGAACAGTTTCAGTGGTACAAGGTATCGACTCCCTTCCATGATAACATCATGTCTGTGACTGTCTTTGCTAATGATCCTGCTGGGAATTGCGATGTATCATTGTCCAACATACAAATAGTACTTTGACTCTTTCTCTAAATATTTGTCATTTACAACTTCCCAAAACCCTTTGGCAGTCTGTCAATATTACCAAATAGTAGATTTTGAAAGCTTATGTTTCTGCAGAACTGACTGATATCAGAATATATTTACCCACGCAGGGCAATGTTTATTTTTCTTGTACTGACCAAAAGATGTGCAATTTATTTAGGGTAACTAATTAACTATCTAAATTTTTACCTCCGGCCACTACCTCGGGTCAATTTTGTTGTACAATAATGAAGAACTTTGAACGTCAAACAACAAATGTAAGATTATTAAAGTGAACATGCCATGACATATATAGGGTTAATCTTTTCTAACCACCTGGCTTGATTCACGCAAGTGTTTCTTTCCTTAATAATTATGCTTTTTTACTTGAAACACATGGAACAGTTTCAGTGGTACAAGGTATCAGTGACCTTCAGAGGTGCTAGTGACCCATCCTGGCTCAAGTTCATGGTGCGGCTCGCATCACTGCACCGATGGAGTGGTAACCCTATGCTGAACCGTGTGCTGTACTGTACTTTGTGCCTCTCTGGTTGTCCTTGGAAACAAGCACCTCATTAGTTTTATGTAGAAGTTCCCACAAGGGAGAAGGGGGGTTAAATAAAGTAATAGTGCTATAGTATGTATCTGTATTTCTGTAATCTTTAAGGTGGCTAGTGGCTACAGAGATTCCATTGATTCGATATAGAAGTAACTGAATTGCACTGGACAGTTGAACTACTATTACAAAACCCTTTCTGTTGGTGCTATGCTTTTTCCCAATATTCAGAAATTTGAATTGGAACTCTTAAAGCACTGACACTACGTTTGGAATATAATATGTGCATTGCAGTAAACTGACAGGGACATTTTCCCACCATTTGGGTCACAAATCAATTGAGAAATCTTATAAAAACCAGAGGTAAAGAGGGAAAACAGGGAGCGTAAATAAAATAAAATAATCTAAATTTATATAATATAGATTTATTAAAGAAATAATATGTAAACATAGATTTTATTTTACTGCTATGCCTTGTTTTCCCTTTTTACGTCATCTTGAATAAAATTAATATTTAGTGACTGCCCCCTAAATCGTCTTTTTTCCCCATTTATTGTCTCTATTTTGGCCCACGGGCAGAATACAGAATGGCGTATTTAAACGAACATGCAGACCATTGTGCATATCGATTGGTTTGCAATTCAGCTAAGTTTTGGCTTTGAGTCTGGGAATTTGACCAATCACCCGATCGTCCCATATTCAGATGAACTGCAGTTCAGACGAATCTCCAAGTTTAGCCATTATTATCATGTATCAGTAATGAACCTATGGAGCAAGACAATTTCCAGTCTGTTCAGATAAGTTCAGATATGACCCCCGATGCTGTCCTTTACATTATACAATTTTGTGATTAAAAGGACACTCCAGGCACCCAGACCACCATTGGAGTGGTCTGGGTGCCAACTCCCATCACCCTTTACCCCTGCAAGTGTATGTGGTGGACTGTCAAGGTATCACCGCCACGAATATCCTTTTCCCATAATAATCATGCCAATAATTCCACGGGTATCGCATAATCACCGACACATGAACCAAGGCTTAATGCAGGGATAAGACTGATTTTAATAGAGAACAGGCATCAAATGTATACAGTCAGCAAACTCCTCCTCTGAACCTGGGAGATAATTAAGTCAGAAAATGTACTAAACTCAATTATCTCCAGGTATAGAAAAAGGTAAAATTTAAAACACCCCAAAAGTACCCCCAAAATACATGGGAATCTCACAAAAAGTCACATCTCTGGGTAGCCTGGAGTATTCTATTAATGATTTTCTCTGTGGTTTTCATACAAGTTACGTAACGTTCCATGTTCTAATTGGTCTCTGGGGTGGTCTTGGTTCGAGAAACGAACAAAATAACAAAAAGAGTCCCTTTAACTTTGAAATTAATATTCAATTTTTTTAATGAAAATGTTATTTGGACTATATTTTCATATCCTGTACTGAGTCACAATAATAACACATGATATTGTCAAGACATACTGCATGATAAAATGTGGAAGGCCAATAATAACACCTCTCCAAAGGGCAGATAGCTTGGGGCATCACAAAATAGGCAATAGGATAAATCAGTGTCATGGGCATCTCAGACAATTACTGTCCCAGGCCACCAATCGTAAGCCATATAACAGGGTTAAAACATTGCTGTATAGGAACTTGTTTGCAAAGTACATTTGTTTTGTATTATTTGGTTTTATGTTTTTTTTTTTTTTATGTTTTAATTTTTATTATCTTAACTCTTGGTATTTCCTTCTTTCTGTCCGTCCATCCGTCTGTCCATCCATCCGTCTATCTTTTTCTTAGTATCCACATTTTAAATTTTTTTTCATTTTTGGTAAATTTTACTAATAATATTTTTACTTAATTTTTTGTATTTTTAATTAATGTTTTTTTAAATATTTTTTATTTTAGAGAAAAGAAGTTATTAGAAAGAGAAAGAAAATTAAAAATTAAATATTCACTGTGATATATTTTTTATTGGAAATGCTTAACATCTTAATAAAAAATCTTGGACTGAAAACAAGTTATCTTATTGCAGAATAAATCGATGTCAAGATCTACTATGCCAAAGAGCCATAGATAACACTATCAATATTGTCATTGTGGAACCCCTTACTATTGCAGGCCATGGAAGTCACATGCTTTTTACTATGTAACATTGGTCACATATAACCTCCCCTGCACCTACTGTGCCATTCCACTACTTGTTTATGAAAAATTAAAAAAGGTAAAAATGCAATTTGAAAAAGTTGACGTGATATTATTTCTCAGGACGGATCTTCATTTGTGTGGCTTTTAGTGAGTAGGAGCTCCCCCGAAAAGAGTGCCAGATAATGCCTCTACTCAGGATATCTTGAGCGCCACTCAGATATTCCCCATTCAAATGAGAAAAGTGACAATCTGCAAACCACCAGCCACCTTTGTAGAGTTGTGTGCAGGGAGGCTGGCTTTTATTTGTCTTGTCATTGTTGCGATCTTTTGTTGAAAATCCGTTGTCCTTTTGTAGCTGCAGTGAATCACCTGATAAGATGATGAAAGATGAAATAATCAAGTTATTTTTTTTAATAATAATCCTATCTATACTAGAAAACTTTTCAAAATCCAGCAAGGTGCATATAAGTATAACTGTGAATGAGGTATATTTTGGAAGTTTTCAACCTAGTTCTGAGAATCAATTTGGGTGCAAATCTACTCCTTTTTCACCCGTCAATTCCTCCTAAAAATGTGTAACCATCTCAGTCTTTGCTTCATTTTTGGAACTGACCTTCTATCTGACTTCAGGAAGTTCCTCAAAGGCCCCCTTTTCAAGGAACCTTAGTTCTCAGTTGATCTTAGAAGTCTAGATTGTAAATTTGTAATCTTGGGTCTCTCTATACCTTGTGTTTCCTGTCCCTCATTCTCTCTAATTGATTTTGAATTGTTACCTGCAGTACCACCAGTAAAGCTGCCGTAATGGAGAACATATTCTTTAGACTCATCTTCAATAAAAAAGTCACTGTATGTGGCGTACTTCGATATGCCCTCAAAATCTTCCACGTCAATACGGAGTGTGGATGAACCTGTTAATCAAACCAGACAATTACTTCATAATTGCAAAACATTTTATAACTGTCAACAATGAGATTTAAATACCCAGGGGTGCAACATGGATATATACTGGGGGTAACAAGCCAAGGATATTCAGCAGCATACCAACAGTTTAGCAAGGTTCCGTGGTGCCATGTCTGAGTTCAGATATACCTAGTGTATTATGCAAATTATGTTTAATCTCACAAAAAAGTACCTCTTAATCCCTCAAATAATTTATATAATTACAGTGTATCCTTTTTTATATTGCAGGGCACTAGATTATTGGACTCCCTGATTAACTACTGCTCGATAACCTACTGTAGCAAACTTACCTGATCCTCGTGCCCACGATGTTCCCCTAAGGTTGTCGGTCCGAATGATCCACATGGCCGAAATTCACGCAGCCATCGCTTCCCTGCATATTTCCAAATGCTGCCCGCTTTAATGGCATGTCTTTTATTAGTTTAAATGTTCTTATACTAAGTTTTTCTTGATATTTTGATATTGACCTTGGCTTTTGTTTGACTTCATGTATTTTTGATATTCTGACTCGGCTTGTTATTTAGTTTATCCATATTTTTATGATCCTGACCTTGGTTATTACTAACTTTGTCTTTATCTTTATTAACGTTAAGTCTGGCCACTCTAAGGCTCGGTAATACGTCTATATTAGAATCTTTATTTGTGGGATTCCCCATTTCCTGTCAGTTATGGTTCAACCCTGTGACAGCTACATTGTCATGAGTCAACCCATTGCTTAAGTTCTAAGGATTGCATGGCTGAAATTCCCATTTAAATATATTAAACACACTTTTCAAGCTAGCCCACAGAGAGGACGTATTTGTAAAATGTGCATTTAGGAGATCCTAGGAAATGTCCTATTCTATTTTGCACACGAGAAAACTTGAGTTTAGAAAACATGGATAATATAATTATTTAAAGACAATATAATAATGGGACAGTTTTTATACCCTACAAGTTAATATATTCTGCTGCCAAGTGGTACAGTATGTCTGCTTTAAACATTATTTAGGTAAATATTATACAATAACACTTGGTACCACACAAGATAATATACCTATTCTTCCTTATGTGATGTAGTTTTATTATATATAGATACATGTACGTGTGTCAGGCCTAGCAATTGGTAGAGTATTCGCAACAGAGAAACATTTTTTAGGGTTGGAAAATACATATGTTTATTGATACCTCTGACTATTATCATGCACCGACATTGCCCACTTTCAGTCAGTTATTGAGAAGTTTTGTGCATACTTCTGCTATTTTCAACATTTAATTCTGACCACAAGATTTTTTTTAAAAGTATTCATCTCCAGCATGTGAAAGGTGGAATGTAAATCTGAGGTTGAACTTGGACTCTTACCCTTTGCCGTAAGACGGTGGATGTTATCGTTTCCGAGCCAGAAATCTCCCAGTTGACTGCCAAACCCTTTTTTGTAGCTTTCCCAATCACGGTAAAAATCCACAGAACCGTCCCTGCGTCTCTGAAAAACCTGGCGAAAAATGCATAAGAGAAAGTATTAGGTGTTCTGTTGACATTTACATGAACATTCTTACTATGTTCTTTACTATTAGAACCTGCATTTAAGAATTATGTAGATACTACCGGTCTTAAAATTACATTGACTGGCTAACGTGACTTTGTAATAATAATATGTTGGAACATTCAACAGAAAATGTTCTCTCCAACTGAATAATTACTGAGAAATTTAAAAAAATGATTCTATCACTTTATTCATCTAAAATTGTCCTTTTAATGAAAATCATGGGTTTTGCAGATTCAAAACGTACGATCCATCCTCCACCATCAGTGTCCATGTCACATAGAACAGCCATCGGTGACCCACTGTCTGGATATATGGTATACCAGCCGGAAAGAAGGAACCCGCTGTTGAGAAGTTCCAGACAATTACGAGGACCTAAGGAAAAGGAGAGAGTGGGGAATATTTATGAAAGTGTTCTGTTCTAAAAAGTGATCTACAGTGATTGCAGTCACTGTGGAAACCAGTAAAACCAGCACGTGTTTTGCATCGCTAACCCCTCCCAGCCCTCGGAATCTTACCCTGAGCTTCAATGATGCACTCTCCTGTGTCTCCTTTATCGCCTGTAGGGAGGTTGAAATATGACAATAACTAAATAAAATATTTCACAGGGTCATGGGTAGAGGATAAAGTGAATACTATATAGTTACATTGTTAGATATGCTGAAAAGAAACATGTGTTCATCAAGTTCATATTTCATTCCCCCTCCCCCCCCCCCAGTTTGCAGCATTTCCAATTTTGCAACAAACTGGAAAAAAAAATTTCCTTCTTGACCCCAGAATGGCAGTCAGATTTATCCTTGGATCAAGAAGCTATTACCCTACATTGAAAGATTATATCCTTGAATATTATGTTTTTGCAAGTATGCCTCTAGCTGCTGTTTAAACATCTATACAGACTCCGATAAAACCACTTCCTCAGGCAGATCATTCCACATCCTTATTGTTCTTACTGTAAAAAAAAAAACCTTTCCTTTGCCTTAGTCTAAATCTTCTTAGTCTAAACGCATGACATCGTGTTTTATGTATAGTCCTGTTTGTGAATAGATTATGGCACAGAGATGTCCCCTGTCCCTGCTTTCCATTTCTCATGGTCCTAAAAAATATAAATATTCCTAAGGCAAGGCATGATTTCTCCCTGCCTTAAAAATACTTGTATACAGTGTGCCATAGTTTCAGCAACATCTGTATCAGAAGGTGTAGTTTTATGACATTTTTTTGAATTTATTTTTTATTTAATGGATTGTCGTCTGTCTGTCAGTCCACCTGTCCATCTGTCCATATATTTCTGCATGTCTACCTATATAGTTTTTTTTTTATTTGTTATATTTTAAGAAATAAAGATGAACTATAACCAGGAGGGCCTCTACAATTCCTCTCTGAGATAGCCAGAGAACTGAATAAAAGCTGATGTGCCTTTCAAAATGGTCTTGTAAATGTTTGATGTTCAGGTATTTATCGAAAAATTACCGGTAGCTTCTCTACATGATTATACTCAATAAATACTCTAATACCACACTGCTGTTGGCATCATTAGCAATGTTAAAGGACCACTCTAGGCACCCAGACCACTTCAGCTTAATGAAGTGGTCTGGGTGCCAGGTCCTTCTAGGGTTAACCCATTGTTTTATAAACATAGCAGTTTCAGAGAAACTGCTATGTTTAGCAATGGGTTAAGCCTTCCCCCAAAGCCTCTAGCGGCTGTCTCATTGACAGCCGCTAGCTTCTCACTGTGAAAATCACAGTGAGAGCACGCCAGCGTCCATAAAGCAGCATTATGAATGCTTTCCTATGCGACCGGCTGAATGCGCGCGCAGCTCTTGCCGCGCGTGCGCATTCAGCCGACGGGGAGGATCAGAGGAGGATCGGAGGAGGAGAGCTCCCCGCCCGGCGCTGGAAAAAAGGTAAGTTTTACCCCTTTTCTCTCACCAGAGCCGGGTGGGAGTGGGACGCTGAGGGTGGGGGCACCCTCAGGGCACTATAGTGCCAGGAAAATGAGTATGTTTTCCTGGCACTATAGTGGTCCTTTAGCACCATTGGCAACTTTTTATGCTTTTATTCTGGGCACAATGGTATACTGATCAGGCATGTGCACACCAGGGATTGCCTACATATAATACAGTTTGTATCCCATTTAAACTAGCTATACTTTGTACCCTCACCCTTTCGTAGCAATGGTAATCCTTACGCACAATCCAGAAATGTTTGTGTATTTTTATTTATGTATTTTATTTAACTCATCTTGTATTTGACTACTCTAATCTTTGTAAGGATTCACACTGGATATGACATGCAAGTGTGCAAATTTCTAGTTTTCCGATTGAGCTTGTGATTTGGACATAGTTTAAATGGACATAGTCTCACTGGCCATGAAACAATGTAAGGTGTTTTATGTAAGACCCAGTGGCCACTGTGTGCTAATCGAATTGTACTTTGGATGGATAAGTAATTATTTTTTTTTAGGTTTTATTTAGCTACTATTACGAGAATTTATTTAATTGTATGAACTATGTCATGTAAGTATACATGCTAATATTTAGAACGTTATGATGAAATAGCTTTACCTCTAACTCCTGGTATTCCCGGCTGTCCTGGTGGCCCTATAAACAGAGATTAGATACTATAATGTTTGTCAGTGTATTTAGAAAAGAAAGAAAAATAATGGCATTCTGGGTGCTTTATTACTGTTATCACAGACTACAAAGAAATTAAACAAAAAAAAACAGAAACAAGTCAAACTTCAGTCCCAATTTTTTTCACCTGAAATACATAATTTTTACATCTTACCTTTAGGACCAGGGGGCCCTGGTAACCCATTCAACCCAGGAGATCCCATTGGACCTAAAATTGAAAAAGCCATAAGAGAAGTATGAGACCAATTCATTAATCCAATAAGGTCCACAAAAAACCTATAAAATATAATAAAAGTATCCCTTCTCTTGCAATCCGTCAGAATTTTTTTTTTTTTTTTTTTACATACAGCAAGTTGGGAACCAAAATGTTCATAAAAATGATGAGCCATAGAATGTAAATATTTTGACTTCAAGTAAACATGAAGTCCACATACAGTAAATACAGTTACCTGGATAACATCAAGCATCTGTTATATAGGATATTACGAACTCATTTTCCATCAGGCATATATATCTATATAATATTACCTGATCCCTCCATCATTGCTTGCTATTTAGCAACATTGTATTGTTTAGCCATGTAGGATACAGGACAGAGTGGAATGGGAGAGCAAGTAAGGGCTTAAAAAGTGATGCAAATCAGACTTCAACGGGATGGGTTAATAAACAATAAAAAAATGAAACTGTAAAGAGTGTTTTCTTTTTACCGTTATCTAAAGATGTGGAGCTTATGCGCAAGGTTTAATTTCAAAATTGCATTAATGAAATAATCACACTGATTTTAAAGATACATTATTTATAGTTGCCTCTAGTGTAACATATGACATTATTAATTATATAAATACTTATTTTCAGGTACATATATATTAATTACCTGTGGCTCCAGGATACCCGGTAGCCCCAATAAATCCAGGAACACCTTTTCAATAAAATAATAAAAAACAAAAATAAATCATAATCAGTGAAATTAGAAAAGTAAGAAAACGGAAATTGCACATCATGCACGTGTGAAAAAAAATCTAGCATAGTAAATGCTAACATATCACTAGTGGTTTCATACTAATTTGTGAGGTTTGTATATAATGTTTAAAATTCATAATTTGGCACATTTATTGTGTATTTGAATAAATTGAATGAAGCATTAGGTGACACATTCACACACACACACACACTAAACTCTTGTTGCATTGTCACCTTGTAGCCCTTGTGGTCCAGGTTCTCCCTTTGAACCAGGCGGTCCAGGCACACCAGAACATCCTTGTATGGAAACCACATTTAAATCCCCATTTTCTGAAAATTTGACATCTGAATTGAAAAGCACAGTAAAAAAAAACAATTAAAATACAATGATCAGATCAAGCATGTACAAGCAGATCCCCTCTCAAAGCAGTTCTCCCTTTAGTAAATACATCCATAGGAGTTACTCTGCCTGAATTTGATACAAATTAAGAAACACATTATACAGAGTGTCTTGACTGGTATCCACTGTGGATGTTAGCCTGTGCTACTATCATTGGAAACATTTTCTTTGGCATCTACTATTGTTTTCTATGTCATTTTGGTTTGTTACTGCTTAAACTGGAAGGCAATTCCAGGTATCTACTACCCTTTCTATATCACTGTTAGCCTTTACTGCTTTCACTGGAAGGCTATTCCAGGTATATACTACCATTTCTATATCACTGTTACTGCTCCCACTGGAAGGCTATTCCAGGTAACTACTACACTTTCTATATCACTGTTACTGCTCTCACTGGAAGGCTATTCCAGGTATATACTACCATTTCTATATCGCTGTTACTGCTCCCACTGGAAGGCCATTCCAGGTAACTACTACACTTTCTATATCACTGTTACTGCTCCCACTAGAGGCTCCAATGATCTACTACCCTTTCCATATCACTGTTAGCCTTTGCTGCTCCCACTGGAAGGCCATTCCAGATATCTACTACCCTTTCTATATCGCTGTTACTGCTCCCACTGGAAGGCCATTCCAGGTATCTACTACCTTTTCTATATCACAGTTACTGCTCCCACTAGAGGCTCCAATGATCTACTACCCTTTCCATATCACTGTTAGCCTTTGCTGCTCCCACTGGAAGGCCATTCCAGATATCTACTACCCTTTCTATATCGCTGTTACTGCTCCCACTGGAAGGCCATTCCAGGTATCTACTACCTTTTCTATATCACAGTTACTGCTCCCACTAGAGGCTCCAATGATCTACTACCCTTTCCATATCACTGTTAGCCTTTGCTGCTCCCACTGGAAGGCCATTCCAGATATCTACTACCCTTTCTATATCACTGTTACTGCTCCCACTGGAAGGCCATTCCAGGTATCTACTACCTTTTCTATATCACTGTTACAGCTCCGACTGGAAGGCTATTCCAGGTATCTACTACCTGTTCTACATCACATATAGCCTTTCCATGTATCTTGTAGGCTTTCTATAATTGTTGGTAGTAATTTGGGCAGGCAGATACAAATGATGCACAAAAACCAAAACACACACACACATTAACAAATAATCAACATAGTTAATACTTTCTTTGCATTTAGGATTTCTTACAATTTATAATAATTCCTAATTTCACAACTGTACAAATATATCTACAAATTATTACTATTTTTAGTAGGATGGCTGACTTCACATTCTAAATACTCAGTGGTATGCTCTTTCAGCATTCTATTCTGTGCAGACGATACTCTGCAGTATTCACTGTTCATTGACGAAGCGCAATTATTTTCCCAATATCGATTTTCCATGGTCAAAGTGCACATAACGAGAATTCTATCCACGGAATGCTCATTATTGGGACTTTCTTCATAGACCGTACATTTTTACAATTATTTTATAATTCCAGCTTTGCCCTTTTAGAAAGGCAATTATTCAAACCGCACCACATTCTAGCAGTATGATAGCTTTATTGTTTTTTTTTTTATCATGTTCAGTTTTTAATCCTGCAGTTTATTGTCACAATTAAGTATTAAACGGTGACAGCTACTGGGGAATGCAAAAGGGGCAGTGCATCGAAGGTGGAATAAATTGTCGCTTGTAAAATTCCCAGAAAGTTGATTACACTGATCTAGAATATACAAATCCAGGGTAGTTCTAGATCTCTAAACATTCTCTTCTTCACCAGTAATTCCATTTGGGATAGTCTGTTTGGCTACTTCCTGGTATGAAGGTGGTCATTGAATGTTTGGGCAGCTAAGGATATGAAGCTGTACTCACCAGGGCAGTTGTCTCCTTGAGCGTTGGAGAAGGCTTTGATTAACCCAAACAGCAGACACACGACTCCCTTCCATGATAACATCATATCTGTGGCTGTCTTTGCTAATGATCCTGCTGGGAATTGCGATGTATCATTGTCCAACATACAAATAGTACTTTGACTCTTTCTCTAAATATTTGTCATTTACAACTTCCCAAAAACCCTTTGGCAGTCTGTCAATATTACCAAATAGTAGATTTTGAAAGATTTTGTTTCTGGAGAACTGACTGATATCAGAATATATTTACCCACGCAGGGCAATGTTTATGTCTCTTGTATTACCAAAAGATGTGTAACTCATTAACTATCTAAATCTTTACCTCTGGCCATTAAACTGTAATGTTTTGTTGCTGTTTTCAAATGTGAATCTTTTGCACACTGGATACATATGTAGTTTTAACAAACTTTGCTGCAGGTTACTAAACATGTATGACCCTTTCTGCAGAACTTGGGTCAATATTAAAATATATATAATTGTCCATGCAAGGTGCTGTTTATTTCTGTATTGACCAGTCAATTCATTTTAACTAATTAACTATAGAAATCCCCATTATGTCTTGAGGACGAAAACTAAATATGATTCCAGACGGTTTAAAGGAACACTACAGTGCCCTAAATTACTTTAGCTAAATAAAGCAGTTTTAGTGTATAGATCATTCCCCTGCAATTTCACAGATCAATTCACTGTCATTTAGGAGTTAAATCACTTTGTTTCTGTTTATGCAGCCCTAGCCACACCTCCCCTGGCTATGATTGACAGAGCCTGCATGAAAAAAAAAACTGGTTTCACTTTCAAACAGATGTATTTTACCTTAAATAATTGTATCTCAATCTCTAAATTGAACTTTAATCACATACAGGAGGCTCTTGCAGGGTCTAGCAAGCTATTAACATAGCAGGGGATAAGAAAATCTTAATTAATCAGAACTTGCAATAAAGAAAGCCTAAATAGGGCTCTCTTTACAGGAAGTATTTATGGAAGGCTGTGCAAGTCACATGCCGGGAGGTGTGACTAGGGTTCATAAACAAAGGGATTTAACTCCTAAATGGCAGAGCATTGAGCAGTGAGACTGCAGGGGCATGTTATATACACCAAAACTGCTTCATTAAGCTAAAGTTGTTCAGGTGACTATAGTGTCCCTTTAAAGGACTGTTCATTTTAATGCATATTAAGATGAGATAAAATAATAAAAACAACTAAAAGCAATCAATTCAAAATATTAATAGATAAAAAAAAGCAAGTAGCAACATTTCCAATAAATCCGAGGATTAACAAGTTTTGCAATTATCTCTGCTAAGAACAGGACGTGATTAGCCAATCGGGATGCTTTTCTTTAGCAAATGCTAAGTCCATTCCATACATCTCAGCATGGCAAGACTTTATGGGAAGAACAGGTGTTTCTGGGAGTTTTAGTTCACATATCAGCTTTCTGATAGCAAAAAGAAAGGTGATAGCAATATATTTAGTAAGGACATTAAAACTCCCATGTAGCTACCATTAGGACATATTGTTGAAGAAGTAATATCAGTTTTCATGTACACAAGAGTATGTTTATCATGCTAAACAATAGAGGGCGCTGTTAATGGTGTACATAGTTACAGAATGCAGTACTGTAATTCCAAACTTGTGGCAATAATGGCAACTGATAATGAAGATTTAGTCACTGTCACTGAGATATGGTATAATGAGAAAAATGACAGCAATACCAGGGTACTCTTTATATAGAAAAGACAGGGGAGGCAAAAAAGGGGAAGGGGTGGCCCTGTATGTGAAGGATACCATAAAATCTAGCCTAATAAAAGTTAGTGAGGCGAACATAGAGTCCGTTTGGGTTACGTTAGAATTTGGTAATCACACAGTAACTCGTGTAGGTGTGATTTATAGGCCCCCAGGACAAATAGAAGAGTTAGATAATCTACTAGTTGAGGAATTAGCTAAGTATTAAAAGGAAAGTATCACTTAATCCGGAGTATGTCTATAAAAATACATAAGGGTTGTGTTAGAGATGCAGCTCCATTCATAGAAAGTATCCCTACACTTTCTCTAAACAATATATCCAATAGAAGTATTTAAAGAAACACAAACTTCATACAAATGTTACACATATGAAAGAAAACATTTTATTTGTCTTATTAAACATGAAATATAAAAATAAATCTGTGTATGTTGGTATCTATGCTGAGATACAATAGTTTAAACCGGTACCTAATTGTACTAAATTGAGTAGGCACACTAATTTCAAACACAGCAATAGAAAAAACAAAATAACAGAGTACAAATTGAAGTAGGGTAAAAATTGTGAAAAATTATGTTTGAAAAACGAAAAATAAACATAAAAGTCAGACCCGATAGTTTGGGGGAGAGCTCTCTGTTCTCTGTTCTTGTCGGTTCTGGGTCTTTCTATCGGTATGTGAGTTGAATAGCACAGGAAAAAAGCCTTTTGGTGTTTAAAAGTGCACAGGCTTCGGCCGTTTGAACTTTCTCAGTAAGGGTGTAGATCCTGTCGGTCTTGTGCCGGATAAGCTCCGCAGTAGTCTGGTAGAGGGCTGGAGCGATGTTCTCCCTTCTCCGGTTTCCTTGTAGTTAGTTGGGGATCTCCCTTTTTCCGAGCTACCATCGGTGCCGAGCGCGCTCAGGCTCTGAAGTTCGCTGTTGATCTCTGTGTGAGGTTCTGGCTTGATGAATCAATCGTTCCTACGCGTTTCATAAGACTGCGCTAACTTCATAAGAGAAGAATAGTAGAATATCGTAAGGAGGACATACTAGATTTCATGTTAACAAACAGGGATTTGGTATCAGATGTTATTGTAGGTGAAAGTTTAGGATCTAGTGATCACAAGCCAACGTTTTATAATATTAAAAAAGTGACTAACATCACACAAAACTTTTCGATAATAGAAAAACAGACTTTTCTAAAATTAGAATATGTGTAACGGAGTCATTATCAGACTGGAGCAGTTTAAATAGAGTCCAGGAGAAAGTGAATTATTTAAAAGTCGCACTACTTAAGGAAACAGTAAATTGCTTTGGCTTGTCAATTTGAGCCCAAAAAATTGGTACTCCACAGAAGTGGACAAAATAGTAAAAAAACTAACATTTAGCATTTAGTAATTCTAAAAAAAAAAACAGAGTGAGGAAGATAGACAGATCTATAAGATTAGGCAGAACGAGGCTAAGCAAGTTATAAGAGCTTCCAAATCACACACAGATTAGAATCTAGCACAGTCAGTAAAAAAAGGAAACAAAGCATTTTTAGATATATAAATGAGAAAAGGAAAGAAAAACAAGAATTAGATGGATTAAAAACAAAAGAAGGAAGGTATGTAGAAGAGGATAAAGGTTTAGCTGACTGCCTCAATGAATATTTTTGTTCAGTATTTACAGATGAAAATGAAGGAAAGGGATAAATTAGTAATTTATTACATGTGAGTTTACAGAGGCAGAGGTTCCATTTCAACTGTTGAAAGTAAAAACAAATATGTCAATGGGACCTGATGGAATACACCCAAAGTTATTAAAAGAGCTTAGTGGTGTACTAGCAAAACCATTAACAGATTTATTTAACCAATCATTGTTAACAGGAGTAGTCCCAGAAGATTGGAAGTTAGCGAATGTTGTGACCATTCACAAGAAAGGTAGTAGGGAGGAGTCGGGCAACTACAGGCCAGTAAGCCTTACTTCAGTAGTGGGGAAAGTAATGGAAACCATGTTAAAGGATAGGATTGTTGAACATCTAAAATCACATGGATTTCAAGATCAGAGACTACATGGGTTTACTTCAGGGAGGTCATGCCAAACTAATCTTGTAATTTTTTTTTAGTTGGGTAACTAAAATAATAGATCAGGGTGGTGCAGTAGACATTGTTTACCTAAATATCAGCCAGTAAGACTTTTTCTGTCGCACATAGAAGGAAATACTAGCAGAATGCTTGGTTGTATAGGGAGAGGTATTAGCAGTAGAAAGAGGGAAGTGCTCATGCCATTGTACAGAACACTGGTGAGACCTCACTTGGAGTATTGTACGCAGTACTGGAGACCGTATCTTCAGAAGGATATTGATAACTTAGAGAGGGTTCAGAGAAGGGCTACTAAACTGGTTCATGGATTGCGGGATAAAACTTACCAGGAAAGGTTAAAGGATCTTAACATGTATAGCTTGGAGGAAAGACGAGACAGGGGGGATATGATAGAAACATTTAAATACATAAAGGGAATCAACACAGTAAAGGAGGAGACTATATTTAAAAGAAGAAAAACTACCACAACAAGAGGACATAGTCTTAAATTAGAGGGGCAAAGGTTTAAAAATAATATCAGGAAGTATTACTTTACTGAGAGGGTAGTGGTAGTTCTATGTTTCTATCCCCATGTGTATCTATAGTTAAACACCTTTAACTTAGTGGGTTTTAGTGTTAAATCCTTGACCCTGCAGTCTCACTGCTCAAAATTCTCTGCCATTTAGGAGTTATATCACTTTGTTTGCACTGCCAGCCCTAGCCACCTATCCTCTGACTGAGCTTCACGTAGCCTCCCTACACACTTCCTGAAAAAGAATTAACTTTTTGTGAACTTCCCATATTACTCAGCGTGTTTAATTTAGAATTTATTTTCACCTGCTCTATTAATTGTCTGTTAGAGCCTGCAACAGCCTCTTGTGTGTGTGTGTGATTAAAGTTCAATCTACAGAGCAGGAGATGAAAGCTTCTAAATTATACACACTGTGCTGTGAGATCTGATTAAAAATTACCAGTTTATTCATGCAGGCTGTGAGTTACAGCCAGGGGAGGTGTGGCTAGGGCTGTATAAACAGAAACAAATGGGAGTTGACTCCTAAATGGCAGAGGATTGAACAGTGAGACAGCAGGGGCATAATTTACACACCAAAACTGCTTCATTAAGCAACAGGTTTTTACCCCACTTTTTCTGTTACTCTTCTTGTTATTAACAACAGCATGCATACCCTCCATTTACCTAAGTCCAACTCAAGTTGTTTCGGCACACTGTGTTACTAACATAAATAAAGATTTTGTGGGTAACTATAGTTATTAAAATGTTTTCTCAACGATGTTTTGTAAACAACTTTTCACTTTTTAAATGTGTGTGC